TCATACATAAAATAACCACCCTTGCAGCATATTGAACACACCACGAGTATTAGAACAGAGACTGTATGGATCACAAACACACACAAATAACGTCATTGGTCCGAATGTCTGTACTGTTAGCCGCAACAGCTGGGTTTGATACTTTGAGTACGGTACCAGTAAAATATTAGTAACACATGTTTACTTTCGGGCCATTGACAACACATTTTGTATGTTTAAGAACCATGACAGTGCGGATATTTTGAACATTACCTCTATTTGCTACATACATTACACCTGTGTACAAATCGTGCGTCTCATGACGCGTGGGACAGTTTACATTCCACAAGCCTGGTAGCCTTGTACAGTGGGAACTGGGTGTTGGTGTTTGGAGAGAGTGAGGCGATTTCGGCAAGTCGCCGGGCCTAGGTCGCTTGCCCTTATATGTCACACTGTGATGTGATCCGTGATGCAATCGCTGGATAGTTCACCGGTCACGTGGTACCTAGCGATGTAGCAATACAAAGTACAGTAGTGATACAATGATCATCGTTGGTAGAGGGGTGTAGATACTGTACACTAGTTTTTCATTTGATAATCCGGCACGTTCAAAAATTTATGATTGGTCTAAGGACGCAGAGGGCAAATGAGTATCCCCAGCGCCGAGGCCATGAATTACCAAAGGTTCTGCTCAGTGATGCAGAAGTGACGAGAAGTTTAATTTGCGAAGCAGTAAAGGTTAGGTTAGGTTGGGTTTCATTCAAGATCTAAAGTTCGCACTGAAGCTTTCCGACAGTTTTTTTGCAATTGGCTGAGTAGACGTGTATTCAGAAATTGGTCTGATGAATAGTCTTTTGGCTTTGTGTGTACATTCACTTGGCCTATCGTAGCAAGAACGTATTTTTTACTTATCCTGAATTCCCTATAATCTAGCACTGCTAAAATCGTGAATGTACCTACATCTACTGTACTTACATTTTCCCTGGGATTTACCCAATAAGGTACCTAGCCGCACCATCCATTATAGCTTTCCATTCTTCGAATCCTGTCTTCTTCAGCATCTATCGTGAATGTTGAATTTACGAAGTTCTAGTCTGATTGTTCAAGTGACTATTTAGCTTTCCAGAAAATCCCAAGTTTTCTCCATTCTTTCTTAGTAAGAAAATTGATTAAACGTTTAAGCCTCCCGATTGTGGTGGTTTGTGGCTTGCGTAAATTTCGATTCCTTATCTACAAGAGTCGTGTTAATGGATGTGTCAAGTTGTTATATCTTCTCTAGGTTTCCAAGGTGTCTTGTCTAGTTTTCCCTATCACCGGTGACATCAGAGACGGGCCGAGGCTGACAACAGGAAGAGCTTCCGGCAATGATGTCTGTCCTTCGACTGGCAACTGTGATATTGTGATGTAATCTCAAGATGACTGTTCACTCAGGGGCTTGAGCTTGCTAGGCATAAGTATGAAGTAGGCTCTTGATCATTGAATTGTGTAGTTTCTGTGGATGCTGATTTCCTATACTGTACAGATAATGGATCTCCACCCCTAGAATCCTAGTGGACCTGAAGTTTTCTTTGGTTTCTGATCCACCGGTCATTGCATTATTAGTTTTACGTGGACAAAAGACATTCATAATTGGCGATTTTCATAGTTAATTTGTGTGTTTTTTAATTGAGCCCGGGGCTTTCAAGTAACTCCGCGCTCCAAACAGTTCACAAGGCTCGTCCTGATCGGCAAATCCTAAGTATCCGTGTAAATCCCTTATTTAATTACGTAAACAGCTTTACTAGGTTTATGTAACGGTAGCTCAATTCAGCAGGCATGTTAAATCCTGTTTATTTAAAACTTAACATTACAACAAGATTTATTCGAACTCCAATCAAATACTACTGGCACTGCAGTGCTCTTTACTGCATTCTAGTGTTTCCATGACCGATTTATTTTGTTCATTCATCTGGTAGCTTTGATTTTCAAAACTTTAGGCCAACTTTATTGAACTAGCGATTATTCGTAAATAAAAGTGAACTGTTATTATCTGGCATGATTTGGTTGACTTAAAATTTAAAAATGTTTACTCGCGAACACGTATATGAAAAATAACACGGTTTGGTAATAACAAATGTATCGTTGGCGTAAAACAAACATTTTATGCGAAAAATCACACAGGTTACGAAATTTACTAGATTATTTACTCAGTTATATCATGTACAAGGGTGGCCAAGGGGACAAGGGGGATACCCTGTCTGTGGTTAAATATTTTTCTGGTCGTGGTCGTGGTTGATGCAGCGGAGACCATCAGTTCCGTAGTTTGCCCCCGCGCCGGAGTCAGGAGACCCTAGTTCCTGGCTCTACCCTTCCTGTCCCTCCATAACCAACATTAAACTACAAAATTACAGTGCAATCGTTCGCTAACCAAATCACATTTTTCAAGAGCTTTGTTTGGCTAAAATGTACCATTTCCTTGTATATTTTCTCTTTTGTATTGTTCTTGTTTTCTAATTCGAGGTGTTTTGAAAAAGTGAAACTATTCCGCACATTTTCGTAGAATACAACTTTTGTGTTTAATTTATAGGTAGACGCCGAAAATGGCGTATTCAAACCACGAATATTAGAGTAGAAACGGTACTTGGATCGTGAACATAAACAAATTATGTAATTGGACCGAAAGTCAAAATTATTTTACTTGTATTTAAATGGAACCTCCAAACGAGTCCAATCCGGCTGTCACGGTTATTTTACATTCGGGCCAGTGTCGTCATTTGTTTACAATCCATACCGTTCATGTTATACTATTCGTGATTCAAACAGTAACTAAATTTGGACGTGCTCGTGGTGTAGTTAATATAGCACACAATTAAATGGTTTACATATGTTTAGTTTGGAGCTAGCACACAATAACATATACTGTATTGGGAACGTCAAAACTAAAATTTAACAGATCCCGAGGTTGTTATATGCATTTGATCAAATTGTGATTTGCTCTAGTAAAATATTATTTTATAATTTGAACTTGTCAAATAGGAAAAAAGAGCGAGAATATACACAACGACCGATAAAAAAATACTGTACCTATTTTTAGTTTCCATTCGTTAGCTGCTATGGTCAAGGAAGCCATTTGACCTAATGTTTAAAATATATGAGCACATTTAACTAGGATGTACAGAAAATCATTGACAAGCAATGATAGCCGAGTCTAAATCAACTTAAAAGTATATAGAACCCGCACGTAAATAATTTCAAGCAACTATCAGTCATCAAAGTTCGCGCGTTGACATGTAGTTATATTGTTGTCGGATCAGCTGTTCGGAAGACAGTTCACAGCTGATATGTCAGCTGGCGTCGCGGTGTGTTGCAATGCACTGTGGGAACTGCTAACTGTAGTATACGATCTGACCTAGGCCTATATTGTTATTTACACCCAGACTGTGTCTAGAGTTACCTTGTCTGCTACCTCAAGTAGACTGTAATGTACATTGGTGCGGCAATAACAATGTTCTTGACTCATGTTTATATTTATTCCACAGCATTTTATTTATACTATTTATTGCATCATGTTTTAAAACAATATTTTTTAGACTATAAATATGTTCATACACGATTACTATATTTTTTTTAATGATCATATAACGCCTTTAATCAGAAAATGGTAATACTTTTTGCAGTATTACCTTTTTAACTACGGAAAATCTAAAAACTGAAATATATATATTTTAAACACGTTGGTGATTTTTATAAACAATTACTTTTTAATATTTAACAGTTTTGCAGTGTTTTCATCGATCAAATGTTTTACTACATTCTTGTTCTTCAGAATCGTCTTCACGAACGGGAACGGTTATGAATCATTTTGAAAATATTTGAAAAATATGGCTAGCAGATTATGGTTGTGTTTTGACTCAATCAATATGACCTTTTTTGGGCTCAGAGGAAATTAAAATGAATTAAATTTTAATTAATTTGAGCATAACTGTTTGTTCCCCTCTGTCGACTGCTTTTCTTTTGTTCTGACTGCTTTAATTTTTTCTTAATTAGTTCTGCCGACTTGCCAGCATTATCATTCAATGCTAGTGGGCATTGCAAGTACCACTTAATGTTATAATGAGGAAAACGTCCAGACCATGGAACATGAATGATTTAGTTCCATCAACGCTTTAGTAGTTTCTGTAGAAAAGTTTTTTTTTAAACCAATAGTTCTGTCCTAACTTAACTAACAGCCAAATTGTCAACACTCTTTGAATCTCAACTAAATTACAGCTGGTCTTAGTTGCTTAATCGTCTTGAGGCTAATTATCATTCTAGACTCAGTTTCTCAATTGTTTACCTGCCAATTTAGTCTCATCAAGGTAAAATGTCCTGCTAGTGTTTTGCAACTAACCATTTTTCCATTAAAACTCTTATGTAATCTTTTTTTAATTGTGCTACTACATTTCTTAGAACATTAGAACATGTATTGTTTGCTTTCTCAAGAATTATAGTGTAATCCTATCAGATACTGCAAAACTCCACTAAATCAAAAGCTGCAGCGGTTTTAAACTAATACAGCAATAGAGATTATTTTTGCTCTATACAAGGTGTCATAGGAGTTTTTATAGTAGAACCGATTTTGGAATTTTTGATTGTCGGCTTTTCCTTTATGGCTTTAAGTGACAATGCAATAGGTTTTCGGTCTATTAAAAAAGTTATGATCTTGGTTTTGAAAATAAAATATGAAACCATATGAACTTTTATTTATTTTCACGTGTAAAATAATTATTATAACTCACTGCAAACTTGCAGTTCATACTTCAAAACACTGTGCCCTTCACTTTATCTTTTCATCATCTGGGCAGTAGGTATTTCTCTTTAAAAAAAGCTTAGCTAAAACAAATAAAAAATAACTATTAAATAAATAAATAGTGGATGAACTACTTTGAAATATGTTCAAGAAAAATACAATTTGAAGCAGATATAAAAACCTTACAGAACTGTAATCGGTGTCTTAGTATACAAGATTGCAAGGTTTGACCTGGTCTGATGTGTTGTTGCAGATCTCCGACATTGTCGTGGGCCAGGAGCCGAACGTTTCAGCCAAGGAGGTGCTGCTGAGATGGGCTCGACGCTCGACAGCCAAATACCCTGGCGTCCGAGTCAACGACTTCACCTCCTCGTGGCGCGACGGGCTTGCATTCAATGCACTCATACACAGAAACAGGTGTGTAGAAATTGTGTTCTTTCTTAATCCTTTGGAATCTTTAAGTCAATTAATTTATGTTCAGAAGGTGTTTAAAATCAAAACATTTTTATTTCTTTTTTAGAATGCGTTTTTTTGTGTGGATTTTTGTTGATAATCTCCTAGACATATTCAACCTCTTACGTAAGTGATTGTTCACTTTTATATAGTACAATTTTAAAATTGTATTTACTTCTTAACTCTCAGCCCCTATGACCCACTAAGGCTAATTTTCTTGAATTTTACTTACTGCTGTGGCTCCATAAATATATGTGTGTGATAATGCTATTGTAGAAACATGTGTGTTCCACTTCAAATTAGATATTTCGCTACTTTGGACTTATTCACACTGTTTTCACTAACTCCCATCTTGGCCATATTTCAAAACACTTCATCTTTCTACCTCTTTGATCTTCCAGGAGGTTTGGGATTCCTTCCTTCCAGGTTTCAAGCCAACACTTTCTTTACAAAACCCCAGCAGTTCTGATATGACATTCTACTTCAATCTTCGTCTTTCAGTTTCAGCTACTCTAAAGCTTCATACAGGTCTCTAATTTTCTTCTGTGTTTAATCATATATTGTCTATTTTCCATTTTCTCTTGTTAAATGCAAACATCGCTATATCCTTCCATAAAATCTAGTTCAATGCTGAATCCGTTCCGTTATCTGATCTATTCGCTATGCAAGTCGGTCGCATGTGATTGACGGTAGTGTAGTTGGCTTGTCTAGTTAGGTTAGGTAGAGCTGCAGTAATGACAAGGCTAGGAACAGCGACTAGCGACTAGTGAGTGATAATATGGTAATCATAGTCACTGTGGTGATGACATAAGCCAACCTGACAACTCACAGTATAATGAGCTGACTATTACATTACTTAAGCCTACTCATATGTTGCTCGTAGATGTAAGTGTGGATTATTGTAATGGCTGATAACTCACTGCTTTAAAAAAAAAACAAGGGGTTTTAAAATTAGTCAAGTTTAATAAAACAATCGTAGGAACATGATTATTTTAGTAATACAGTTTGTTCAGTCTGGCTTACTAGAACCTGTTATACATCTTCGATACTTTAAAGTGTAGCTGTCCAATAAGCTTAGAATTGCCAATTGGAGACTGGATAACAAATTGGTCCGATAAACTAATGTGCTCTAATACTCATTACTGTATTGGCGAAAACTGTAAGTGTTCAAACACTACAAAAACTTGTACCACTAAAAATAATTCAATACCGAATATAAAAGCTAATGCACATTTTGAAATTGGCAGCAAATGTGTTATAAAGAGTAATATTTAGTTTAGCAAGGGAGTGGTGCGGAGAAGAAAATTTGTGTGAAGAAGCTAAAGAAACGATAACCTTGTTCCAGGGATTGACAAAATTTCCTTCTCTCTTAAAAACACGTTTCACTCTTAACCCATGACTAGTTGCATCTGCTAGTAGTTAAATAAAATAAATTCATCTCTTTTCTCTTCACTTCCATCTGAATTAAAAATAGCTAGATTGACAAGTCGGTGTAGTGTTCACCTGACAATCAAAAGTTACTGGTTTAATCCTAAAAAAAGTAATTAACTTTTATGGTTTTGAAATATATATCTAGCTGTCTTTGATTATTTTACCTTATTTTACCTTTATAAATGACACTTACTGAAGAAAACAGCTGATATTTGTAAAAAAGCCGCTAAAGAAATCTCAATCATCCCACACTAAATTCTCCCATTATACCTGGATCAGAATGTCTTAGCTGTGTCCACATCTCATGAAAGTAATGTAAGTGGTACGATTACGACTTCAAAATTGCTCTTTCAATAGTATTCCTCCCTGGGTGTTTTCTCTTGTCATTGATAGATGTTAGTTGTAGTATTATTATAAATACTGTCTTGGTGTTTCAGGCCCGACCTGATAGACTGGCGCAGTGTGCGCAGCGTCACCATCAGGGAGAGACTGGAGCGAGCCTTCTACGTGGCTGAGAGAGAGTACGGCGTCACACGCCTGCTGGACCCTGAGGGTAGGTATCACCGCTTAGTATATTAGATTATACAGTAGAACAATATCCAAATTCCAACTATCCAAATTGCTGATAAACCAAATCGTTGACTGAAAGAATTTGAAATTATTGAGAAACTAATCCAAAACCAAGACCAAAACCGAAAAACCTCTCCCGCGTTCCTGTAGACATAATCATCAACTCCCTCAGTTACAGAATCAATGTCATTGTTTTTAACGATCTTTGCAAAATCTTGCACATCTTTCGTGGTCGTGTATGCAGTATGATTGTCTCCCGTGGTCACAGAACATTGTCATCATTATGCACAATCTTGGCAAAATCTTGAACATCTTCCACGATGTTTTAGACATCATCCTTGTATCGTGCAATCACAGAAAATCATAATCGTCCTCCTGAATCCTGGCAAAAGCTTGAATTTTAAATTGTTTGATCCCGAAATGTTTGCAGACACGTTCTACGGTTGCAATAGTAAAAAAGCTCAGCTCAATTCGTCCTATTTTCTGTCAAATAAATACCCAAAATGTCGGTAAAAGTCCAATTATCAGAATTTTGATTATCTAAATGTTGTATGGTCCCAATTGATTTGGATAATTGGAGTTCTACTATATTCATAAAATATATGTAATTGTGGCAAAAACTTGACTATAATTTTTCTCAAATTACTTTTGGAAAATATGGCCAAATGGTGTTCCCTTCATACTAAATAATAATTTAATAATAATCCTTATGTTAATACGATCAAATGCAAGGAATGGAACAAAAATTGTCAACCTCTTTGAATCTGCTTAAGTTGTTCACAAATATCAGAGAAAGAGATAGAGCAAATTATCACGGAATTACACAGTTTATTGTCAACAGATTAACTGATCTCTTGTTACTTCTTATCAGACTAAGAGTTTCAACATTATCGTACAGAATAGAGTAATTACCTTAAACTGTAAATGTATGAAGACATTGCTATTGACAATGACACTTTAATTGCATTATACTATCTGTTGTACCATACAAAAATAAAAACAGAAAGTGCTCATCAAAAAATTTTTACTTAGGGGCTAGTTTTTAAGGCTAGATCCAAGGAGTAAGCCTTTTGAGCGTGACGAGAAAGATTTGTTATTAGCAACCTTTTTTCTCTGTCCTACATCATAAATCTTTAATTAAATTAATCCACAAACATATATTTCCGACAGCTGTATATTCTTTCATGTGTGTTTTCTTTTTTACTAATCGACTGCTTCTTACAGATGTGGACACTCATGAGATTGATGAGAAGTCCATCATCACGTACATCTCATCACTGTACGACGTGTTTCCTGAGCCCCCGGCACTACACCCCCTTTACGACTCTGTAAGTATCTTACAACAATACAAATATCTAACACCAATCAAAAACATCGTAGCAATACAACTAATACAAGTATCTTAAAACAATAAAATATCTCACAACAACAAATCATCTTACAACAACCAAGTACCTTACAACAATTAAGGATCTTATAACTAATAATCTCACAACAAATAAATACACCATAGCCAAATTTCATGTTGGATAGTTAATTACTTGTATACATACATTTAACTTGTTACAAAAATTGGTAAAATATTTGCTCTTGATCAGTTGTAATATTTATTCATAGTTTTACAATTTGATAACTTCTAACATAGTAGTATAAGCACAAAGTTGTAGTGGCTTATGTCACCTATTGTTTTGTAAAAGGTTAAAAAACAAATTTGTTAATTCCAAGAAAACAATCCATGGGAATTGTTAATAAATAGCTGTGGAGATTTGTTTCACTCAGTTTAGATGAGTGATTTTATGTTTGTAGTGTGAAATGTGATTTTAACTGTAACAGTCATGAAATCCTTTTGTTATTATAGCAAACTAGGTTTTTTATTATGATCTTTTCAAAGGATTTCAAGTCAAATTCATTTGAAGGTTTAGTTCATGTAAACTTTACTCTCAGTTATTTTTATGTGCAATTAAAAAATTGAAACAGTTTTCCAAGAATTAGATTACAGTTTTGACAGTTGACAATTGACAGTTAGCTATTTTGTTTTACTGTAACCTATTTCCCCTTAATACATTGACTGTTACACCAGATGAGCTGACCGATAGCTCTTTTATATAGTTAAGTTGAATCATGGAACAACAAAGGCACTGTCAAAACCGTTTGTAAATCTTAAATGAGTACCGAGAATTATTATGTAGCTAAATCATGCAACAACAATAATAAGATGTCAATAGTATAATTTTACAAATATTTTTCAGGAGTCACAAACGAAAACGAACGAGTACCGAGAGTTGGCAAGCATGCTGCAGACGTGGATCAGAGAGAAGTCTGCGGTGATGTCCGATCGCAGCTTCCCCTCTACGCTGATAGAGATGAAGAAACTTGCTGCGGACAGCGCGAGGTTCCGCACAGACGAGGTGCCTGTGAGACAACGAGACAAGACGCGGCTGCAACAGCTGTTCAGGGACCTGCAGGTACGGTTGTTGGCTGTCGCATTTCATAAAATAAATGTGGACGCTTCTTTCAAACAAAGACAACATGTTGCCTCTATAGTATTATCTGTTTCTACAAAAGTGTTTCAAGTCAAGGGCAGTCACTTCCCCACATTCATCTAGTGCTTCAACAGTGAGACCAAGGATGCTTTGATGATACTAGATTTACTGTAGTTACCTTGTTTTCTGTTTGAATGCAAGATGCTATCATGCTATCGCTATCATCTGGTAACGGTTCGACCTGGTTCCCCAAGGCCCGTAAGAGTAAGCATTATATTGGTTATTTAACTTTGTACATAGAGAGGCATTAAACGTCTGTTTTTTTGTTTTCCTAGAAATACTTTGAGGCAGTGGGTGAGGTAGACCTGGACCCAGAGCTGCATGTGGATGTCATCGACCGCAACTGGAACAGACTCATGTTGGCTCACCAGGAGCGAGACCAGGCCATACAGGATGAAATCAAGAGGTTAGTAACTCTTAAATAATTGACAGGTTTTAGAATCATATCATGAGTGAGAATATAGTTTGCAATTAGCAAGCTAACATCTATAGTTAATGCTATGAAAGATTTCAATATACACAGTTTTAAATATGATGCGAGATATCTTTTTAAACCAAGTGCCAGGTATCTTAATGTAATATTGCAATAGATCTATTTCAGCTTATTGTTTAACCTTATTGCATACACTCATCCCCAGGTATGCAAAATAAAAATACATTCTCGGAGTCCAAATACTCCTGCTCTTGTCTTGTTGACTTCTTTGAACCATTTAATCATTGACTTCACGTTTTTAATTTAATGGAGCTATGTGCTGAATAAACTTTTCCTTCAATACAGCTCTATTGACTTTGTGGACATAATAATTCCTAACTTTAGTGTAATGCTCCTGTTTGCTATCCGTTGTCATTTTCTTTGTGGGATAAACATGATTTTGATTTACGGTAGTTCAGCCATCTGTAATACAGTTGATTAATTTCTACACTTCTACAAAAACCTAAAAAAATTCCTCAACACAATTTGAAACATCGGTGCTTTCACCAAAGATACTTACTGTCTTAATTTTCAATAGACTATATTGTGTCAATTAATAACTTATCATGATTTGTAATATGTGAGTTAATTGTTATTGATTATGATTATTATATTCTATGGGTTAATTAAATAATGTAATTTTTATTCTGATTTACCTTCTATTATTTTGAATGAGTTATATCACTCACATCAATGTTACAGGCTGGAGAGACTGCAGAGGCTAGCGGAGAAGGTTCATCGAGAAATGAAGAGGTGCGACTCCCGTCTGGAGGATCTGGAGTCCAGAATACTGGAGGAGGCGAGGCGACTGGACAGACTACATCCACTGGACGCTAAACACAACGTGGACATACTGGAACAGGAGCTGCGCGCCGTGGAGGAGAACATACAGAGCATGTTTAGTGATGTGACCACTCTGCGTGAGGGACGCTACCCTCAGGCCGGCGACCTGGAGAAGAGGTAGGTGTTGATCTGTGGACGATAAACTGACTGACCACCACATTCACTGTGCAATATGGGTCGGGGGGCATAAGCTATGTGTTTCAAATGAACGTTTTAGTGATGCAAGTAGTTCCTAAATATATCAGGAAATTTTTTTATTTTCACTTTTTGATTGTTTTCTTACTCCATATTACTACTAATTTTATATCAAAGTTTAAGTTCAAATAATTGAAAATGTCAATCAATCTTGGTAAAATAATAAAGGTACAGAAATAAGTAGAATAAGTATGTGTATTGGCAAATTATCTTCCATAAGATCTTTATTAGGCCTACAGACTAAACGTGGAATTAAGAAAAATTTGGTTAAAATTATTACATGTACTTGGTTTTTCTTCAGGAACCTTCTACATAAAGAATATACCAACTTATTTTTTTCTCAATTATTCCGGGGGGTGAGCTAGTCTAGTGGTTAGAGCGTGGGACTTCTATTCTGGATTCAAATCCCACCAAATCACCTATGGATTTTATCCAAGTGATAATGCTGCGACTCCAAGGTCCATCCTGAAGTAATATGAAAACCAATCCCAGGCTCCTACCTAGCGTCCAAGGACAAAAAAAATTTAGCAAACTATTAAAATACAAGTATGTGAGAGTATGAACTATTTTGTTTGAGTTCCGTTCTCTCTATTTCTATTGATTCTGATTGTTCCCTTGAATGTCTAAATAATTGATTGGAATTTCCAATCTAGATACTGTGGGGTCCTTTCACATCGCCACAACTTATATCAGTACTCTAAAGCAACTGACAACAAATACGATACGTCTCTGTAATGTTCACACAAGTTATCATTGAGTGTTGTGTGTTTTGCAGAGTACAGAAGCTGCACCAGCGCTGGGTGTCTTTGCGCTCGTTGCTGCACCAGAAGCTGATAACACCACTCAGTACGCTCAGTTTCCCTGTGGTGGAGGAGCGCACAGTCACTCGCCAGACACACACTGTGATGGAGACAAGACTGGTCGACACAAACACTCACTTCCGAGCACTGCAGGAGGCGATCGAGTGGTGCCGCACCAAACTGGTTAGTGTCTTGTGTTAGTACATTATTTTGTAAGTTAATGCATTTTGTATGACAGAAACTTAAATTCTTTAATGGAACACACTATATTTTGTGAATTTGGTGGGGATCGTGTTCCTCTCGCACCGAAGTCTTGAGACATAACCCATTTGGTTAGCAACTCACCGGAAAAAAGGCAGTTTGTCAAGTTGGGTGATAAACTAATTCAATTACATTTTTTGGTAGTTGAGCGATCATCACGCTTGTCTTTGGGATCGGTTTTAGACCAAGACAAGATTTGTCATTAGGCTAAATATGCTATCTAATGTTGAAGTATCTAAATACTATCTAGAACAGGTTTTAGAATTTACAGTTAGTTTTATAGTTGGTCAACATAGCAGTAGAATCTTTGTATCCAACCTGGGGATTTGAGACTCCTATAGGAATATTTGACCAAAATTTACTGTCCCTCTCTGCGTTTTTACTTTGATCCTCTACCTTTTGATCTAAAAAAAATTATACATGATTTCTGTGAAAATATTTGATTTCCTTCAACGTTCTGCTTTTCCAACCCTTACTTTTGGAACTTAAGATTTTTTAACTTTATTTTGCTTTTTTTTTGCTTTTTATTTGCCAAAGCGTGGTTTTGCAAATATTTGAGATTCTTTGGTTGCAATCACAAGGGAGGTTTGCTATCAGGGGTCATTGATTAACATCACTATTAATGCTCTTATATTTGTCAAATGTTTTATTTTCAGAAACAAATCCAAGAGGCGGAGTACGGGTCAGACCTGAACTCTACACAAACCGAGCTTGAACTTCACCAGAGGGAACACAAGATCATAGAGCAGTTCCATAGCAAGGTGGAGCACTGCATCAACGCCAAGGTAAACTTTCTGACAGCGGACAGTTAAAAATTAACATTAGTTAGTTGGAAACATATCTTATCCAAAAATCACTACCAGTTTGCTGTAGTGAATTGTGACAAGTAAATGTCAATCCTTTCAGCTTCCAATGCTGCATAACGAATCTCCCACTTAGGCCTTAAAGTATAACTTAAAAGAATATTGGCTGTAAGATATATTTAACATGTGCTGCGACTAGGGAGTCAAATTAGAACTACGATGCTTGAGCTTTTGGTTGACCGGTGCTAGTGAGGTAGACTTTTAGTCTGATGAATGGCTGAGGGGTTTCAAAAGTTTTTTTTTCTAGCAATGACGACAGCGACGGTTTTTGAGAGTTTGAATCCTATCCTGGTACCCAAAAATCTAGACCTGTAGACCAGAACGCCAGTTAATGTGTATGTTGGTCGTTGGCAGTTGAATAATTTCAATGACCTAACAGTGTCCTAACTTAGTGGAAAAGTGATTGGATTCCTTTCACTACTCAAAAACACTACACACAGATTGAACTAAGTAATTTTCAACACTTGTGCATTGTTGGGTTCTTATACAACTACTCTTGTTTTCAGAAAAACTTCCATGGCGACGAGCTGAACCTGTACACGCAGCATTTGAACAGCCTACAGAAACTGTACGCAGAACTGCTGACGTCCAGCAACAAGCGTCTGTCTGATCTGGAGACACTGTTGGACTTCATACAGAGCGCGACCAATCAGCTGGTCTGGCTCAATGAGAGGGAAGAGACGGAGGTTACGAGGGACTGGAGTGACAAGGACCTCAATGTGTCGGCCATCGAGCAGTACTACGAGGTAACGACAGTACCTTGTGTTATCTTATCTTAAGTAGTTATAGTGCTTGCCTAACAATAAGAATCGGTTTGTCCTTGGTTAATGAACTTTAAATATTGTGCTAAAAAACAGCTGATCTTATTGGTCCTTTGTAGAGTGGTTTTCAACTCTCCGTACACACAACAAATCTGTAGCTACTTCTACCTCTTAGTGACATATTGCTCTATTGATATTCTGCCAATAGCTAAACTGAGATCATTACAAATGTTATGTGGAATATACTGGAAAATATTTTAATGAAAGTTTAGGCCTACATTTTTTGCAATCTAAAATCTAACTTATATATTTTTTCTTCATTGTAAAGTCATTATGGTTAAATTAACATCTTTGTTTTGTTTCAAGCATACATTTGGCTCTGGATATGAGGTTTGTTATACTTTTATTTCCCTGCTTTAAATTAAATTCACACATTATGTTTTTGAGCACTTGTTGACTAATGAAATGTGTGGTCTACGATCATTCAATTGTGTCAGGATATTTTTTTATGATGATGATATGTGGTAATTTAAAAGAGGTGGACAAATAATAACACATGGCAATCTCATAAAATATTGTAATTTGCACCGATAAAAAAAAAAAAACTTTAATAAATAAAATATTCATACTTTTACAACTCACACTGTAAAACATCATTGGCATACAAAAGATGCATAAAAAGTGACAAATTCTGGCATTTTCCGGTCTGTTAATTAAAATGTATTATATATTTGTAGTTTATTATCAATTTGACTAATTAACTGAGCGTTTTCTTTATAAATAGATGTTTACTTGACTTAACAAACATGGTTTTGCTTTGTCAAAGGGTGTAATAATCATACAATGTATCCAAAATAACCCATAACTCTAATACATCATTCTAATTAATGTTTTACAATTATTTAGAAAATATAATCTCAAATTTAGATACGTATGATTCCCATTTCTCTCAACAATCCCAAAAATAAAATACAGTTAGACTATGTATTGGAAATTATTGTTTAAATACATCATTTGATTGAGAATTATAAAAAAGTTAAAAAGATGAATAGTTTTGGCTCATTTTATATTTGGAAAAAAATCTAAAATCGTCTTGCAAACAACTAGACAGTCAGGAGTATATGAAACAAAATAAGTTCAAATCATGTGGTAGTCCCTTTGGTTCTACAACAACTTATAAATAGATTGTTTACTTCAGCTTGGAAGAAATAAAAACATAAACTAGGAGCTCACTAGACACTTAGACAGTATGGATGTTGCTGGAATTTGAGATTACTTTTCTAAAGATTGTTCATTTGTAGTTCTATCACAGAGAAGGAAGTTTCAGAAGAAATACCCAATGGTACACCTAAGTTGTGTCTAGGATAAGTCCAATACCTCCCTCTCGCCTTCATGTACCGGTACTACAATATTCACGGTGGAGGAAGACCCTGTGCCTTGTGCAATAGGAATTTCTGTACAATGCTCACCTGCTAGGGCTCTTCCTTGCTTGTCACAAGTATATTTCCAGCACAACAGACTAGATCTGATAGCGCACGGTCGTCCCATAAGCTCATTTCCTCTGTACCTTCCTTCTCTATGGTTTCATATGGTTTGTTGGAATACGCTTTACTGACTTGTCCGATGTCCGCAGTCGCTGATGAGTGAGCTGGAGAAGCGAGAGATCCAGCTTAGCTCCGTGCAGGACCGAGGCGAGGCGTTGTTGCTGCAACACCACCCGGCCACCAAGTGTATCGAGGCGTACATGTCTGCGCTACAGACACAGTGGGCGTGGCTACTACAGCTGACACTATGTCTAGAGAAACACCTGAAACACACGGCGTACTATCAGCTGTTCTATAGGGACGTCAAGGACACCGAGAACTGGATCAACAAGTGAGTAAATGCTTACACTTGACGTGAAGTGGTTTGAATATCTGCATGAAGTCATTTTTGGTTGTAGTGGCGACTAGTTCAGATTCATTGAACTGAGAAGGAGTAAAAATACAATACCTCCAAGGTTGACAACAGAGTCAATGGAATAATGGATACATAAAACAAACTTACTATAACAGAATACACAAAAAGGACAAAAACATGAACGACTGGGCTGAAGTGAAAGTCTTTACTCAGATTTTTAATAACACCTTTTATTTTATTTTATTTAGTGTGATTGATTTAATAGTACAGTGATTCTTAATTATCCTTCCTAAACATGGCTGAATGAGCATCAAGGTTGAATTTTCTTTTTTGGGTTGGATAACAATCTCATAATAAAACTATACTGTATTGTCCATTTTGTGTACAATTTGGTGTAACAGATGATCAAGTAAATAACCTCACTGGTACTCTAAAACTGCTGTATGAATTTAAAATGCAATACAAATATTCCTGAGTTCTTCACCGGTAACATGTTGCAGGAGAGACGAGATGCTCAACACAGTCTACAGTCAGTCAGAGTTCACCCTGGACGAGGGAGAGAGACTGCTCAAGGGTATGCAGGAGTTGCGAGAGGAGCTCAACACGTACGGCGAGGTTGTGGCAACACTGGCCGAGCGAGCACAGAATGTGGTACCTCTGAAGCAGCGACGTGCACCCGTCGTTCGGCCACTGCCTGTGCTAGCAGTGTGCTCTTACAAGCAGGACAACGTGAGTTGATTGTACCTTTCTGGGCTATGTTGACGGATTTGGGTTTAGTTTGTAATAATTTATTTATTTCTTGGATTTGAAATTGAGATCCAGCTTCCATTGAGCACTGATCTCTGCATTTTTATTCTCTAGGTATTCCTAGCCAATGCCTTGATCACCATTATCTCACAGTCATTTCCTTCTAACTGTCTGATAATCATAATTTCCCTGGTATTCCTCAGCTTCCTAAACCAGGTTTGGAAAAAAATTTAGATACCTTAAAGTTTGAATGTATATTGACTACCACGATCTTATTATATTTTTAGTTATGTTTGAAATATAATCCTACACACAAGGTCATCTTTCTTTAGATACTTACAGCACATCTTCTTTATTTTGATGAATCAAGAATGGTTTTATTTGATTTAGTTAAATATTTTTTACATTGAAACTGTTTTAAAAATATTTTTTTAGTAATAAAGTACTGAGACTGTTCATTGCTTTCTTATCGTTTTTATTAGCTTCGTTAGCTAAGCTCAATATTTTTTAAGGAAGGGAGTAAGTAAGGGGAATGTCGAAAGATGGGATCATAGCAGTGTTTAACATCAAGAAAAAGTATCCTCTAACCAACATAATTTTTTAAATGCAGTTTGTTCCTAAACTTTCATGAGACAATACATGGATCACCATGTAATACAATACATTTGAAAAATCAAATACTTAACAAACTCATCGTTGCAGATCGTGATAGAGAAAGGCGAGCAGTGGGTGTTGCACGATAACAGCGGCAGAGTGAAGTGGCGCGTGAGCAACGGTAGCAACGGCAGTGACTGCAACGTGCCCGGCGCAGTGTTCCTCATCCCTCCGCCAGACAAGGAGGCGCTCGACGCAGTGGAGAGGCTCAAGCGCCAGTACGAGCGCACGCTGGCCCTGTGGCAACGCAAGCAGCTGCGCATGAGGCAGAACATGATCTTTGCCACCATCAAGGTGGTCAAGAGCTGGGATCTTGCACAGGTTTGTGAAAAGTTATTGTTTTTCCTTACCTCTAGAAGCCTGTGTCTTTAGTTCTAGTCTTAATTTGTCTCCAACTATCCTTGCATATAGCTCTCCAAAATTATAATTATCTAGGGATTTATTTTTTTTTCTATTTATCTTAGATATTTTCTACTTTTTTATCCATTTCCCTCTAAGCTTTTCTTTCCTCCTTATCCCATCTATATTGTGCCGTAGCAACTGGTTTTGGTTGTGTTTCCTGAGTCAATCTCAGATATTGAATTAAAAATCTTGGATAGGTTTTGAAGAATCATAGATGCCCTTTCCAAAGTTTCTTAAAAAAAAAAATAATTTTGTAAAAATTTTTATAGCACAAGTTAAAGTCTACATGGTTATGTTTCTTTTTGACAGTTCTTAGCGATGGGTGCAGACCAACGCAATGCCATTCGCAAAGCACTCAACGAGGACGCAGGCAAACTGCTTTCCGAGGGTGATCCAGCCGATCCGCAGCTGCGCAGACTCAAGCGAGAGATGGATGAAGTCAACAGGCTCTTTGACGAGTTCGAGCGCCGCGCTCGTGCCGAAGGTATGCATAAATGTCTCATTTAATTTACATACCCGGATGATACAATGTAACATTCTGTTGGTATTTCAGTAATTTTTACTATTGAAAACAACTATACTCAATTGTTTAGGTAATGTTAAAGCTATGTATAAAATTCTATGCACTCATCTCTTGTTTAACTACAAGGCAAAAAACGTATAATTTGTTTGAAAGTTCCTATGAAATTTGGCATAGGCTAATGTTAAACACAAACAGTAAACTTTAAAAATAAACTTCTTTGTATGTACCAATATTGTAAGATTTTTCTTTATTGTCCATGGTGGGTCTGCATATGAATCTATGCTAATGTATAACTTTGTTACTGACAAAGATCAGCCATTTCTTAAGTCAGAAATTTATTAAAGAGCCTAGTATTTGATAAATTTAAGGACTAATTGTTGGCTAATCATTATGAAGAACAACCGAGTCCAGTTAGTTTTAACAGGATAGAACCCTCAATTATTTTACTCGTTGCTAATTATTTACCCCGAGATAACGGAATATTTTGTTCAGAGGAGGGTAAGAATGCGGTGAGGCAGTTGACGGAACAGTTGTCCAACCTGCAACAGAAGCTAGACGAGGCTGAACACACACTGAACCTGCGGCTACAAGCTCCTGTGCCACGGGACCTCGACTCCCTGGAACATCTTGTCATCCAGCACAAGGACTTTGAGACTAACCTCAAGGTAATATCCTTACATACAGTATTTTTAGTGATAAAAACTTCAAGAAGTGATTTTTTAATGCCTGCCAGCTTCCCCTTAGGTGGTTTTTTTTTTAATACGCCAAACCATCCCTTATTTTTCTCTTTGCTGTCAGCTATAAGTGTTGGTACTAGTCATGATTGAATTCATAATTTCTTCCACTAAATAGATTGAAAAATTTCTAGAAGGCAATTAACTGAAATTGGTAGGTCCATTTTCACCACTAATGGGTTCAGACCTTTCATACAGTATCAACGAAAATAGTCTTCCCATTTTAAAACAATACGTTTGTTTCTTTCACACTATGATCGGAAATAGTTAAAGATCAAGTGACTAATGGACAATACAATCCTAGTTTGATATAGCTCATTCATTTGTTGTCAGAGGCCACCATCTACCGTGGTGTGTCATGACGTAAAACCGTAGCAATATCTTTGAGGCATAACAAGTAAGACTTGGCAACTTGCCATCAAGGCTTAAAGTCTCCTATGGTTTTATTCATACAAGTAACACAGCAAATTTTCTGCTGCTTACATTTAAATACACGTTCTTAGATATGTACTTGACAGTTTGATAAAAAACCACATGCCCACATGCACAATTAAAAATAAAATAAAATCTAATATTAAACAATGACTAATTCTGAAGTAGCGGAGTTGTGGTTTTTAACCGACAGTTTTTTATAGAGTCTGACTGGAGAGGTGGACGCTGTCCAGGCCACGCTGCGCTCTGTAACTCGCAAGACACCGCAACTACAAGCCAAGGTGGATAAGGTACTCACTCAGTGGAACTCTCTCTGGAACTCTTCACATCTCTACATTGAGAGGTAAAGAATATGGAACTGTGATTAAGTTTAATTTGAAGAGCTATAATCTGTGTAGGGTGTTTTTTTTATCTTAGCGTATAATAATCTTAGTATTATAGGCCTAACCTTAATTATATTACTTTTTTACTCCACCTTGAGATCCTGTATTTGTCCTACTGATTATTTGTTTTGACGTTCATTGTAATGTTTTATCAAATCTACTCTATGAAATAAATTATTGTTTTATACATCATAGTTTGACAAACACTAAAGCACAAACGTTTTTTTTTCCAAACAACCAAGTTTAACTATTATTAAATTACATTTTTTTCAAACTCAGTTCAGTTTAATTACTGAAGAATAATAAAATAAAATAAAATAATTTTTATATTTTAATATGAACAACACTTTCCTTGCATTTAACCTAAAAAAAAACAAAAAAGTACATTTTCATTTCACTTATGTAACGAATAAATCTTGACATGTTATTTTTATATATGGCTATATCTATAAAAATATGTTTTCACAACAATATTTCCACATTAAAACCTACACTTAAGATTAATATTTATATTATCAAACTAATATTACATTATCAAATATTATTACTATTTTTTAATTTAAAATACACAAATTCACAAATAAGAAAATAACCAAAATGTAACAACAAATTTCTAAAAATATATTTGAGTAAGTATGACGAGAGTGGCTGATTCAGAGTAATATTTGCATTAGATTTTATAATCAAAGATTCATTGACACAAAACAATTCATCAACATACAGAAATCCTTTTTATTAATAATACAATTTTGTATGGTTTGTAACTAGTATTTAAAACTACTTGCTCACTTCAACACTATCTGTTAATGGTCATGTAGACATGCAACACTGGCTAAATATGATTCATAAATACGTAAATGTGCGTTCACTGTTGTATTCAGTCTGAAACAACTCTTTTCCTCGTCCAGTTCTCTTAATATAGGAGCCATTTTAGATTATTCTGTAAACTTGTGACTTTTCCTGTTTGATATCTGGTGACTAAATAGTTTGTTTGAATTTATAATTTATACACAACACTTGTAGTAATGGGTTGCATTTGGTCCAGATTGAAGTGTGTGGAAATCATTCTCACGGGACTCGACGAGTGTAACAACGTCATCTCTGAGTTTGAGCTAAAACTCGCTGCCTTCCAAGAAATGCCTTCAGAGTTTGAGAGTTTGCAGACGGTGAGTAAAATCCCTTATTTCGTCAATCATGTAGTTACTCTACAATAATAATACTTGTCTAGTCATTAATTAATCAATTTTTTATTAACAGTAGTTATATTTACTAATTTTAAAACAAATACATTTTAACTCATTACTTTTACTCTTCAATAAAATAAATTGAGGGAACAGTGATGCTACCAAACACAGTTGCTCAGTTGGTGTTTTGAGCTGCAAATCCAGACATTTACAGTTTGAAGCTATAGTTAATTAAGTTTTATAACCATTTTGTGTATTAGTTAGATCATAAATGTTGATAATTATCAAAGACGATGTATGTATTAGGACAGATTAATTATCTTTGATGCCATTCAGCGTACATAACAGTGCTTTATGAATAAAGGAAATTTGATTGGATAAACCTTTTTTTTAAATAATATAAAATCCAAAAGTTTTTTTGAGAGAAGGCTGCCATTCTTATACAGTGAACTGGGGCCTTTAGGTTAGTTTGTTTTAGGTTAGGTAATTTTTCTTTAGTTTATGATAGTGACAAAGAAGGTAATATTACAAAAGCGAAAGTTTATTTTGATTAATTTGTTAAAGAGACAAATTTAAAAGCGGTCAATTTGTATTCATGCCACTTTGTTTAATTTGAAAACAGTAAATTTTGTAATATTACCTGATTTGTCACTATCATAAACCAGGCTAACCTAACCAAACCGCACTCTAAAATAGTCGCAGCTCTCTTCTTAAAAATACCCAAATTCATCTTGTAAATAGAGAGTATTAATTTGTCTGTGTGCATCAGGTACACAAACAGCTGGTGTCGCTGCAGAAGGAGGTGGCTGCGACACAGCCGTCCATAGATCAGCTGGTCGAGGACTCTCACAACTGTCGTCGTCTGGTGGAGAAGTCTCGCAGCCACGTACACCACGGCGGTCCACACATTGACCTTGACAGGGTAGACACTGATGTCAACCGAGTTGTACAGAGGTGGAATAACATCTGTTCTCAACTCGTTGACAGGTAATGTCTCAGTCATAGATATCTCATTTCTAGGAAAATCTAGCGTTAGTTAGTTTTATGTGGGTAATCCTTGTGCCCCATTCTCAGCGTTCAACCGCGTTTACTTTTGAGGCTTAGTAGGAAAATAAATTTAAAACTGTCATATGATCAAACTTCAGTCAAACCCACAATGTTCACAAGAATAAAAGAGATAGTAATGGAAACCAAAGTTTAAAAGTCTGGAAAATGCTAATAAAGGGTCTCTGTAAATAATGTCAGGATTTTGAACAGCCTATTCTTGGGGACTATTAAAGATAATTAAACAATCTGAATGTCAAATTGAAGGGAAAAGAACAAGATTGTTTCACGCCTTAATACATTTTGATGCTCCGTTAGTTGCTCTGCATATATGGAAGTGGTTTTCAATTTCTTACCAAGCCAAGTATTGTGTAGTATCTGTGGTGTCACAGCGGCAATCACTTCCGAAATTTGTCTACGCAGATGTGCCAAATCACAAATGTTCTCAGCGTAAACGATGTTCTTTACATCTAGTGTTAAACTCTTTAGTTGTTCACTTGTCTCTGAGTAGAGGCCCACCTAAAAAAAACATCGGACGGTTCAGGTTGAAGTTTACACGACGAGTGCATCCTATTTTAGTTGCTACTAAAATCAGGCATTTACCTACTTTATTCTAGTAACTACTATGTGCGTCTATTAAAAATTGGTTTTTAAAATTCTTTTGTTGTAGCATAACGTCAAAGGTATTATTAAATAACTTAATCCATGAGTTCCCAGGGTGAAGAACAAAGTTTATCGCTACAAGTCCAGTATGTAACATTGCCACACCTTAACAGCTGTTGTTTGTCACAGGGCACGCAGCTGCGAGGCAGCATTCAACTTACTGTCCAAGTTCAAGAACTCGTACCAGTCGGAGGTGACGATCATAGACGAGAGCTACAAACAACTCAACTCCATTCCAGCCGTGCAAGTGAAGGAAACCATTGACCTGACTAAGGTAAGAGTCGTCGGGAGGTAAGCGATACGAGGTAACCACATGTCGCACCGTAGCATGACCGTAACAACCGATGTAAAGAAAACATGCGGCCAACTACATTAACATCGGCCGCAGTAGTTAATTGCATTTTTGAGAAAATTTACATTAAAAGTTGTCGAGGTGAATGTGTAAATACTTGTAATCGTTATATTGTTACTAATCAACTTTAGGGTTGTTGAAAAGTATGTAATGGAAACAATGTTGTCTCGTTTGTAAAATTGTGATTTGTGATTTCATCGGAAGAAGTTATGTCTACACAAATTAAGGAGAATGTTGAATAATTTTCTTACGTGCAATTCTGAAGTGTTATTTTTCAGTTCTTCAACTGAGGTACAGTTTTGAAAATTCTAAATTTCCTCATACAATTCTATAGAGATATTGTTTCTACTCTATTTACACTTGTCCACCTATCTAATGATTAATCAGTTTGTAATTTAACACAAAATCTTACCAATCTCATTTTAAGCGTAAGAGCATGACCTAATGAACTTATTTTGTAATCATTTGATACAAATCGTCAACTCTTTTAACCTCCCCTCACTGTATCGTAAAAATTCACTCACTTTACCGTAAATATTTGAAGTTGAAATGTTGTGAGTGGTGGAAAAGAGTCGACTGGTCACTGGTGCTAACCGTAACACAACCTAACCTAACCTGTACACTGTAGACGCTGTATACGTCAGTGCTGGAGCGAGCCCCGGCAATGGAACAAGTTAACATGGACGGCGGCCGCTTTATACGGGAGGCAAAGGTGAGTTGATTACTTTAGTGTTCATTTTGGTGCTTTCCTTGTCATGTCTTGGTGCAGACAATTTTTTCTACAATTTTATGATGAAAGTTAAAACATTTATGGGTTGAAAACATTTGATACTTTAATATTTTCAAATTTGGCAGCTGTATGTACTATAGCGTTTGATGTACTTTGGAAAAAGTTTGAAACTTGAATATAATGTTCCAGATTTGGTAAAAGATTTTTAATTTAATAAATGTACGTTAAAAATTTAACGATAAATTAAATGATTAAATTTACCCTTACTTTTGGTGTTCATTTCTTTAAAATAAAATATTTGCGACAACAATCCAATAAGCCTATGAATTTCAACTTGCATTACCTTAAACGGACTATTGAAAGTCATCTCATCATTGTTTACCAACTATTTTACGTCATAAATTTATCAATTGTCTGACCAAGACATTTTTGAGTAAGACAGCGAGTTTAAGGGAAAAAAATCCTGTACATAGGGTAAACCAATGTGTTCTGTGTCGTAGAATGCACAGTTTACGCTATTATTTGTTATTTGTTATTTTTGTAGTTTGGTCCTAACTCCTTTGGAGGTGTTGGGGTAGTTTGTTTACGGTACAGAATTGTTGAATTATAGCAGCTGATTCGCTCACTTTATTCACTGGGGAAGGAGAGCAATTTTATTAAAATTGTGTTGGAAATTATTTATTTAGACTAATTGTGGAGTTTCTGTACTACCTAAATGTATATGGAGTTTGATAAAACTCAAATTCCAGGTATTGAAATTAGTTCACTCCCCCAATACACAGGAAAACTATATAAACCAAGGGAAATCTGATAGAGTCACCGTTTGCACTGAATGTATATAATCCAGCAAATCATGGGAGTTGTGGCCGGTGACGATAGACGACGTCGCAATATCATAACATAACTGCTTGTTTGGAGACGGTAACCTAACCCTAACCTAACCTTAACCCGTGGTAAGATCTACGACGCAGGCCTGACCCGCTACATGGAATGGCTGACGGAGGAGGTCCACCCTAGTCTGGACGCTGGGTCGCGCAAGATGGCGCGGCGCGAGGGTGGCGCAGAGCTGACGGCGAGGGAGCTCGATGTTCTCAACCACCGGTACGACAAACTGTTGGAGATACTTTACGAGAGGCTGCAACGCATCGCTAAGACTGACCCTCAACTTCAGGTGAGTAAACTTGGCAAGAATGTAACTTTTTTAGTGATGCATTAGTTATTTACAAGTTTTAAACTAGAACTAGAAGATGAACTTATTTTTGGGACATGAATGCCAAGTTGAACTGTAGAAGATACTGAATAACTTTTGGATGCAGTAATCTATCTTCAGGGCAAGCTACAGTTAAACTTTTGTGTGCATTTGTAGTTTTTTCAAAGATGAATTGCTGATAGGCATCTGAAATGTCAAACACTATTTTCACCAGTTCAACAACACCTTAATCTCCTGGAGAATTAGATTTAACAGAGTTTACTGGTTTTGTCGTTGAAGCTGATTTGTGCAAGATTAGGTTTTCCTTACCACCTTTAAGCATTAATTTCAAGTTGGATGATAAATGTGGAAGATATATTTCATGGAAGTATACTTAAATTGAATTTACAATGTTTACCAACTGATTGTGATTAGGATAGGTTACTGTTGTGTTGGTTAAAACTTAAAAGTAAAGTTTTGCAATTTGTATTGCAATTAATTTGTAATTGAATGATTTTTCCTAAAACATCAGGGGCAGTCAATAAGTAGGTAAAATTTGTTTGTTACCAACAATACAATTTTAACAACTAATTTGTTTGACAACATTTTGACATATTTGCCACCCCTACTTACCATCAATACATGTATCCAACATATAAAAAATATTTCTATCAACAACAGCAGTTAAAAACATCAACAGTAAGGTGCCAAACTAAATTAGACAATTAGAAAACCAGTTTGTGATGATGACACTGACAGATGGTCAGTTGTGAAAGACTGTACCGTCACAAGAAGTGACTGTACTCTAATGATCTACTGTGTCCGGAAGTGACTGTACAGGAGTGGTGTGTGTAGGTGTTATGTAGGAAGTAGATCACCTTCAGTCCCTTCCACTCTTCAACTCTTCTACTCAGAGTTTCATTCACTAAACGCAACCCTGCGTAGGCTGTTGATTGCTAAATTGTCAACAAAGTCTTTGTTTTCGGATACTTCCAGCTGTTGATTGTCCAAAGCTTTTGCAGTATTTTTATCTAATATAAACTGAGAATTAACTATTTTTAATTTAGGTTCTCATATGTTCACTTAATGTCATGCTTTAAAATAAGTAGTTTATTGTCATGCAATTTACAACTGTGATAAATGTCTACCGTTCTAAATATTTTTCAAAGTTTAAATTAAGGGTTGTCACATACAAACATTTTATTGTTATGGTTAAGTCTTAGATGTAAACAAATTTAGTTTTTATTCACCACAATTACTTTAGAATACAATAAAACTACCAAAATTTTATGCCAAATCACAAGAAAGTGTATAATTATCACAACATTAGTCATACAGTATGAAACTACATATGACACAAAGGTCAATGCAAATGCTACAGGACTGTACCAGTTCTGCCCACTCCCCCCTCTGTGCTCCCTTTGATTGTTACCTGCACCAGTGCCAGTTTGATTTAGTTTCTGTTTGAATCAGTGCTTTTCATTTTGTGGTTTAACGTGTCATTTTTTGTAAATTTAAACACGGTTAGGTGAGTTTTTGTCTATTTACAATATTTAAGCACAGGTTCTAGGGCCATAATATTTTTATGCATACACTTGTTTAGGTTAAAAGTGTTTGAGTCTCCAACAAGTTCAAATCCGAATTAATTCTCACATTTGGTTCAATCTTTTCATTTGTAAGACAGTTTGGTAAGACTTTGTCAATATATGATATTTCAACTCTCAAAAAAATAAGTGTTTGTTTATAAAGTTTACATCTACACTTTAAATACACTACTTTAAATTTATTTTAAAGCTATTATCTTTGTTATCTCTTAGGTGTTTTAATAAGCAAACATTGTAGATATACAGTTAGTTTTTACCAGCTTTAAATTTAATCAATGTGATACTCATGAAGATTTTTCGGTTCAAATTAATTTTGTAAATATTAGTTTATAGTAAAAAAATTCTCAAAGTTGTTATCAGAGTATTGTTAATAACTGTAAATTGATCTTCTTATTTTTATCTCTTGTATATCTTTCAAGAGTTTTTAATTGACAAAAATAACTGGATCCAAGTTTCATGATAATCTAAATGAATCCACTCTTAAATGATGTGAAAACTTCAATCGTGCTCTCAAGAAAACAAAAGCAATTTACCGAAACGGTTAACGGTTTGGCCTCATTTGAAGGTGTATCAGCACGTCAAGTAGTAAAGTGGTTTCCAATAGTTTAATTGTTGTTTGCTGTGTAGGCGGAGCTTGCAGACATGATGCCTCGGCCAATCAGAACGTTCAGAACAGAGTTCAGCATCCACGAACACTCCAGCGAACAAACCAGATATTCCTCTACCACCAGGTATGAACATACACATCTTTGTAATGCTTTAAGGATTAAAATGTTACTCACTAAATCTTTTTATAAACATAAACAAAAATTACTATTTTCTACGTAGTTCAGTTTATGGTGACACTTTTTATTAATATTTTAGGGTTTTTTTTTATTGTAGTTGCTTGTAATGTAAGCTGAAACTACTGGTAGAGACAATTTAATATAATTAAACAGAAGTGATTTGATTGATTCTTTTAAGTACAAACACTAGCCCCTACTGGAGTAAAACTCTTTTAATAGGCCTAATTAAAAGTATTGACATTATATGCTTATTACTTATAATTACAAACTAGTCCTAGTATTTTTGTGTGTGTGTGGTGTGAAAATTTGTGTTTACAGACACATAAATATCACTTTACTCGTACAACAATTAGGCTTAAAAAACATTAATCAAGCTAGCCTTTTAAATCACTGTGTGCACTCTATTCCACTAGTTAGCTACCGATTCCCCAGACTTGGTCATTGTCTTTATAGTTCATTAACTAAGTGAGTTACTTGACTTATAAAACAACATAACCACCTACACTAGACATTTACACACATTACACACATTCTTATTCATTACATTCTTATTTATTTGGACTTTTTACATAGCTTATGTATTTAAGTTCCATACATTAATTTTTAAATTCCGCTAAATTTTAATCTATTGCATTTTAATACCTCAAACTCACGTATTTCTGTAAATATTTTGCTTACTAGCAGGTTGCCTTAAATCTTTTCTGGTTGAATTTCAAACAAATATTAAATTGTATGGCATAGTGCAGTAATATAATACACATTAAAGAATCTAAAGAAATAAGAGTTATTTGAAAACATAAAAATTTTAGGTTATTTGGATTGTAAAATTTATTTATCTGAACAAATTAATGAAATTAATGAATTGTAACTATAAAATATTACGAAATTGTTACCTGCTTATCACTCTATCAGGTGCAACAATAAATTAATACTAATGTGTAATTTTATGACAGTCTCGTTTTGTTTAATGTTATTACAAATGAATAGATAATTTTATTAAATTATTTAGCAGCAGAGTCATGTCACTTTAACAGTAGTTGCTTTAACATTCATCATGTGCTGAAGTAAGCTATGACGGCATTGTCACTATAATACTCTTGATAACTGAAACTCCTGATAAGATATCATGAGTGCTACTTGTTTCTCTCAACGCCATTGTTTGAGATCTGGTACTCTTTTGATCTTATCTTAGTTGTTCATAGATCTCCGTTGGGACAGGTGGCAAATTTGTAAAACTGTGTGATAGTATTAGTGATTTTAAAGTAAAAATAAATTAAGTCGATAAATTTAAGTTATGGCTGGATAAAAAACTTATTGGAATGTTTAGACAAGCAAGATTCATGTACAAACTAGTTTACCCAGTATATTCCTGTTATTGCCAATGCTCTTCTTTCGACAGGTACTCTTCAGATACAGTGGACTCGACACAGCTCAACTCTAGTGAAAAAATTTCAAAATCGTTCGCGAGTGTGAAAGTGTCGAAACCCGCCAACAGTCGCGAAGAATCCCCTGCAAAATCTTTTCCCGACACGGTCAACGAAACAGTCAAAATAGGTAACAAAGTGTCAACAAATGGCGAATCTAGTCCAGCAAAATTTAGTACTATGCAATTCTCGGAAATCCGATCGTTGAAGCGGATAAACAGGGTGGAGGAAGGAATCGGAACGGACAATGCGGATATCATAGAGACTCCGGGAATAATCCACCCTCAGACCGGTGAAGTGTTGACTGTCGGGGACGCTATTAGGTTAAGGGTGTTAGATGTTCGGACTGGTAGAATCAACATGGTTGTGAATTCGAAAACAGTGTCTGTTACCATAGAAGAAGCTGTGGAGCACGGTCTAGTCAATCCTACACTAGCGGATCGGTTGTTAGGTCCGTGTGGAATAGTGGAGGACGAGTCAAAACCCCAGCTGTCCCTCCTGGAAGCCATCCAGAGGGAACTGTTGGACGCAGAGCGAGGACCTGCGGAAAGAGCAAAGGTAAGACAACCAGAAGAGAGAGGGGTTAGCATTGCTGACGCTGTACGTGGAAACGAGATAGATCCGGAAACCGGTCTGTACTTGTTGAAGAACGGGAAGAAGATAAGTCTGAAAGAAGCATTCCAGTTAGGTTTATTAAGAAAAGATACAAAAGTCAACAAGAGGAAAGGTGTCGCATTGGCTGATGCAGTTGTGCAAGGAATCGTGGACGAACGAACGGGACAGATTGTGGATAGGTACACTGGAGATAAATATCCTGTGGAAGTGGCAATAGAGAAAGGTCTCATCGACCCTGACTTGAGAGAAGTAGTGGAGGTGGTAGGAGATACCAAAGTGACTGTGGATGAAGCATTGAAGTCAGGCCTACTGAAGGATGGCAAGTACATGCATAGCTTGTCTCAGGAGAAACTGCCTTTGAGGGAAGCTAAGAGGCGTCAACTACTAATTAAACCGATGACACTAAAAGATTGTGTTGATTTAGACGTGTTTGAAGACGGATATGTGAAAACTCCTACACATAGAGCTAAGGTTACCATCTTGGAGGGGATATCTCTCGGAGTTCTGGACAGTGACTCAGCCAAATCTGTCACAGACACTAGAACTGAAGAGCTTTTGACTCTCTCAGAGGCACTTACTGAAGGTATAATTTTGCCTGAAGGAAAATTTGTAGATTTAGCTTCTAATGAAGTATTGACCATTCCAGAAGCCGTAGATAAGGGGTACATAACTTCTGTATCTATTAAATCCATTTTTGATATCGATGGCTTTAAAGATCAAAATACCGGTGAATTTGTCAGTTTAAATACGGCTATCCAAAAAGGGATAGTGAAAAATTCTGAATATGTAATAGACTTCAAGTCAGGAAAAACAATCCCCCTTGATGAGGCTGTGAAATTAGAATTAGTCCGTCCTGAAGTACTAGAAATGCTGCAGAGAAAGATAGGAATAAAGTCAGGTGGCAAAGAGTTAACTGTGTTGGAAGCAGTTTTTAAACAGTATTTAGACCCAAAGACTGGAATTGTTATGGATAAAAAGACCAAAAAAGGTGTTCCTTTGGATGAAGCAGTAAGGAAGAAGTTAATATCACCTGAAGGAGCGGCATTATTAAACAGTCTATTAAATATCACTCTTACTACACAGACAGTTACCAAAACAATAAAGCGCTACTCAACCAGTGTGACTGTGGCGGAATCTTCGAAACTTGTAACATTTGGTGAAGCCATTAGGAAAGGTCTGATTGATGAAAATACTCAAATGTTCAAAGATGAAAGTACCGGAAGATTTATGCCTGTTGAAGATGCCGTTAAGGAAGGTTTGCTAGGATTCCAATCAGACTTGGGAAGCCCCAGTAGTAGTTGCTCCTCAAGAGATGAATCACCAACCAAAGGTTCACCGACGAAGAAACGATCACCAATCAAGGAAAGTGTCAAGAGAGCCCTAGATTCATTATCTAGAACAGGATCAGTCTCGCCCACGAAAAAGTCATCGGGCGAGAGTTCTCCTGAAAAACATGCAAAAATGTCAGAAGAATTTATTGTAAAAGAGAAACTCAAAACAGAACGACAGGTGTTTGAACTTCCTCCTGAAGGGTGGTACCTCGGTGAAGCGATAGAGCAGCATCTGTTTGATCCAGTCACTGGTCTTTTCATCATTCCAGGTACTGACAGGTTGGTTTCATTTGAGGAATGTATTAATCTTGAAATTATCAATCGCAAATCAGCGATGGTTGTAGATCCTAACAAAACAAAAAACATAACTTTGACAAAAAGCCTTGAAAAAAGAATACTTGACTCAACAGGCCATTACTTCTTACAGGATGGCAAGAAAATTACAATGAAAGAAGCAATAGAAAAGAAGCGTGTAATATTGGAAGCTAGAATGGATATAAAGCCTACCTCACATAGATTAATTCAGGTAACAAAAGTGACTGGAAAGCCAGATATTATTGAAGTTTCAGAATCAGGTACGGACAGAACAACGTTCAAGGAAATCAAACCTAATGACAATGAATCCAACATTGAGCCACTTCAAGTTGCTCCTGGTGTCATTTTTGATCCTGCGACTGCCTTGGTAATTTTTACTGACAATGGTAAAGCCGACAATTTACTAGATGCTGTGAAAGAAGGTAAAATTGAACCCAGTAAAGTAAAAGTTAAAGATCCAAATACTGGCAATGAAGTTAATATCAACGAAGCAATCAAGAAAGGTATAATTGATAAAAATAGCGGTGATTACAAAGATAAATCTGGTAGAAAAATAAGCTTTGCAGATGCTGCTAAGTTCGGTGTTGTAGCTGTTTTAGGAGCTCCATTAGTTGCTGTGAGTAAAGCTGCGAAAATGATCCAAAAAGCGATGGTTGTAGATCCGAAAACTGGAGAAGAAATACCAATTGAAGTTGCTTTTGAAAGGGGTTTGGTTGACAAAGAGACATTGGCTAAATATGAGCAAGCTATGGAAGTGGATGATGAGGGAGGACTTTCCCCGGTCAAGTCGGTTCAAGTTGGAGATATAACCTTAACAGACACAAACCAGGCTGTAAAACCTGTACATTCTGAACCAAGCAGCCTTCAATCTAAAGAGCAGCCTAAATACAAGACATTAGATACATCCTTTATATCTTTGGAAGACGACACAAGACCATCTGAAGCGGAGTTAACTAGAGCAAGAGTTACCACCGAACCTAAATATAAAGTGTCTATTGGCCGGGCTCGATCCCTGTCTCAGAGCCCCGATAGAGAGGCCAAACCAGTTGTCTTGCAGAAAATGCGGAAGAAAATCGTTAAACCTAAAGATGCCGTTGATGTAGGCATAATAGATAAAGAAACAGCAGAGATTTTAGAAAAGCCTGAAAGTTATCAAACTAGAAGCGGAGAAAAACTCAGCCTATCTGAGGCTATCAGTTTGAAAACCTTAGATGGAAACACTGGCGCAATAAGAGATCCCCAAAGTGGAGAGTTACTTACAATAAAAGAAGCGATGGAGAAAGGTATCCTGGACTCAGCAGGGTCTTCAGGTAAACTTTTGATTCCGATTGCAAGAAGTCTTTCCATACCAGCTGTTTTAGAACAAGGTCTGTACGAAAATGGTAAAATTGTGCATCCAGAGACTGGAGCTCATCTCTCTCTTAGAGAAGCGATACTGTGTGAAATTGTTGATCCAAACTCAAAAATAACTGATCCAAACACAGGAATAAAAATGACATTGGAAGAAGCAATTGCCAAAGGAAGTATCGATGATGAAAAGACTAGAGTAAAAACTAGAAGAGGGTCCCTAGATTTGTTGACTGCAGTTGCTGGTGGGTTGTTTGATAAAGTTGATGAGAGGAAAGGACTTGATCAGCTTCCACCAGCAGGAATGACATTTCCTGTGGCCTTGAAGAGAGGGTTGATTGACCCAGATTCTCAGGAAGTTGTTCATCCGGTTACTGGTATAAGAAAACCAGTGCATGTAGCAATTCAAGAGGATTTTATCATGGCGTTACCTTGTCCAGTTTCTCCTGACTGCATGCAGGTGACTGATGCTTTAAATTCAAGACTCATTGACAGTGAAAAGGGTATTTTTATCCACCCCAAGACTGGAGAAGAAATCCCAATTTCTGATGCTGTGGAGATGGGACTACTTGTACTAAAACCACCAACTGATGAAATTGGAGGGCCAATAACCTCGATTACTGAGACTGTAAAGAGTTTTGAAACTATTACAACTAAAACAATTGTGCTTCAACAAGGTTTTACTTTAATCGGTCCTGACACAATTAAAAATATCAACACAGGAGATGTGTTGTCTTTAGATGATGCTAGAAGGAAAGGAATTGTTAAGGATGAGTCGGTAACAAAAGAAGAATCGTCCTCAGTTAATCAGGATAGAGGGAACGGCAGTAATTTGAAAGAGTACACCAAAGATGCTGAATGCAACTTAGTCAAAGGAAAGTCTTTGCAGAAAGGTGCAGACTCAGCAATTCCAGATACGGAAACAACAGAAGGAAACTTGATTGCAAAACAACAAGTTGCCATTGAAGAAGCTTTCAACAGTATTTATGATGAGAAATCAAGGAAATTCAAAGATCCAAAATCACCTAACAAACTGTTGACATTTAAAGAAGCCTTGGATGCTAAATTAATAGACCCTGAAGCAATGATTGTTGATGTGAATACAGGAGAGCCCATAACTACAAGAGAAGCTGTAGAAAGAGGTATTATTGATCCGAAAACTGGAGCCTTGAAGGATAAAAAATCTGGTGGCAGTTTAAGTGTAAAAGAAGCTGCAAAACTGGGTCTGTTGGCAGTAGTGGGGGCTCCAATTCTTGCTGGTAAGGCAGTTGCTGATGCTGTAAAAAGTTTAAAGAAGAGCAAATCCCCTGAAAGAAAGAAGTCTGTGGAAATCCCTGCAACACAGATTACAATTAGAACATCGAAAACTCCCTCACCGCCTAGAGAAATTCCAACAAAAAGTATACCTCTTAAAGAAGCCATTCATTCTGGTAAAATTCAACCTGATCAATGTTTTGTCACTGTACCTGTCGCTGGAGAAACAAAACGAATCTCTGTAAAGGATGCTCTTGATAGAAATCTAATTAGTCTGAACAATCCTATTGAAGTTCTTGGGCCCGCTGAAATATCAGTTGTAGATGAGAAAACAAAATACAAAGTATCCGTCACTAAACATTTAAACCCCAAAGAATTAGCATTAAGAGGTGCTTATGACTTGAAAAGTGCTGAATTTCTTGACCCTAAAACAGGTGAAGCTGTTGATTTCAGTGATCTTGTTGGGGAAAGTAACGTATTTGACCCTCAAATGATAACAGTGAAAGATCCACAAACTGGGGAACGCATATCTTTAGAAGCAGCCCTTGCAGTTAATTTGATTGACCCTGAAACAGGCAGCATAACAGATCCTGATACTGGAAAAATAATACCTTTCTTTGAGGCACTCAAGCTTGGATGGGTGGTACAGACTGGTGATCAAACTAAAAAGACTCAAAAGAAGGCAGAACCTGGAATATCACTCGTTGATGCAGCTCAAAGTGGTATTTTCAATGCAGCAACTGGAGAAGTTAAAGATCCAAAAACCGGTGAAGTTTTAAGCTTAGCAGAAGCTCTGGTAGTAGGAGTGATTGATCCAGATCTCATCACCATCAGAAACCCAGCAAATGATGACCTTCTCTCATTGGCTGAAGCTGTTGATTGTGGCATCGTGGATCTCAACCGGGGTGTTATCATCAATCCTGAGACAAAACAAGAAACAAGTATGAAAACTGCTTTGAATGAAGGCTTCTTGATATCTGGTTTAAGAAAACCCATCTCCCTGGAGCCTGTGATTAAAAAGGGATGGTACACTTCTTCGGGTAAAATACTAGATCCTTTAACAAAGAAAGAGATTGATGTTAATGAATCTGTTAAAAGAGGAATTGTTGACCCATTCATAACTGAATGCAAAGATACAAAAGAAAATAAATTCATTACTCTCGATGACGCCTTGACTACAAAATTAATTGATTCTGAGGCTGGAAAATTGAAAAATAATGTTTCAGGTGTTTTAGTATTGTTGGATACTGCTGTGGAACAAGGATTGATCCGTACAAACAGTGTATCTTTTCCTCTCATAGATGCAATAGTTCAAGAGTATTACTCCCCTAAAAATGGAAAACTACTAAATCCCTGCATTGGAGAAGAGCAAACTTTAAGAGAAGCGAATAACTGCAAATTCATTGATTACAGTTCGGTTTTAGTCAAAGATGCACACAATGACAAAGTCTTATCAGTACCTGAGGCCGAACGTGTCGGGCTATTGGACAGTGATAAAGGTGTTTTGAAATATCCTGTACAGATGACATTAGACACAGCATACGAGAAGGGATATTTGTTGACAACTCAAAAACCATTGTCTCTCCAAGAAGCTCTAGCTCAAGGTTGTTATGACTCAAAAACCGGATTGATGGTTATGGGAGACGAAGACAAAATAACTCTTGAAGAAGCCATGAAAATAGGAGAAGTCAACCGAAATGCTTTAACTGTAAAAGATCCAAGATCCGGTGACATAATTACTCTGTCCGATGCAATAAAGATTGGTGTCGTTGATCCAAAGGCAGGCACAGCCACTGACCCGACAAACGGGGCAGAAATGCACTTCTATGATGCTTTAGACAGAGGTTTAATTGTCCCTGCTAAAAGAAAGTTTTCTCTACCAGAAGCAGTATTCAAAGGATTTTACGACCCTGTATCCGGTAGGTTTACAAGTCCAGAAACTAGGGAAAAACTACAAACAGACAGAGCGATTAGAAGAGGTATAATAGATCCAGCGTCTACCATGGTGAAGGTTGATGGTAAAGTAATGACCTTTGAGCATGCTGTTGAGGACGGTATTGTGGACGCCAAAAGTGGAACAATCAAGTTTGAAAATAGAAAATTGGACTTCCAGGAAGCTTTTGAACAAGGGCTGCTAATTGAAGTTCGGCGTCCTATAACGTTGAATGAAGCAATTTTGAAAGGTATTTACGATGAAAGAACTGGTTTGTTTGTTGACCCAGCAACAGGTGACCGATTAACTCTGCAACAAGCTATTCAGTTATGTCTCATTGATCCTGATTCAGTTCATGTCAAGGACACTAGAAGTGGTTTCCTGAAAAAACTAAATCTTTCTGAAGCAATAAAACACGGTTTTGTCGATGGAACTACAGGTAAAATTAAAGATTTTTCAAAAAGTGGAGCGGAAGTTTCAGTCATTGATGCTTTTGAATCTGGTTTGCTTGTTGACAGCAAAGCAGCAGTTTCGATCCAGCGAGCCATCCATCAAGGACTGTATGATGATCAGTCAGGAAAGTTCACAGATCCTAACACAGGGAGGAAAATCACACTTCACGAAGCGATACGGAGGTTCATCATCAATCCTCTTCTTCCATGTTATTGGGATAAGAAACCTGAAAAACTTCTGTCCCTTGTGGAAACATGTAGAGCAGGAATAATTGACCGAAGAGCTGGCATGTTTAAAGAACCTGGAGCAAATTGCACAGTGTCACTTTCTGAGGCAATGGAAATCGGACTTATTGTTGATATTGAAAGTGCTGGATTTGGTCTGTACGAAGCAATTTCCATGGGACTATGTGAAGAGGGAAAAGTTGTACATCCGTCAACAGGTAGAAAACTCACTTTGTGTGATGCTGTAAAAGAAGAACTTATTAATCCTGTATCTTCAATAGTTAAAAATACAAAAACTGGGAAATACATGAAATTGCCAGAAGCTGTAGAAATGGGACTGATAGATGACATTGTTGGAGTATATCAAGTACCTGATACAGGAAAGATTCTAACACTGCAAGAAGCAAAGAAAAGAGGTTTGATCGTGCCATCGAAAAAACCTCTCAGCATAGAAGAAGCAGTAAAATGTGGGTTGTTCAGAACAGATAGTGGTAAATTTGCTGACCCTGAAAGTGGAGAGTTCTTTGATCTACATGAAGCCATCAATAAGGGTCTCATAAATGCGGAGACAACTGCAATCAAGGATCCAGTCACAGGTCAGCTAAAGAGTGTAAATGCTGCAATTGAAGATGGAACTATTGACATCTCTAAAGGAAGAGTTTTAGATCCAAAAACCAAACGGTCATACTCCTTGGACACAGCTTTGCAAAAGGGCATTTTAGTCACAGTTGAAAAACCACTAACATTCCAACAAGCCGTCAGAAGGGGTTCAATCGATTTCCTCAAAGGAACTTTTAAGGATCCCAGAAGTATGAGAGAGTGCACCTTGGAGGAAGCTATTCAGTTTGAACTCATAGATCCTGAATCAGCTGTTGTCAAAGATCCGAAAACCGGGAACTTTTTGACATTAAAGAAAGCAATAGCCGACGGACTCATAGATTTGAACAAGAGAGCAGCTCTTGACCCACAAACAGGAAAAGCTAAGAGCTTATGCATAATGTTTGAGCAAGGAACAGTTGTGTTCTTGCGAGAACCCATGTCATTCGACCAAGCAATCGAACAAGGCCACTTGGACACATCCACAGGTAAATTCACTGATCCACAATCCAAAGAAGTCCTTACACTAAAAGAAGCCATTACATTAGGACTAATCGATCCCGATTCTGTTCTCGTCAAAGACACTGCTAAGAAGAGACTGCTGAAACTCCCTGAAGCCTTCAGAAAGGGTGTGATGGATTCTGAAAAAGGAAATGTAGTCGATACGTCCACTTCAAAATTACACTCGTTGCCGAATGCAATCGAAATTGGTTTAGTGACGACACACGGTCTGTCTTTGATAGAAGGTCTCGATTACGGTCTGTATAACCCCACCACAGGGAGTTTTACCGATCCGTTTTGTACGAGTGGGGGCGTGATGGAGCGAAGGCGTTTGAACCTAACAGAGGCTATCAAGTCAGGCCTGATTGACACTTCGACTAGTGTTGTGAAGGATCCCGCCACTGGAGACATTTCCACTGTGCAAGATGCCATTGCTAGAGAGGCCATCGACCCTGTGGCGGGCAGGATGCTTGAAACTACCTCAGGCAAACCTATAGACCTGCTGAAGGCCAAAGAGAGGGGATACATCATACCAGCTGAGGCCAGGGTGAGTACAGTTCAATACTTACATTTGCTCGTCACTGTAGTGTTAAGTATTTAACAACTGCGCTTCCATGACCGATCAGACATTCAATATGTCCTAAGAAGTGTTTTAGGCTTCCAAGGGAAGTTGTGTCTTAAAAATCCATACAATCTTCACAACTATTAATCTTAGTTTTGTGAAAAATGTTGTTACCACAAAATGTTCAATTACAGAATTAGGTCTTGTGTTTTAAGAGTCTGAGATAACATAGGGATAGGATATAACAGGGGATCAAAATCACTGGTTAGTGGTTTTATGTATTTTATTCATATCAGCACACTCCTAATTGCTCCCAAAAAACTATTTTTCACTCTCAACACAAACCAAACTTCTTTTTTATGCTACAGTTGTTACAAAAAATCACTATGGATTCTAAATACACTGGCCTTAAAAGTCTACAAATGAAGAATATAAATGATTTATTTAGTAGTTCTAGATCTCACCGCTCAACCACAAGATCTTTAATCACAAGATTTATGATCGTAATATCTATGAATTCTCTGGTTACTTTGTAATAGGATTTTTACGTTATCCCGAGGTCTTGGAAGCGCAGTTGTCTCTTAAGTTAGACTTGCACCGCCAGGTTGACGTCTTGAGTCACTGTCTCGGGTTGGCGGATGCGGCTTTGTCGTTTAGACGACGTCTTTGCTTTGGGTAGTTGGCAGGCATGTTAGCCAATGCATTGTTCGGCTTGGCACTAGGCCTATGAAAATAGCCCTAGTGATTTTATCAAAGCCTTATCATGTTCCATTTTCAGCTCATGTTCTTTACTTCTTAGTAATATTTTAGTGATGGGTGGATTCCAGTTTGATGGTTTTTATAGCTTGTGATAGTCTTGTGTTCTAAGATGCTTAAATGGGTTTTAAATAATTAAAACAGGATAAACAAGTACTTTACTTACCTATGAGAATTTCATAAACTTTTTGAAGTTTGTCTATAATGTTACAAAAAGTGAAATAATTTTTTTTTCTATCTGCCTTCAAAGGGTTTACAAGCTCACCTTGATCGAAAACTTAATAACTGGAATATTTTTTATATAGATATCCAACTTATCCTGTGATTTCGAAAGCTCTAGCATTGAATTTAACAGGAATGCCATCCATTTCTTTATAACAGAAATTTTCAATTTTTTTAAAGTGCAATATAAATGTATACCTTATGTTGTAATTTGATATAAATTTAAATTTGAAAATAAATATTTTAGTGGCTTTATTTATTTTGACGTACATTTTATTTAATGGAAATAAATAATACTTGTTTTAAAGAAAAATACTCATGTTTATTTTCTGAAAACAGTGTGACCATAAAAGCCTAGGTAGGCTACCACAAAGTAGTACCCAAAATAATAAAAAAAAAATCCTTTTGATAGGTACAAGTTATTAACTTCTTATTCAGGACCTAAATTTTGGAATTCACCCATTCAATATAAGTGTTTGTGTCATATCTTCTCAATCTACAGGTTTTTTCTACAGATTAAGAGATTAAAAGAAAAGTTGCCTCTAAATAATAATAGGTAATGTTTGGTAGCATATCAGAGCTCTTAGATTATTTACATTGAAAGAGCCGCTTCTTTTGTTTTTAAGAAAATAGAACAGTTAAAAACATTGACTTAGTAAATTCTATTAATTTACTAAAAGACATTTAAATTTTAAACTAACATTAAGTTAAGACAGATTTATTAATAATTTTTAACTCTAGCTAAATTCTTTCGTACAATCGTTTTGATATTAAATTAAAAAAGAATGGGTTTGATTTTTTTTTTACTGAGCATTTTTGCTAATTAATAATTTTAAAATACTCCTCTCTATTCTTAAAATCCACAGAAAACTGTATATTAGATTAAATGATGAAGTTAAGTTACCGTTTTTACATTTTCAACTTTGATTATATTGTTTGTTAACAAACCAAATTTAACAATTTAACAAGTTGATTTTTAATTAAAACAATTATTAGAAGTCAAAAATTTCTTCTATTTTTTAGTTGATTAAGCGTAATTTTCCAAATTTACTCAAGTCAATATTAGTTTGATACTTGGTTAATGCCTATAACTACTATAAGACCTCAAACTTAAATTTCTCAACATGTTATGTTCATACTGCTGAACAACCTATACTTTTGTTTCTTTTCAAATAATAAATTATTGCTACAGCTAAAATAGAAGTAAATTTAAATTTTACCATCGACACTCTGGAAGCTTTACTCCTAATGTTGTATTTGTCTCGTCTTGCCATTTGTGAATTTAAATTTCATTGTTTATGCTTTCTGTTTCAGTGTTTCTTGTGTTGTGTTCTGTTTTGTTGTTATGTGTTTTTGGTGTGTTCCAGGCAGGATGGGTTTGTTTGTTGGGGTTTAGTTTATCTTTGCCCGTCTCACAATACTAAACATGCCCCCGCTCGCCTAACCGCTCGCTGGCGTGACTACCGCTTCGCTTGGAACCAGCGGAAATAACAGCAATGCTAACCCTCCATTACTAACTTCTATATTTATATTTCTTGTATCTCTTTATTTTCGAATGCTATTTTTACTTAGTTTCCATTAACCCATTCTGATTTACTATTTTGTTTTTTGGATGAAGGTACGTCACATTTTACTATTTTTACCCTAATCTACTTGTTTCTAATCGTTATATTAATTTTATTTCTCATCTCACACTTATATTTAGTTTTCTCATCATACTCATCCTCTTCTCTCCGTCACCTTCATGCTTTCGAGATGTTAAAATTTGTAAAATGGAGGGGTGTCAAGAGGGACGAGAGAAATAAAATTAATTAATGGTTGGAACGATTATTTTATTTATTTTAAGATGTCTTTACAAATGTTTTGGATTTTATGAAACATTTCAGATCATCTTTGTCGAGTCAAAAGGAAACGAGATATCAATAAAGTTCTTGTCAAAAAATAACATTGCAATCTATAAGTTAAGGTTTTACAATACAATCACAAAATTAGAAAGTACACCCATAGAGTTTTTTTACCACTTGCAACATGAATGTAACGCTTTTCCTTTGTTAACAATATCGGCATGATATAAGCAAGCACGATTGGACACCAGTTTGTGCTTTCTACACTTTTACACTTTGTTCTGTTGTTCCACAAGGGCCTTTCCATACAGTGAGCTTTTGTTTTAAACATTTAGGAAACAGGATGTTTGTCAACGTAGTACTTCAGCTTTCACCATAAAAATATAATTGCAAGTAAATCAAATGTGTTAGATGCTTACAACGTAAATAATCTGTTTATGTTCTTACAGCTGTCACAATCGTTACTTTGAGCAGCTTTTAATTTACATTTCAGTGCTTCTGGTGTTATTCTTAATTTTTTTGACGTCACAAGTAAAATTTAAGGATTTTAATTTTTTTGAGGACCTACTGAAATCACTTGTAAATCATTCTGCAGTTTTAAAAGATGTTTAAAACATGGATGTTTAACGTAAACATTTCTTTGAGCACTAACAATTTTATTTTTGTTTTTAGGTAATTGCAATTTTATATACCTAAAAAATACCAATGAGCACAATGTTATTTACACATTTATTTTCATACAAATATTTTTTTTATTTACTTGTGTGTTTTAAACAATATTATAAACTGTTTTTTACTAATGTTTTAACACATTGCGAACTTCTTAAGTTTCTTCCACTGATAAAAAGCATATTTCAGTGTACCCTGTTGCAAAATATTTCAAATCACAAATAGTAGGTATAAGTGTTTACATTCCATATTTAAAAACAAATATTTCCCAAAGTAATAACTATGCTTTAAGCGTCTGAGCTGTAGGTAAGGTCTAGGATCAGCAAGCTAATGCTTGTTTCGCATACATATGCGTAATTCTGTGTTGTTTCTATACAGCAAGCAATGGAGGAGAAGTATCGTCTATGTGACGACACGCTGTCACAGCTGCTCGCGTGGATTGCAGAAGTTGAGGATCGTCTCGCCAATCAAGACGTTGCGCAAGAAGATGTCGACCAACTCCGCAACCAGATCAACATCTTAAAGGTATTAAGTTTTGTTCACCTACCTTTAAAAAATATATCTTTTGCTACTATAGAGTGTATTATGAAATTCATAGCCAGTACTGTTGATCAAACTAATTATAGAATTCTTATTAGATTTAAAACTGTAGAATGCAATGATTTACATCAAAGTCCTGTTAATTAAAATCCCCATTAACCCAAATCCCCTTGTTAATCTGAATTAAGAAGTGTTGAAAGATTGTACATAACTAACCGTCTCAACATGGTTGTTTCCCAGCTGGTGAAGGAAGAGCTGGAGTCTCAGTCTCGTCCGATCGCCAACTGTCTGGACCAAGTACGAGTAGTCGTAACCACCGGAGGGGAGTATCTGTCAAGGGATGAGGTCGTCAGCCTAGAGAAGAACGGCAAGTCACTGCGTTCACGTTACGATCGCGCCAACGACCGTACCGACAAGCTACTGCGTCGTCTCACTGCCGCAAAGGACGAGCTCAATAAGTTCAAGTGAGTCGGTGCTGGTTGTTTTTTTATTTATGTTAGTAGATTTAACATACTAGTCACTGTCAGGACATTCTGTTGTAGTATAGTAAATAGATTGATGTTTGTGTCACAGAAAATTTAATACTGGGCTATCAAATGTTGTACCGTAATCCATGATTTTATATGTGTGTTAACTGCCTGGACCCCTTTTGTGGGTAGGTTAGGTTTGAATCTATTCTATCTTCCTATAGGTTAGGTAAGAAATTAGTAGTTGGACACTAAATTTACTGATCACAGTAGTGCCATGGACCGATGCATAGACTTGACTGGTTCAAGACCTCTGCACAGAAGACACTGGTGGTATGACTTTCTTTAATGGAACTTAATCGTATTTAGATCACTGTGTGTTTAGGAGGTAAGGAGACCGGCAGGTGAGATTAAAAAATACATAAATAATAAGACTAAACATCTGTCTGTTGTCAGGTCTGAGCTCACAACATTCACTGCTTGGCTGGAGAAGGCGCGGCGCACGCTGGAGGACAGGGAGCGCTCGCTTGCTAACCTCAACAAGATGGACGCTAGTCACGAGTCAACCAGGGACTTTGTGTCGGATGTGATCGCCCACCAGGCAGACCTGCGGTTTATCACCATGGCCGCACAGAAGTTCTTTGACGAATCAAAGGTATATAGTCATGTGTGAAAAATTAAAGGAGTGTACTTTTTGTGATTTTGAACTTCGTATCGCCTAAGTTATAGGTTTCCCCTAAGACAGACCGATGGAAAGAAAGTACCGTTACGTTTAATTTTCAAGATGATCTCGTTCGCATCGCTCAATCACGTCCTGGTTGAAGTTCGTTCGCTACGCTCACTCACCTTTGGGTTGGAGCTCGTTCGCTACGCTCACTCACCTTTAGGTTGGAGCTCGTTCGCTGCGCTCACTTGCCTTCAGGTTAGCTCGTTCGCTACGCTCACTCGCCTCCGGGTTGAAGTTCGTTCGCTACGCTCACTCACCTTTTGGTTGCAAATTAGCTGTTGTCATAAATGTAAAAGAAATAATAGTGCTGCACCCTGTTGGTAATCCTTGTAACTTTAATGCTATTGAACTCATAGAACAGAACCAACTTGTTTAGTTGAAACAGCTGTTAAGATTCATTAATTCCATTTCTCATAAGGTTAACATGGGAAACTCCAGAGCCACTGGGGCGGAGCCCTTTTAAGAATTTCGAAACGGGAAATAGTTTACGTCCGATTCGCATACCTACAGAATTTACACACCAAATTTCATAACGATCGGTGAAGTCGTTCCGGAGGAGTTTGCAGACAAACACTGTGACACAAGAATTTTATATATTAGATGTAAAAAATGTTTTTGCAAATTTGAAGATTTATTTTGGGACTTAATTTAAACTTTTATAAATTAATTTATAAGATGAAAAGATTGCTGCGAGCTTACCGCATAAAAAGTATGTTTAGGTCATAGAACACATAGAAAATGAACAATATTTCATCCACTGGGGGATTTTGTCAGTGTAGAAAGAGGGAGTTGGACAAAATGATTGCTCTAGTGCCTTGGGAGTCAAAATATAGCATTTTATAGTAATTTCTGGGTCTTCTGTATGCTCTATTGCTTACATGTACTTTTTCTAATAACTCTCTTTTAATCCCTAAGATATTTGTTAACAAACTAAATGTGTTTCGACAGGAATACCTGACATGTCTCAACGAGTTCCGCACATCGCTGCCATCGCGACTGCCTCACGTGGAGCCAGTGGCACCGCAAGACTCAGCTGTCCGCAACACTGTGCAGACAATCAGCTCTCAGTACCGCGACCTGCTGAGTCGAGCCAACGCTCTGAGTGACAAACTGAGCGGTGTCGGCGGACGACAACGGGAATACCGCGACGCCCTTGACAAGGCCCGAGCGTGGATGAGGGACGCAGAGCCAAGGGCAAACAAGGTGAGATTTAAGGCTGGAGACTAAGAAAAACTTGGATAAATTTGTTGAGATTTCAATAGATTTTGTTAGTTTTATACAGTAATTTAACATCTTTTAATCCAGAGAATCCCCAAACCTTAGATAATAATTATACTCCAAAAAGTAGGCTTATGTAATTGATTTTTAAGGTATAACTCAGTTTTGGTTTAATGATAGTGACCAAAAACCAGACTATAGACAGAATATTCTTCTTCCTCCTTTCACAACGTAGAGGAGCATAGAAAGACTCTACTACTGAAGAAAGAGCTAGTAGCTTGAAAATACAATTTTTATGTGATTTTTTGTGCATTTTAATTTATTTTTGTTAGTAAGGTAAGCCTGCTGTTTTATTCATGATTCAATTTAATTACATGTAGTGTATATTATGCTTAATATATTTTCAAATGAAAGGAAAATATTAATCCCTAACCTGTGCATTACACTAGTGCAACATTTAGCTTGAATTTAGTCAAAGTTATAACGTTAAATATTTGAGGCTTTAGGCAACTGTGTACTAACCACCAAACTGTATCTGTAGATCCTGTCCGAGCCACTGGCCGCAGACCCTCACACTCTGGAGGATCAGCTGAGCCGAGCCAGGACACTCAACAATGAGTTTGTGGCTCAGGGACGTCTCATCGACAACGCCAAGCACGTAAGTATCCTGATAATTTTCATCGTTTTTGTAAGTGTTTCCTACTCAATTCAATTGTTTTAGGTCCATCTATGCTTTTTTTGTCCCTTTTTTAGTCTGATAATCATTCAGAGAAAAATATAGCTGCACAAATATTTTAAAGACAAAAAATTTCTCATGTTTTCTCAAGAATTAGGAATTTTCTGAAAAGTTTGGCTAGCTTACCTCAGAATGTGAGTGTAAAGGGACAAAAAGATTCAAAATAAAAAATTGGAAAACACAACTTAGATTTTTCCCCAAAATAGGACTTAGAGGGTACTTAACTTCTTTAGAGGGTAAAAGAGATGTTGAAATATCAGTGTTATGTATTGTGACCTTTGTGTATCTATTAGCTTCTGTAATCTAAATTTCTCAGATGAGCTAGCTGAAATCTATCCCTTACGAATACCCCAATCAGCCACTTAGCTAAATTTACGTTTTACAATATTTTCAGTTCTTAGTCTCTAGTGAGAGCAGTGAATTTGTTATAATTTAGGCTTTATGTTAAGTTGTAACATGCACATTAAGTTAAGTTACTTCTGCAGACATTTCTACCATACTATATTATCTGTTTTCCTGCAGGCCGTAGAGTCTCTAGTGCGAGCGGTGGAAGGCCAAGTGTCGTCTGCAGAGTTGGCAGCATTGCAGGAGCCAGTGAGGGAGTTGGAGCTCAAGTATCGCCAACTGTGCGACGGACTGGCCGAGAGGTGTCAGCAGTTAGAGACAGCACTAGTACAGAGTCAGGGAGTGCAGGATGCTCTGGACGGACTGCTGGCCTGGCTAAACTCTGCGGAGAACACACTCAAGTATGTTCAAACAGTTGATGTGATAGTCACTCATCAGGATTATTTTATTTATTTTCAAACGGTGTGTGGAGAGTTTTCTTCAATTAGAAAAAAGTATGATAAAATCAAAATTGATCTATTTGGAATTTTAATGATTAAAAAGATTGTCCCAATCTCTATTCTCCTTGCAATCACTCTAACGTTGTATGATTTCCCACAGTTACAATTAGTAAGCTGCAGAATTCATGAAAAATTGAGCGAAGCATTCATAGTGAAAATAGAAGATAATTAAGATATCCAACCTGAAAAAATCTTTAACTTTTTAAATTGCACCATAAGTACCAAAATAAATATTAAAATTTTGAACTGTAGAATAATTAGGATAGCAGATAGCTTGCCTTAGAAGAAGTATTGTTCAAAAAAGGCTCTAGGCCAGGATGTTTAATTGTAGGAAAAGGAGAATAGCAGCTAGCTTACCTTGAAAAAGTGTAGGTAGGCCAAATAGAAACAAGAGAAGAGACACTTTGCAGTCCACAGAATATTTCGTCCTCTGGAGGACTTTGTCAAGTTTAGAGAAAGTGTACATTTCTTGAAATCTTTTCTTGAGCTTCTCTAAGCTAAGAGATTAGGCTTTGACACATTAATACTCCAAATAATTCTAAACCAATTTACTTGTAGTCTTAGTAATCAGGTGATATTAGAATTTATTCTCAAAATCCTGTACATGATTACCGTAATAGGTGTGCCAACACCCTGTATATATTGTGGTCACAGTCTAGTAAAACTTGAAGAACTTTAAGTACAACATTGTAATACGTGTTGTGTCGTGCAGGGACATGACGAGACCTGTGAGTCTGCAGAAGGAGCGACTGGAGGACAGATTGCGGGAACATCGAGTGTTACAGTCTGACATTGACTCTCACCAGTCGAGTGTGGAGAGTGTCAGTCGCACTGCGCAGGAGCTCGTCAACACAGCTTCCAACCCAAGACTGGCTAAGAAGATCGAGACCAAGACAAGGGATGTGGTCACCAGGTAATGCAAGCCTTGGATTACTCAGTTCAGTTAGGGTGATGCAATTTAACTACAATTATTTCACATCTAAAATCATTAATGAAAGTTGGTCAGCAGTACTGATGTAACCTTCCTTTAAATTATCCATTTCTCTCATTTTTAAAATCATTCCCTTAGGTACGAAAAACTACACGACAAATGTACTCGACTCGGAGAGAGCTTCTCAGAAATTCACCATGCTTTGAGTGCGTTCAGCGGCGAAGCTGCAGAACTAGAGAGGTGGCTCAGCGAGGCTACTGAGTCGGTGAGCGAGGCTACAACTGTCGCGAGGCTAGACGAGATTGCCAAGCAGCGAGATGCTCGCCGTGACCGTCTCGAGGCTACATTGCGCGACGGACGTGCTTTAGTCAGCAAGAAAGATGTGACGGACACCGGCAACGTCAGAGACAGAGTCAAGGTGGGTTGAATACGATTTTTTTTTATAAATGATTATAAAAATTAAAGGTAGTATTAGTCAATATTGGTAAGAAATTATTTTTTTTCTTAATTGTCGACAAAATAAACTCTTGAGTAATAAATGACAAACATAAGTTTCACATCAGAATTACTACTCCGAGTCCTTACCGAGAACCAATTTACCTACTATTCTTCAAGTGTCAAGTTGACCTTGTGTATGTGCAGGGTCTGGAAAGCCAATGGAGAGAGCTCAATGCTCTACTAGAAGACCACCAGAGGTTGGGCAAGGCCAGATCAGAGCAGTTACTAGCCTATGAGAAGCTACGAGACCAAGTACTGGCTTGGCTCACTCAGACCGAGACACGAGTAGCGAGACTAGAGCCTGTGGCCCTGGACATGGACACCATCAAGCGACAAGTCGATGAACTTAAGGTGAGTTGTTATCAGATATTGATTTTGTGTGCACAAGAATATTACTTTTCCTTTTAAAAGACATACTCTCTTTGGTTACATTGTGTGATTACTTCTTCCGTGATATTAAATCTTTAAAAGTCATACATGTATCACCAGTGCAAATCCTGTTCCTTCTGCTGTCTAAAGACTAAACTAGTCTTGCAAGACAATCTATTTTATTCCAATTCAATCCTTATTTGATTTTAGCAAATTAAAATCTACAAAATTATTTTGTACTCATCTAAATGTTTGACACGTTTTTTTCCGACAATAATGCCTTCCTGGAGCAGTTTAGCCACTTTTCTAACTAGTGACGATTGTGTTTCAGCCTCTCATAAAGGAACACCGAGACTACGGCATGACCATAGACAAGGTGATGGACCTCGGCAATGCTTACGACGCCCTCACTCGTCCAGAGTCGCCCACCAGACGCAGGAGTTCCGTTAGTCCTGTCAAGCGAGTGTCTGTTACAGCTAGTCCTAGTGAGTTCTACTTACGTGCTAGGGTTGGAATAGTATAACAATATAACAAGTGCTGTCATAATAAGCATTATACAATTATGAGCTGGCAGAACTTATGGAAAAATCAACTTCTTCTTGTTAGTTTAATATTTTTATATCTTCTCTTTCAAGGTTAACTGATTATCTAATTTTAAAGACTTATTGTTCGTTCTGTATTTTCTGGAAATCCATAGGAATCATTTTGTTACAATATTTTATCTTCAGTAATTGTTACAGTGAGGAGGACGTCCCAGGACGGGTCTCCTTCCCCCACCAAGGTGTCCGGATTTGGACTCCAAAGTCCTGTTTCTCCTGGTGGCTCAAGCGGCTTTGGCAGTCGCAGATCTTCTCAGGATGGATTCCACCTAGAAGGTGAGACAATTGTAGATTCATTAATCATTAGTTTGAGGTTAGTTTTGCCATAGATCGCCGTAGATTTTGTGGATTGCTGTTGGGGTAGCAGGCTTACGTGAGTGGGAGAGTGTCCTTCCTGGCACAAGAAAAAACCCTCTTGGTAATCCTGCTCATGAAGCAATCCTCAATCACTTATCAGCTAGTCTAATCTATTACTCATGGTTTTGTTATGGTATATATGTTGAAAAAGTGGTGATTTGAAAAGAACATAAAGTATTAAACAAATACAAAGTCGATAGAAATGAGCTAAAACCATATGTCTGTCAGTGAGTTAGATGCTTAATTCGTTTTTGAAAAGCGATCCATTCCATTTTGTGATTATTAATTTTACTTAAACTATTAACAAGATGTAATAATGTGTTATTGAGTGTTTATATCATACAGTATGGGCATAACATTTTTGGTAAAGATGGCTTTTCTACCACTGAAGAAGGAGCTAGTACCTCCAAAAAAGTTAAGTATTTGTGTGTTTATTTGTACATTTCCTTATGTTTTCGTCAGTAAGGTAAGCCTACTGTTAAACCTATTCATTACAAAATCCTTCATGATCACAATAAAAAAAAATAATAAAATAAATAAACATCCTAAATATTGCATTGTTGATAAAACTGTTTCAAAACTTGCAGAGATGAGCCAAGTGCAAACGGAGTTGACAGAGATGAGCCATCGCTACACAATGCTCGGCACGAAGCTGACAGACCGACAGTCGGAGCTGGACGTGACGAGAGAAGAGCTGCGTAAACAGCTGGAGCACCTCAAACAGCTGGCGCAGTTCCTGGACAAAGTTCAACGCTCTCTGCCCAAGGAGAGTGTGCCGAACAGTAAGGAGGATGCGGACAAGACAGGCAAACTGCTCAAGGTAAAAAAAAATCATTTTGTTGGAAAAATTAAAAAATAGTTTTTATTATTTTGCGTTTTATTAACCAGTGGCCAGTACTACTGCCCTTCCCTGGGTATCAGCTCGGCAGCAATCATTGTGACTTCTTCTCACCAACTTAGAATTATTTCAATACTCACAATTTATTACCTTTCAATAGACATGTCAAATAAATGGTATCAATCTGACCCATACTTTCTCCCATTAGCTTGTCAACAACCTTTTACATGGGTAATGGTGGTAGTAACTATGATATTTAATAGGGAAAATAACAAGGCTACAACTTTTGAACCATAATTTTTACATAAATGGGATTTGTTTAATTTTGTTCAGAATTTAAAGGACCTTATCATACCAATTTGAATCAAAAACCAGTTTTTCTAAAATCCGTTTTCAAATTATTCTACTATCACAGCAAACAAATGCTGTTCCATGATTTATTTTGACCAAGGTCTGTAGTTTGAATTCTAAAATACTGTGTCTCTTCTGTATGGTCTATGGCTTAGCTAATCTTTTTCTAGGTAAGCTAGCTGCTTTCCACTTCATGTCCCATGATTTGGAACTTTTTCAATTAGTTGACATTTGTCACATAAGAAAAATAATTAGAATAAAATATATTTTTTAATCGACTGATTAAGTATGATTTTACAATCACCTCGTTCACTATTGCAGAGTATCCTGGAGGACATGTATGAGAAGCAGTCGCTGCTCGACAGCACCCGCAGTGGGGTCAGCGACCTTATCAAACGTAAACCTTCAGCCATCGGAGCTGACACTCTGCACGACCAGCTCACCGACATCACCTCACGCTGGAAGAGTCTCAACGACATCTGCAGGAACAGGTAAGAACAGATTCAAGGCTACTACTCAGGGGGAGGGTAGTATTATAAATAGGCGGATGGGGTTATAATTCCCTGATCTCCATTTTACTTCTTAAACTTCAAAGCTCGTGATACTGTGATTGACAACTGATTAAGTTCAGTGCCCTCTTCCCCTGATACGCTAATTGGTCTTAACCAATGCCTCTGATACTGTGATGTTTGAAACAAACATTCTGCTGATCTCTCAAGAGTAGTTAATTACCGAAGCCGCTGATAAGCCTACTGGTTTGATTAAGTATATTATCTTGATCCCCTGATGCACTAGAAGTTCTTTACTCACTCATTCCTGATCACCTGTTACATTTGTTGTTCATGACTAATGCCCCTGATACTGTAATTGATGTTTGATAAGAACAATGTGCTGATCTCCTGATACACTTGTGCAGGATACAACTGATGGAGGATGTGAAGGACTTCCACGACACTCATGACAGTTTGTCCAACTGGCTGGCTGCGAAGGAGCGTATGATGACTGTCCTAGGACCGATCTCGTCCGACTCTCGCATGGTCCAGAGCCAAGTGCAGCAAGTTCAGGTGAGTGACATAATAAAAACCAACAGTAATAGTTTTTTTTTTTTTAGATTATTTTTATCAAAATTATTAGAGATTGTACGTTTCAATGCAAAATTGTATGTCAGGAAGAATTTTGACTATTCAATGAAAAGGTTAGGTGTTGGGGTTATTTTTGTTTACATTATTAGAGCTTTTATATTATATCGGATTAAAAATGTTTGTTTGAGAATGGTACATGAAAAGTTAAATTTCAAATTTACTCACCTTTATTACCTGAGTTAGTATTACTTTTGTTTTGCATCTAGATTTGACTTTTTTGGGTCTCAATGCCTATAAGTTAATTCTTAGTAATTATTCCTAATAAATGTTTGATGTCCGTTTCAACCAGTTCATTTTACTGCTATTCATTTGTCACAATGTGCTTTGAAGATAAGATTTTTAAATGTAACAATAAATCTCCAATATTTGTTTTATAGTTTATGCCAGTTGCATTCTGTCAGGAATATCCTCTAGTATCTAAGGTAAAGCAGTCAAAACCCCACAAACGTTGGAATTGCAATGAAGATTGTACTTGTAGTTTTCACATTAAAGTCAGGGATGGCACCCACTAGGTAAGCAATACACCCAAGTAGTGTTCCGTTTTAAAACTACTCACTAACAATAGATTGAAGACCAGTAAAGGTATTTTATTGTAGTCAAAAATCATTACCATTCATTGTAAAAGATACAAAATAGATATTAAATCTTCCACAAGAATTTACGAGACTCACATTTTCTTTCAGGTGATGAGAGAGGAGTTCCGAACACAACAGCCACAGCTGACACATCTGACAACAGTTGGCGAGAGTGTGCTGTCGCGAGCTCCAAGTTCCGACGTCCAAGGCAAGCTGACGCGAGTGACAGCTCAATGGGCTGACCTGTTGGGCAGACTGGACGAGAGGTTGGCCAGCCTGGGCGCAGCCGCCGACACCAGCAGGGAGTTTGATGCTCAGTTGGTACGCCTGCGAGACACACTGCAAGGCATCTCCGACCAACTGGACGACATTCCATTGGACAGGGAGCCTGAGGAACAACTTAGGAAGGTCCAGGTAGGTCAAACTCTGGTTTGGGAGATGCTGGGGTTGATTCTCGATGGGTTCTTGATGGGGGTTAATGATATTGTTTGATCTTTGATTGTCCGATTTTATAACCACTAGAGTGAAAATTTCAATTCCTATACTAGGGTTATCTTATAAAAAGATAGGGCATTTGCCAGGAATTATTAAGGAAATTGACAGGAAAGCAGGCTTACCTTTAAATAAGTCCATAGAGACACATAAAACATCACAAAATTAAAAGTAGAAATTTTCGTGGTCACTGACCACTTTTTCACTGATCACTTTTTTTGATCTCCAGTGGTTGAAAAAGTGGTCAGTGACCACAAAAATTTCTACTTTTAATTTTGTGATGTTTTATGTGTCTCTATGGACTTATTTAAAGGTAAGCCTGCTTTCCTGTCAATTTCCTTAATAATTCCTATACTAGCTTGGTGAACAGTACTATAGAATTTGACTCCCTTCAAACCAACTGATTTAAATGTTTTGCATAACTTTTTCCATGCATTCATATAGAAACAAATAGCAAGTTGGGTGAAACTTAAAATTTAATCACTTTTTCATAGCCTACTTAAAAGCCAAAAGACGCATTAACTTCCATTTTATACAAAATATGCAAAGATGTTAAAGGCTAAAATCTCATCATTTTTCGTAAATGTTAATTATTGTGTAATTTTGAGAAAATCAAGTAAAAAGTATGAATTACCAATTTTTAGAAGGAAATTATAGTTATCCCTTATCGAATCCAGCTTAGCCAATTCCTTAAATTATGTTGGGGTAATCACACTGTAAAGATTGAATAAAGTTTCTCATTTAAAACAACAAGTAGTACCTTTTGTAATATGGTTTATTGTACATTTAAATACTATTTTATGTAAGATAAAAATAGTAGGCTAAATAAAATATAAATGTTATTGTAATTTAAAAATAAATCATAAAAACACCCCTGGGAAATAATTTTTATTAACTACACATAGAAATTCTGTTACTCCTAATTCACACCAAAAAGTTTGCTTTACCCTACAATTTGTTTCACAATAGATGCTAGAGAGACAACTAGAAGGAGTGAGACCGCTGCTAGCAGACGCTGAGGCAGCTGGCGCTCAACTGTGTGACGTGTTGAGTGACCCGGCGTCTCGTGCAGAGATACAAGGGAAGCTACAGGCCGTCAACAGACAGTACAACACTCTACAGAAGAAACTGGATCTGCGCAAGGCGGAGATTGAGGGCTCACTCAGGTAAATTCTCTCACATCCCTAGTCGCCTATATTCGGGCAATATTATGTATCTCCAAATAAGTTAGTTATGTCCTCTATTTCTTATTCCTTAATGTAATACATTTCCATTGGCTAGCACAAATATTTGTTCAGTTTCTCTCATTAAACTTATTGAATTTATTATTACAAATTTGTGTTCTCTAATGCAATGTCAATGTCTGTACAGAGATGGCCGTCAGTTTGAAGCGACCTGTGCTAAGACGCTGGGCTGGCTGTCGGAGGAGCTCGGCTCACTGTCTGAGAGATTATTGGTATCAGCTGATCGTGAAGTGCTGCAGCAACAAGTCGACCATCACGAGGTGGGCAAATCAAACAATATGTATACACAGCTGATTTTATTGAGATTCTATTATATTTACTCTGTGAAAGCAGTGTGTAATTTAAGTACCTACATTTAGAACCAGTCTAGAAAAATGCTGTAGTGTATAGAACATATTGAAATATATTTTAAATGCAAAAACATATTCTTCCCCAAAGTTTGTTAGGAAATGTGAAGACGTAAATGTCGTTGATAGTGAAGGAACCAGATCTAACAGTAGTAGTCACTAACAATGTGTTGTTTATTTTTACCCATAGAGGTATATTCCCTTTTATGAACTTTATGGCTAGTAAACTTGTTGGAAAACCTTTAAAACCCATGAAACTCCTTGAATATGTGATTGTGATTTTTTATTGGTAAGTAACAGCAGTAACATATCTTGTAAATAAAACTACTACCGTAAACATACACAGTATTTTTTGCCATTAGGCTCATTGGCATAACATTTGGGAACTGTATACCTAATTTCAAACGATTAGTTGAGAATGGTGTATAGAGAATGTAACCAAATTGCAAATTACAAACGTTGTCTTTGTCCACAGCCAATCTATAAGGAGGTGCTGCACAAGGAACATGAGGTGATCATGTTGCTGAACAAAGGTCGGGAACTGTTGGGCCGCAACAGCGGGTCTCAACGCAACGACACTCGCAACCTCCAGCGAGATCTGGACAAGATACAGCAACACTGGGAGAAACTGAGGAAGGACGTTGTAGACCGACAGACCAGACTGCAAACCTGCTTGGTTAGTACAGACTCTGTGTTCAAGATTTTCTAATAGTGTAGAAGTTCCTAAGATGTTGATCATGAGTGTTTTTGTTTTTGGCCGTACTGTAGAAAAAAGGTTTGTTCAATACATGCGTTGCAGGGAACATAATAGTTATTTTATTCCTAGAGCAAAAAAACATAAGAATACGCTCGAGTCGATGATGTTAACTGTACATTTTTCGTACCATGATTTTTCTCGATGGTTGGATTCATGTACATTTGATTCATTATATTGGTCAAAAAGTTGTTTTGCAACGCTCTTTTCTTAACCTCGCCTTCGCCTCGGTCATTAAATTGGAGCTTAAAAGAGTCACTTTAGAGACCTTAGCGATGAAATAAATATACTATTTTTTACATGGCCTATAAGGTAGTAAACTATTTCAATTAATTTACTAGACAATTCAGAATGTGACCAAATTCATTTAAATGATAGAAAAAAATTTACATTTAAAAGGTTCTCCTGTCCTTTTATTTCCCAGGATTCACTTTTTCCTGCAAATAAAAATTAAGTCCTGAGGTTTTGGGAATACCGTAAACCTAAACTTTTCATTGAGAGCAACTAGAGAATCTGAGTCATTTATCTTAGTTGAAAGCAACGGTTAAATCCTACACATAAAAGATAACCTAAAACTCTAATTTTATACATAAGAGATTATTTTATTCTAGTTAAATTGATTGATAACATAGTTAGTATTTGCTCTAATTGTAATTATATAAAATGTTTTTTAAATGTTAAACTATGTTGATTTTAAATTTACAATGTAATAAGTACATCAGGTGTTATTTTCTTTGTCTCATTTTATATCTGTTTCATCCCCCTACATCGTTTTACATTTTCTTCATTCCTAACGTTTTTTACATGTACTGATATCATGTCCATGTTCAGGAACACTGCCGCAAGTACTACAGAGCTTTGGAGGCGTTTATCCCTTGGCTCTCACAAGCGGAGAACAAAGTGGACTCGCTGCGGCCGGACAGTTTCAAGCGGCGCGATGTAGAGAAGCAGCTCCGAGAGTTGTCTGCGTTCCGCAACGATGTCTGGAAGAAGTCCGGAGAGTTTGAGAACCTGAGGACTCTCGGAGAAACGTTCTTGTCTGCTTGCGATGTTGACAAGGAGATTGTCAAGCAAGAGTTGGCTGCAGTCAAGGCCCGTTGGGACAAACTCAACAACGGTGTGTGATATATATCAGTAATATTTATAGGAAGGATTTTTATCTAGATAATCTGCCTTTTTTCTTCCTAAAACTGACAACTTGTCCTCCAAATAAGTTGGGATGGAGGAACAATACTTATAAGTTAAGTGTACTTGGGTACCTTACAGATTATTTTTCTACCTATATATATTTTTTATTAAAATATATAACATTTAAAAAAGAATAAATACAAATTCTTAGTATTTGGTTTGCACATTCAGAAGCTTACAACACATTCAACTGGATATTTTGTCTCTCCAAGGAAGCTTTGTTAGAAGGACATAGCAGTGTGATTTAGTGATTGAAAGCCTTGCCAACACATACAACTGTTGGCAAGACCGTTTTAGACAATCCATACGGTGCCAGTTTTGTTACTTCCACTACGTCCTTTTTGAGGAAAACCGCTCGAAGCAGTAAAATATCACTCAATGTGTTACGAGTTTTTGTGTTTGTGCTATCAACTGATATTTTTTGTGGTATCTTTTTTCTTAAGTGAGTTAGTTGTTTATGCGTTTCTTCATCCTAAATCTCTATGTATTATTTGTACCACTGTGATAATGCAAAACTGTTGCAATTAGCAATAACTATTCAAATAGTGATATTTTATTTATTATTCCTACAGGTTCTTAAAATTCTAGTCTTTCTTTATTAAGGAAGAAGAAATTACTTAACTTAGTTACCCTAGAAGAGAGTTCCAGGCAGTTAAAATCACACAAAAAGTTCAGATTTTTCGCAGCTACAAAAAAGGCCTCTTCCTACTATTTTTTTTCTTAAAGGAGACACACTCTTGCTTGGGGGGGGGATATCAAATTAATTAATTGGGCTGTAAAAGTTTTTGTGATGTAAAACAGCCAGGAACTATTTTCTTAGGTCAATTAGTTACGTTTTGGTTTCTTCTTCCTTACGTATACCTAAGCAAAAATTTGCATGGATTTTGTTGTTGAATCACACCCAACTGATTATCTCATGTTCCAGAGTTGCTGGAGCGCACACAGTGGCTGGAGGAGACTTCACGTCGTCTGCTAGATCTCTCGGAACAGCTGAGAGACCTTGGCCATGCTGTACAGAGGTGTGAAGACAAGCTAGCTTCACATGATGCTCTAGGTGGAGCAGCCAGGGACCCTAAGATGCTTGACAGGCTCAAGGTTCGTGACCAAGCAGACCCAAAATTTTATTGGATGAGATAAAGTTTTTTTAGTTTTTAGAGTCTCAACCAATATTGGTCACTCGTTATATTCGCTTTTATTTCTAGGTGTTTATCCAATTATGGATGAATTTACACTGCTTCAAATTTAGCCTGAGATGTGCATTGTGTTAATTAGTAATTTTTTGGATGGGGATGATAAAGTTTAGCCAGTTTACCTAAAAAAAATAATTCTTGAGTACATGGAGATACACACTTTGGTAAATTACTTTTCAGTAGCTGTTTGAAATTTGCTTTTATGGCGGGCTAATCCAAGATGGCTGTTAGTTTTGAAGGATGCCTAACTGATGATTCTCTTCATTAAAACAAGTCTAAAAAAATTCATTAGTCTCTGTTACTTATCAAATGTCAGACTTACATTGGATTGGTAGGCCAGGTCACCACCTAGAATTAATACCGTATACCTTTATAATGTAATGACTTGTTGCTTGTATTAAAATCCTAACTGAACCAACAGTGTTACCATACTTAATCGACACCTTGTTCATTGAAACCTTATCTTCAGGGGTTGAGAGAAGAAACGATTGGGCTGCGTAAGCCGCTAGCAACAGTGCGACAGACAGCCAATGACTTGGCAGCCGAGGCCAACGATGCGGGAGTGCCGGGAGGAGCTCAACTACAAGATGATGTAGAGGGGTTGGCCGAGAGACTTGACGAGCTCCAGGCGAGACTGGACGACCGCTGCTCTCAACTACAGAGTGCGGCCACCGCTCTTACACAGTTCAACGTAAGTCACTGTATTGAACCACAACGATGTACCTACTTTCAGATGTATTACTAAACCGTCAATTAGCTGTAAATGGTTAACATTGTGAGGTTAGTTTTGACGTAATTGGTCATCATCAGCTTTGTAAAGTTCAGTCGAGGGTCTTGTCAAAAATCAATATTTACATGATTCATGTAACGTTTTACTGGAATGAATGAATAAAACTCATTTTGATGGAAACATAACAGGTAAAATGATCACAACATAACATAGGTTTGAGCCATACAATTTCCTAACCTCTCATTCTGATTGAATAAAAGAGAAATGGATCTAATCTATTAAGCTATTGTAAGGATCGTTGTAGGGATAACAGACTTACCTGGATTGGTAAGAGTTGAGCAATACGCATTTCAGACATATTGTCCAAGTTATTTTTTATAATAATCTTTTATAGCAATAACAATTTTGGAATAGGCCTACCTGATTAACTCACATCATAAATTAATTGCATCTGGGAGAACAGTCTAAAGTTTACAAAAGTTATTCATGATGCTATTAAATACTGTTATTGGGGCCTAAAGAGTTATTAATAACAGTGTCCATGTTACACTATTTAATTAAATTTGTGTGGTGGTATATTGCAGGAGCAAGTGAAGGCGTTAGGACAAGATTTGTCTGGTCTTGAGAACGAGCTGGATGCCATGAAACCTCCGGCCCGAGACGTAAAAACTGTGCGCCAACAGATAGACGACGTCAACAAGCTCATTACTAAGGTACAGTTGTGCAATCTAATCAATCATATATTAATGTTTGTGAAGTTAAACACTGCAAAACTTGAAATAAACTAATATTATTCCTTGCTTTGATAAAAAAATTGTTGCTTGGATGTGAAGAGTACAAATCATAATTTTTCGCACAGATCGTTCATGCCAGTGATGAGGTAGCCAATGCAGTATCTGCTGGAGAGAGGCTGGTAGACAACGGACTGACGCCAGATGCGGCGCAGACACGAGAACAGACAGAGGCGCTTGGCAGACAGCTGGCGCGACTGGACGAGCGCGCTCGCACCAGGGAACAAGACCTGGAGAGTGTACTCAACAAACTACAGCAGTTCCTGCAACGCCAGGCTGATGTGCTTGAAGATATACAACAGGTCAGTACTTTTGTATTTAGAGTGTTTTCCTTGATCAAAATTAGGATAGTTTAGAAGTAAAATTTTTTAAATATATAGAGGCTAACAGGCTATGTATATGAACATATTTATTTAATGAAGACGGAAAATATTGATGCTGACTCATTAGTGATTAGTTTTGAAATGTGTATGAGATCGCTAAGCTTGAATTTTATCTCAAAAGTTTACAATTGTTTAGTTGTTTTATTTCAAACGAACAAATACCTGTCAAAACTTGACAGAAGGCTAGAATAGTAACAAATAGTCTTAGGTAGGTTTCTGTATCTCATTGTAAAAAAAAGATTGGTCCATTTTTAAGATTAGGTAATTTTACAAATGTTTCATCAGCAAATTACTGCATTTCTGTACTAGAACCCTTGTGATAAGAGATTTTCCAATAATTTCATGAGCAAAGTAATGTATTTTTCCACATAAATTAATGTATTAAGGAGTAAGTAATTCAAGTCATTTTCCAAACATTCCATCGCCAAATTGAAGTATTTATTGACAATGTGAATCCTTGTAGGCGTCAGAGGAGGTGAGGAGACTCAAGTCTGTGGGCTCTGAGGTTGAAGTGATCAAGGCGCAGCAGGAGGAGTTTGCGCAGTTCCGCACACAAGTAGTAGAGCCAATCGCCAAGACAGTGGACGAGGTGAACCGCCTCGGCTCTGGTCTGATACAGTCTGCGGCCGGCGGAGTCAACACGTCAGGCCTGGAGAAGGACCTGGAGAAAGTGAATGACAAATGGAACACACTCAAGGATAAGGTTTGTAAACTAAAATGTCTTACTGAACTGATCATAGTAGACTGAGAGCGAGGGTTGAGCAATGGCCGCTGACATCACATGTTGACAGTGCAGCCACCAACACATAATTAAATTATTCAAGCGAATTTGTTCTCATATATGACAAAAGGTAATGAATTTGTTAGACGTCAGGGTTTTTTTTTCTTGGACATTTATTATGTCTTACACAAGATTTTGGAGGTTTCCTATAGTTTTGGAATATCTTAATACTGTCACAATAGAGTGTAACCACTATGGACACTGTGATCCACTTCTAGTAACAAGTTAGATGATTTTACAATATTACTGCAGTTCTTGCTTAGACAGTTTTGAAAGTTAATAAGTTTTGGAATTTGATTTCTGGAGTAAATAATTATAACAACTGACTTTCAAAGTTGATTGTTTAATTTATTGTGTAACAAGGATTGGAGATTTGGGGCCTATTTTTCAGATTCGAAATTTTAAATTCTAGGATTTGATTATTGCTGATTTCTAAACAATTCTCTGTGTTTACAGCTGAACGAGCGAGACCGCAAGCTAGACGTAGGTCTGCTGCACTCAGGCAAGTTCCAGGAGGCGTTGGATGGACTTGCCAAATGGCTGACGGACACTGAGGAGATGGTGGCCAATCAGAAACCCCCATCAGCTGACTACAAGGTGGTCAAGGCACAACTACAGGAACAGAAGGTATGTTTTGCCTACATACAAGATAGCTAGAGTTGTTCACTAAATTCCAGCCTTTTCAATTGTTTATTTGATAAATTTCTAAATATGTGGTTAATTAGTCAGCATTCTAAAAGTGTGAAAGGAGTAGTTTGGGAGTTTCCAAACATTTTGACGCATTTGCACCACTTTAAGCCTTTTTTGTACTAGTAGGACTAAAGACGTTTCTTAAAACTACTTTAAATGTTTACTCTTATACTGTACATATTTACAAGATGGAAGATGTAAAACATGCAACACTGCTTATCAACCACACTTAACAGCCATTACAGCAACCATTTTGCAACCACTCACAGAAGACACATCTGCGTGTTCTATGACCTGAACTTCTTCTAAGGTCTAGCTGATATCTGTACACTCAACAAATAATAATCCAAACCATTATTTTCCCCTCAGTTCCTCAAAAAGATGCTGCTAGACAGACAGAACTCGATGTCTTCTCTGTTCGCGATGGGCAGTGAGGTAGCAGCCGGCGCAGACCCGATGGAGCGCAAGGCCATCGAGCGCCAACTCAAGGACCTGATGACACGGTTTGACAACCTGACGGAGGGAGCTGAACAGAGATTCGAGGCTCTGTCTCAGGCTATGGCGGTGGCCAAACAATTCCAGGTGGGGGTGTATTAAGTTTAGTGGGGAGTGAAGCTGTGAGTATTTCACAATTTGGCGGGAAATCTCTTGGTTTATTATTGTGTTAATGATTAAGGAATTGAATTGAATCACCTGATGTAGAGTTTCAGGCAGTTGGTAGCACAAGTTAATTTCAATACAATCTGTTATTCAAGAGATTAAGAGATTATTGTGGACATTTTCTATCACAATTAGTGGCATGACTTGTAAGCTAAGTTGGTTATTTAGGTATAGTCATTGTCTACGAGGCATTACGAAGGTTTGAGTAAATTCCATTCTTTTTCTCTCAATTCCTACTGAATTTTTTTCCACACAGCCTATGTCTTATATTTAAATACAATCTCTGAACTCATTCACTTATAAAGACTTAGTTCATTTAAATACTCAAGAATTTATTGGTGCTATTAATATTCAAAACCTTAATATTTACAAAACGAACATGCTCAAAAGTAAGTTAGCCAATGTGTTAGTCATGTGTTTAACATGAGGTTGTTTACAGGACAAACTGGTGCCCATCGTAGAGTGGCTGGAGAAGACTGAGAAGAAAGTCAAGGACATGGAGTTGGTACCCACAGATGAGGAGAAGATCCAACAGAGGATACGCGAACATGATGTGAGTCTTTAGTAGGAAATGCTAGAAATCCAATAGGACTAAGTCTTTACCTAGAGGCTATAGTATCTTTGACTATAAATAGAGACATTCTATTCTCACTTTAAGTTAATTGCCAGTTTTAGAATAAAAAGCTGGTTCATATAGATGGGATGTCTACTTCAGTAGTTAAAAGCCAATGCTAGGAGGAAGGCTCTTCTGGAAGGATTTTAATCCACATCTCTTTTTTATTAAACTCATTATTGTATTTTAGACCCTCGTATTTTGTGTTATGCCTATCAATAATTCATCTGATTAAATCTTTTTCAAAGATATATCGTTCAAATGCAGTTAGCTATTTGTACAGTGAAAACTCTCAAAAATTATTTTTGAAGTCTTAAACATTTTGTATTTAAATCATATAAATAAATATTGATGCTGGGAATCGTTTAATATCAATATTAAATTCAGAGTTAGTTAAGTTCTATACTTGGGAAACAAGCTTTTTAGATGGTAGAGCAGTCGCCAAAAATCCTAGTTTGAATTTGCCAATCATCAACGGCTTTATAGCTATTTGATAATGCCTTGACGAAAAAACGGTTTTTGGATAGAATGTAGAATCCTTGGATATGAATATATGTTCATATATTGATATTATATTCACATAAATGCAGGATATGAATATATGTGAGTGTGATATGTGGAGGACATATCCAACTCTGTATTTTTAACCATTACCATACCAACATTCACTTCGCTAACTGAAACCTCCTCCCCAGGCATTGCACAAGGACATCCTCCGCAAGAAGCCCGACCTCACCGAACTTACCGAGATTGCATCTGCGCTGATGGCTCTGGTGGGTGAAGACGAGGCTGCCGTAGTAGCAGACAAGACGCAAGACACAGCCGAGCGGTACGCCACGCTGGTAGACCACAGTGACCAGCTGGCCCAACTGCTACAAGCATCGCGCGCCGGACTGCGTCACCTGGTACTTAGCTACCAGGACCTGCAGGCCTGGATGGAGGCTATGGACCAAAGACTGGCTAAGTACAGAGTGCTGGCTGTACACACGGATAAACTGCTGCACCAGATGGAGGATCTAGCGGTGAGTGTTAGAGATTTGTTAAACGTGTGAATTAGCTGTTTAATTTAACACTTAGTTGAAACTAAACAAAAAGTTTTTCACCCAAAAATTTACTTACTGCTGCTAAATCTTTTAATTCCTCGTTTTTGTCATTTAGGAAAAAAATTTAACAAGACTTACTAACTGTTTGAAACATTACATGCAATAAGTGTTGATGTATGATAAACGTGTTTTTTTCTAAAAGATAAATCAACAATCGGACACTAATCTAGTAAACAAATTCTTAGTCAATTCAAGTTCTCTACTAAATAAGCTGATCTGTATGTACAGGACTTGACAGAAGAAGTAGCCAACCACCAAGGAGACGTTGACGGCACAGTGGACTCGGGTCTGGAACTGATGAAACACATCTCCAACGATGAAGCCATCCAACTTAAGGACAAACTGGACTCTCTGCAGAGACGATACAACGACCTTACCTCTCGCTGCAATGACCTGCTCAAACACGCTCAGGTATGTTGTTCAATTGTGTACTTTGGTGTGAATGTTGTGGTTTTCATGAGCCTTGGATAAATCTTTCCCTCTAATCATAGTAGTAATTCGTTACTCCTTTTCAGAAATAGCATGATCACAGATGACGAAACATTAGTAAAAATAGAATACCACATTTTATACTGAAATTGGTGATCTCTAACATTCTTTTGACCATGGAGCTTTTAGTGTTTTTGTGCGAGTTTGTCAGGATATGCCAATGATTGAGTTCCTCTTCTACTAGGCTAGTAAAACCCCCCTCCCCCCGAAAGAAAGATATATAGTTAAGCTAGCTTAGACCAAGATTAGATTAGAGTTCATGAGGTTATATATGCTCCCTGTACTTCCACAACACATTAATTTGCTTGTTTAGTGGAGGACTTTTCCAGAGGATAGCTGAAAGCCAAATCACATCTTATCTTCAAAGAAGTTCTACGTCTTGTTTTACTAACCATTGTTGTTGTGTTGTTGTAGGAGGCGTTGCCGCTAGTACAGCAGTTCCACAACTCGCACAACCGTCTGGTTGACTGGATGTTGGGAGCCGAGGGACAACTGTCTGTGGCCGAGCCTCGTGAGGACGACATACAGCGACTCGAGCAGGACATTCAAGGTTGGTGTTACACTCACAAACTTGTAGAAGCAGCCAAGAATAATTTCTTCTTAAACTAAACTAACTATTCTGTCCATCTTATACTCTAAAAAGAGTAGATTCAAACGTGTTCTGATGTAAATCTAAACTCCTTTTCTGTGTATTTTGACTTATCTTTTTGCTACTTTCTCGGAACGTATGAAGATGACTAAAAATGTTTTAGTCTACACCTTTACATGTTCACACCTTGTATACAAACTTCTGATTTTGTGCTTTTGGTTCCCATCTGATTATAATGTGTCTGTGTACAGAGTTCCGCCCAGTTCTGGAGAACATCAACCTGATTGGTCCACAGTTGTGTCAGATCTCTCCAGGAGAAGGCGCCTCGACCATCGAGGGACTAGTAACCCGAGACAACCGAAGGTTTGATGCCATTGCTGAGCAGATACAGCGCAAGGCTGAGCGCATACACCTATCGAAACAGGTGCAAATATGCTGTTAATCTAGCTAATTGTTTACACCTTTATCTATTTGTCTTTCCTCCATAGTGTAAATAAGGTGCTATTTGTAAAGTGCAAAAAATTGTATGTTTGCTTTAAAAGTATCTTGTTGAAAATAAAGGGTTTTTTCTTTAGTAATGTTGTTCAGAATAATTTAGTCTTCAGTAATAATTTGCCAGTATTTAGACTTTTTTTTAACTCGGGGTGTACTGATCACTACAGTGAATGATTTGAATTGTAAGTCATGGATTTGTAACAGGGCTAAAATTAATATTTAGTTAACAACACTCTCATGGGGATAGTTAAATATGACTTGTTATCAAGGTTGACTACTTATAGAGGTTTGCAATCACATGTTTTGCAATCACATGTTTGCAATAACATGTGATTAGGGGAAAAATAAATTCTAGGGGATTTTAAAATGACACATTTTTATCAAGGGTGACTTCTTATTGTCGGTCTTGTTATCGAGGTTCCACATTGGAAACGATCAAATAACAAGTAGACATCCTGTGACACATCTGTTTGAATTGAACACACGAAAACCTCACTACTGGGAATTACTAACCAGTGTTACTTTTCCGCAGCGTTCCATGGAAGTTATCGGTGACATTGATGAGTTGCTGGACTGGTTCCGTGAAGTGGAGGCGCAACTGAGAGAAGCGGAACCTCCGAGCGCAGACCCTGATGTGATCCGAGTGCAGCTCAAGGAGCACAAGGCACTCAATGACGACATCGGCAGTCAGAAGTCACGAGTCAGAGATGTCATCTCTACTGCAAAGAAGGTGGGTAATGAGTTTTCACGCTGTTGGAGTATTCCTACCATATACATAGAAAAGTTAGAGACAGTGCTCGATTTTCGAGGGTAGATGGCAGAACAGAGTTTCATTCCCTCTCTTTCAGAAAGATAAAGATTTTGGCATAATTAGGTACAAATCACACCAAGTATGTTACAGTTCCGGTACCTCAATTTTAAAAATCGAGCACTGGTTGGACGTGATGTATATGTAACATGGATATATAAACCAGTTGCAGCTCTATTTGGCTTATAGGAGTACCCTCCGCTTTTTTGTCAGTAGAGGAAGTATTGTTTTTGTTTTAGTTTTTGGTGGAAATAATCGTTTTGGTGTTTCTAGTGTTTTTTTATTGTAATGATGTTAAATAGAGATGTCTCATTACTAGTTTAATTTGTTGTAATTTGGTATGTACTTAAAAAACTAAAATTTTGTTTGGTTTTAATTTCAAAGTTGCAGAATAGTTCAAATTACAAAAAATACAAACATATAAGCTAAACAATGTGTTACGCAGGTGCTGCGAGAGTCAGCTCAACACGAGGACACCAGCACCATCAGAGAAAAAATGGAGGACCTCAGAGAGAACATGGAGACAGTCTCGAGTCTCTCACGAGACCGGCTGGAGATACTTGAGCAGGCGTTGGCGCTTGCTGAGCATTTCTTAGAGAGTCACACGGAACTGAGCACCTGGCTTGACGAGATGGAACGTCACGTGAGCATGTTGGCCATGCCTGCACTGCGGCCAGACCTCATAGCCCAGCAACAGGACAAGAACGAGGTAACCTGACTTCCAACATTTCTTTTTAATCCTTCCTTTATATCGTAGGATGCTAGGATACAGCCTGGAACCTTTAGACATTACTTCAAGTAATGTCTAAAAGTCTCGAGCATCATCACATAGCTAAAATCTATTGCTTATTAGTGGGATTTGAACCTAGAACTCAAGGACCAAAACCCCACTCTCTACTACTTGTTTAAGTGGTAGAGAGTGGGGTTTCGGTCCTTCCTATTTAGGTCGATCCCCATACCTTGATGTAGTGTTTATAAGAACTAACACAAATATTCTTTGTTTGATGTTCATTTTTGGTGATGGTTTGTATTATGTTGTTGGAGGGAATTCACAGACCATTTCCCACCAATAAGTAAAACTTTTGAGTTTTGATTTTTAGTCGGCCTGAAATATTATACTGTGATATTTTTAATAACTGATCAATTAAGGATAAGTTTCAAGACGTTTCTAATTCAGATCAAAAGGAACTAGAAGAAGATTAGTTCATAACCTCAACATTGCCTGGAAATGCAAAAGCTAAACACAACAAATATGTTCGAGCTAGCACACTTAACCTCAAATCCTCAGACCTCGTTATTGTAATTGTGTTCTTATTGCTGAGTAAAAATTGTTGATTAAACTCTTATTTCCTTAACATAAAATTCTAAAGTGAGATTTAAGTTTAAATTTTACATACTTAGTAGTTTAATATAGTCAAACTACCCCAATAGAGAATTTGTTGTCTAACCAGTGTCCGATGTTTTAGCTACTGGTGCAGTCCATCACAGAACACAAGCCACTGGTGGACAAGCTGACCAAGACTGGAGAGGCTCTGATCAGACTGACCAACGACGAGGACGGAGCCAAGGTACAGGAGATACTGGACTCTGACAACGCCAGGTACGCAGCGCTGCGGTTGGAACTGCGGCAGAGACAACAGGCACTGGAAAAGGCTCTACAGGTACGTAGTTTCTTATTACTGTATCTAATCAGACAGCAGTCCTTCATCCTTATAGAGCTTGTTACAATACTTTCATGCTTTTTGATTATCTAGAGAGGTCTTGTCACAATTCTTCCATACTTTTCATTTTATCATGCACAGGTGTATACATGATTAAAATTCTGTTACGGTTAGCGAAGACAAAGTGTCGATGTAATAAGCCCAGAATTCGGTCAATGTAAAATTCTTTCAAAGAATAAAATGTCTTCTGGCTTTTAGAGCCAGGCAAGTTTCTCTTACATTGGGTTCCATGACTAGTTGTGAATAACAATTTTGCCAATCAACAGAATGTAATGTTTTTTGTTTAAATTCACGCATGTTTACTGTTAGCATTTTCAATCAATGAAGTTTACAGTTTGGTTGAAATATTTCTTCTCTTCTGGAAGAAAGGACTTGAACAGTCTTATTACCACTCATAACAAACTGAAAAAAAAAAAAAACTATACCCAAAGTAATTTCTAATGCTTGCTCTTGCAGGAGTCGAGCCAGTTCTCGGACAAGCTGGAAGGCATGTTGCGAGCTCTCGCCAACACAGCTGACCAGGTGTCCGGGGCCGAGCCAGTGTCCGCTCACCCTCCCCGCATACGAGACCAGATAGAGGAGAACAACGCCATGGTAGAGGACCTGGACAAGCGAGAGGAGGCGTTCCAAGCGGTGAAGCGGGCGGCTAACGATGTTATCAACAAGGCTCCTAACGCAGCCGATCCAGCTGTCAAAGGTAACAAAGTTTCTGACTTAATGTTCTAAGCTAATTGATGTTATTGGTAAGTTTGTGTTATTTAAGGGATTTGCCGGAATTTTCCATCTTGATAAATAAAAATAAACTTGTTGGGGTCTGGAATCTGATACCTTTCTCAGTTGAGAAAGTTAAACTTATCAAGATTTGACGGAAACTTTGATGTAAACATAAAAATAGAATCATTTAATATGAGACTTGTAAATTAATGAAATATTTTAGTTTGTGACAGTCAAATAATTACACGTTTTTGGGATGTAGAGTGAATATGGTTTGATTCATTGATCAAAACCACTGACACTAATACAACTATCAACAAAATATAGAAGCAATAGTATATGAGAAAGGTAAGAGATCCAAGGCACAAATGACACATTTTGTCAAAAACTGATAAAGGAAGCAATGACTTGTGTTATTATACGTAATTATTTACTCATCTATTACTTAAACAAAATAATTTTTTTCTGGTCGGGAGAAAGGATATTGATGGCTCTTGAGCAGATATGCAGAAAAAGGTGGTCAGTTGTACTTGCCATGTGATCAGCAGAGACAACTGTTAATGAAAAAGTTCTGCTCAGTTCACAGCAACAACTATCCTCCCCTCATCTCCCCTTTTGCGTGTCAGCTTTGTAAAATCTAATAAAAAAATAACACTTTTTCATAACTTTTTTGTCATCAGACATAAAACGTAAGCTGGAGCGGCTCAACAGTCTGTGGGGTGAGGTGCAGCGCGCGACGCAGGACCGCAGTCGCAGCCTGGAGGAGGCGCTGGCCATCGCAGAGAAGTTCTGGGAAGAGCTGCAGAGCGTGATGGCCACTCTGCGGGATCTGCAGGACAGTCTGCAGGCGCAGGAGCCTCCTGCAGTACGTCCCGAGGAGATACAACAACAGCAAGAGGCGCTGCAGGAGATCAGGGCGGAGATTGACCAGGTGAGCAGGCGTTTAATGTTTTTGGTTTTGAGCCCTTAGGGTTGTCTCTGACTTAATTTGTAAAACAATTGCTGAAACAGCCGTCAACATTGTGGTCAGGACTGTAACTTCTAGAGTGATCTTTTTTTTATAATCTTGGTTTGTGATTAACTTATTCTGACAACACCTTTAATGGGCCCTCTTATAGCTGATGATTGTGGAGTCCTAAATAAACGCTGAAACAATAGTAGTAAGTTAACAACAGTTACTTTACTACATTTCAAAGGTATGTTTTGGCCATTATATCTCAAGTCATAAAATATGTAGCTTCAAAAATTAATTTGGTATTTACAACTTTTAGCATAACTGTTCCTTTTTTAGGAAATATTTAGAAAAATATTTTCTGGAAGAAAAGTTTTTAGCTAATTAATACTTCTTCAACTACTTGGATATCATTCAAAAGTAATAATCATCAAAAGTAGGTATTCTTCAACAAAAGTTACAATGATCAAACACTCTTCAGTATGAAATGAAAAAGTTATTGGGTTAACTACACGCCTCAGTAGCCATAATCCAAGAAGCTAATGTGCAACATGTGTTGACAGACCAAGCCGGAGGTTGAGCAGTGTCGTGCGACTGGTCAAAGTCTCATGAAGATCTGCGGAGAACCAGACAAACCAGAGGTCAAGAAACACATCGAGGACCTAGACTCCGCTTGGGACAATGTCACTGCGTTGTTCGCCAAACGGGAGGAGAACCTCATACACGCCATGGAAAAGGTAACACTTAGTTTTATTTGAAATACACTTTTTCACTATGTTAATGTTGGTTGCATAACTTCTCTTCGAATGACTTCTTTTGATAAGCAATATACAGTTGAAATAAATATACCATCCTACGCAAGTGTCAATATATATCGGTTGGCATTATAAGACATCTAATTAATTTTACTAGTTAATTTTCTGCATGTCTATAAGTCAAGTCGAAAATATAATAATTGAACACCTCTTTATCATTAACCTCTTTATCTCTTTATCACAAAGTCTGCTTTAAAAAATTTTAGTTTAGTTAAGGAATATAGTTTGTTTATGTTTCAATTTCATTGCAATTAAGAATTCTATCTCCTCCATAGTAAATACATAGTACATTTTACATTACTGCAAAACATGTGATTATTGTAAGTCTCATTTAAATATTTTGGCTACAACTTGATGTATTCTTGCAATATGAATAATCATAAAATAAGACAAAATTATATTGATGAGGCAGCTACAGTATCAAAATTGCTTATCGTGAGAATGAAATAAGATCCCAGTTTGTCAGTATCTTCACACAGTTTCACAAACTCGGCTATTTTTATACCTTTCAACATTTCTTCATTCTGTTTTCATCTCAGTAAGTTTTACCTTTAAAGTTCTTTTAAGAATAGTAGGCGTATGAATGAAGAGAAATATTATTATCTAACATGTTAAACTCTGTAATGTTAAAGTTCTATGATTCCGTCTCTATGGTGTTCTATAGGCTATGGAGTTCCACGAGACCCTGCAGGAGCTGCTGGAGTTCTTGGAAAGAGCCGAGGACAAGTTCGCCAGTCTGGGTCCGCTGGGATCGGACATTGACGCAGTCAAGCGACAGATAGCTCAACTCAAGGCTTTCAAACTAGAAGTCGACCCACACATGGTCAAGGTGGAGGCTCTTAACAGGTAAATCAGCTGCTACCTCGTAGTACAATTTAAATTCGTGAAAATCAATAAACAGTATTTGCAAAATTCACAAGAACTTTCACCCACTATCTTGACTTTGAAATAGTGTATGTATGTGTACAGACTACACTTGTGGTCCAATTCTGAGGAAGTTTGTAATTGGGGACTGGGGTGGGTACTAATCCATGGATCCCCAGACGTCATAGGGGGAAATAGAAAAAAATGGTGTGAATTGTGTTTGTTACTTTTAAAATCCTTTATTTTTGTAAAGCTAATTATTCAAGCCAATGACTTGGCGTTGGCAAGGAATCATTATTCTATTATACTTACTCCTTCAGTATATAAACTCCGATATAGCTTCAGTACCACTACAACACACACACAACAGTAAAGTTTCAGTATATACTGCTGCAATTTTCTTATCAGTACCCAGTGTAAGTTCAAAAACAATATTAAATTTTATAAGCTTTTTGAGCATTTGTGGAAGTAAAACAATAGTGTTTATTTTTGAGAATGTAGCTTTGTAAAACTGGGTTGTTTACAAATTTATTTCATTGATGAGTCATAATTATTCTATTTTTGTCCTTGCTTTTCTTTGGGAACAAAGGCAACTTTGGTGGTAAGTTTATAGTTATAACTATTTATATTTTACACTATTCATAAATAACTTGCCTAAGAAATGAGTTCCAGTCAGTTGATAGTGCACAATAAGTTCACCTTGCAATCAACTTAATATTCGCCCCTCCTGTAGACTATGGTCATTGATAAAGAATTGCTTTTATGTGTTTGTTCAGTTAACTGTCAAAGTCCTAGTTCAACAGATGACGTATAGTATGTCATAGTCCTATTTCTAAGGGTGATAACAAATAAAGGTCTTAACTTTTGTAAACATCAAAATAATTCTACATAAACCAAACTGAACTATCTTATCATTACTATCATTATCTTAAACATAAGTATGATAAATCTAAAGAAGATAGTTATTATCTATATAATCTATAGCATTACTCATTGTAACGGCTTTTTGCAGGCAAGCGCAAGAGTTGACCGAGCGCACATCAGCAGAGCAGGCGGCTGCACTCAAGGAGCCGCTGTCCTTGGTGAACCAACGCTGGGACGAGCTGTTGCGCGGCGTGGTCGAGCGCCAACGCCAGCTGGAGAATGCCCTGCTGCGTCTCGGACAGTTCCAACACGCCTTGCAGGAGCTGATGGCCTGGATAGAGGCTACAGACCGCACCTTGGAGAGAGACCTGCGTCCCGTGGCTGGCGACCCGCAGCTGCTGGAGGTGGAGCTCGCCAAACTCAAGGTGGGTGAACTAGCATAGACATTCAATTTAGACGGATCAACTGTAGCTTATTTTGGATCCGTTCACAAAGGGTACTTCTGTCAGAATTTATATTTTCATTTAGTTTTTTGTTCTGATATAGTTTATGTGACTTAAAAGAAGCTGTAGTACATTAGGTTGTCCCTTCAGTTTAAGTTGGTTAGTTGATGAATTTTCGATTGATGAATTTTATCTAGCTTTCTTGTGAAAAAAAAGTCCAAAGGTCATACATTATGTTGACCTATACTATGTTGTTATTGTGTATCTATAACCCCTTCGACTTAGTTTTCTCAGGTAACTTATCTGAAGTAAATTTAATAGTAATCCATCCTGGCTTGTATATGTTAACAGTTAGAGTTGTTTTTAATTTTATTGTTGCACGCATGTAGATAAATAAATCTACAGAGAGAGAGATGATTTAAATTGAAAGTCACGGTTTGCGGAAATTTTTTAACCCTCCTATATATTCATAATATGCAAATAACTGCTAATTATCTTTATCCAACAATACTATAGATATTTTTCAATTGATTTCCATTAATAATTTTCTCTGGTGTTTGTACAGGTGCTTGTGAACGACATACAAGCGCACCAGTCGAGTGTTGATACACTGAACGATGCAGGACGTCAGCTGATAGAGTCTGGGCGAGGTAGCGACGAGGCGTCGTCTACACAGGACAAACTTTCAACCCTTAACAGGTAAAACTTCCGCCCTAACTGCTTCAAACACATTCATAAACCAATGTTAATCGGTGACTGTAGGTAATGACGAGTAGAAGCCAAGCAAGTTTTTATGAAGAAACCCAGTTTTTTTTCTTTATTTAAGTTAATAGTCTTTAACATCTAGCCAATTCGTAAAACACCCAATGACAAAGTTGTCAACGATTGCTGTTTGTTGCTGCAGACGGTGGCGAGAGCTGCTGCAGAAGGCTGCGGACAGACAGACTGAACTGGAGGAAGCGTTGCGGGACGCTCACAGGTTTGCTGCGGAGATACAAGACCTACTGTCCTGGCTGGGAGAGGTGGACGGTGTGATAGCCGCCAGCAAACCAGTCGGTGGACTTCCAGAAACTGCTAGTGAACAGCTGGAGAGGTTTATGGTGAGTAAAAGCTTTGGTTACAAGATTCCAGTTAATTCTTAATCCGCTTGCATTTCAGACCCAACTGTTTGTATCTGATTCATTGAATCCTTTTCATTTTCTTCATTGCTTTCAATGTTTTAATGCGTTTGACTATTACATATCTATTTAGGTGACCTTATTTAGGTGATATTTAATTAGGTTCATCTTTATCAAGGCTCTTGCTTAGGTGACCAAATAGACTTCTTCCATCTGGGTTATTGTTTTTTTTTTTTTTTTTTTTTTTTTTTTTTTGTAATCACCGCTTAGTTCCCCAACCTGATTATGTGTTCCGCTCATCTCGGATGTCTCCTTTTTTCTGTAGCAAACACATCAAGCTACGATAAACATTATTCACAAAGTTTTGTTTGAGAGGTTTTAGGTGGGGTTCCACAGTTTTTAGAAATCATTGCTTACACAAAAGAATTTTTAGTCGTTACACCCATCCAAAAAACATATTGCAAGAAATTAGGTGTCAAAATAACTTTTAAAGCTGGAAATATTTTTCTTCTTAGACTATTAAACCTCAGTATGTATCGTTAACAATACCTTAATCCTGTTTTCTGCTGGTGTAATATCAAGTCTATTGACGTATTGAACTTTGACCTTAGACGTCTTTCTTGATTTTCCCAGTGGTCATCTTCCATTTGGGTTTTCCGTGATTATCAAATTGTCTTCTCCACATATTATGTCCTATCTATCACAATCTACAGCTTCTTACCGTTACTACAATACATAACATTAAATATTCCTAAAAACATTCTACACTAGCTCTGTGAATAATCTAGCTTGGTTTTGCGTTGCAGGAAGTGTACAACGAGCTAGAAGAGAACCGGCCCAAGGTCGAGACAGTGTTGGCCCAGGGACAGGAGTACCTCAAGAAGTCACCACCAGGAGCAGCAGGCAACCTACAGACCAATCTACGCACACTCAAGCAGCGATGGGACAACGTCACTGCTCGTGCCAACGACAAGAAGATCAAACTGGAGATTGCACTGAAGGAGGCAACAGAATTCCATGACGCTTTGCAGGTCAGGATAAATACAAGTAGTAAACAAACATCTGTTATTGGTTATAGACCAGTTAAAAGGTTTACCTACATTGAATCATAATTATATTAAGTGATTAAAAATATTTACTGTACAAGCAGTAGGTAACGTCATAGACTAACCAACACGAGTAAACCTCTCATCCCATTGTAAATTTTGAAGCACATTTTTTGTGTCTAGTTCATGTACAGTGACACTGGGTGCTAGTGTCGACGAAATTTTGTTTCCATTATTTTAGGGTTAATTTCTTGATTTGTGCTTCACTGGTTGGTTATGTAAGTTAACTAGAGGACAAGTTATTGTTTATGATTAGATCGTATTATTTTATTTAAACGAGGTTTTAAATGACTGTAATAACGGGAAACAAATTAACGTCAATACTAAAAAAAATTGTCATTTTATATTGCATTAAACCTATTGACTGAGCTCCTACGGTTATATGGCCTTTGTTGTCCTCTTCAGAAAACCCTTTTCGGAGGTTTTTGAGTTTTGAGTATTTAAATAAACAACTTAAGTTTCATAGATTCTATAGCTTATACCAAGAGACATCAAGAATATTATTTCTCGTTGAATTTTTATAATTGGATCTTAAAGCAAAATTACCTGAACGTTTGTGTCTATTGAGAAAAAGGAGCACAGAATGTTTACACTGTTCACAATTATTTGAATATTTCACTGTTATTTATTTCTGAGGAAGGTTTCAGTTATTGAAGAAAGCCTACAACTCTGTAATGTATTTGTTACTGTAATTTTACACAGTATTGGGTTGGAGAGATAAATCGCTCAATTAATCAGTGGGTTTTATTTGAATCAGGCTATCTCTAACGGTTCATACATTGGGCAAATCTTGTTTCCAACATACCGAGATTAACTAATGCTGAACCTACAACTACAGTAACAATCAATGCATTACAAGTTCCAATCTTTCTATACCTAACTCAAAATTAAGCACTTTAGACATTGTAGATGTTAACTATCGGGTACACATCTTACTGTTAACTCACTTCCACAGTCGTTCGTGGACTGGCTGACCAACGCTGAGAAGACACTGTCCGGCTTGAAGCCTGTGTCGCGTGTTCTGGAGACAATACTGCAACAGATCGAGGAACACAAGGCGTTCCAGAAAGACGTGGGTGTTCACCGTGAGACCATGCTACATCTCGACAAGAAGGGAACGCACCTCAAGTACTTTAGTCAGAAGCAAGACGTCATTCTGATAAAGAACTTGCTCATCAGGTGTGCTAAATGTTCTCATTGTTTAAATTATTTCATTTTAATACTGATTGGGTGGCTTTTTGAATGGGTGAAGCCAATTCAGTTTTTTATAGAAACAGCAATGCATAAGGGAAGAAGGAATAGAATGTGTTCAAACTAGAAAAACCTTAATAAAAACAAAAAAGAAGAATACCTATTAACATATTTAGCATTTTCAGTATGGAATTCCCTTGACCAAAGTAATAGTTCCAAGTAGTTAAAAGTACACCAAAGGCACACACAAAAAAAACGAAAATAACTTAAAAAAACTTGTGTTTTTAACCTTTTGTGTGCTTTCAACTGTATAGATCTCTCTTCTTGAGTAAGTTAGTGGTACATTGATTCCTTCCTCCTTAGTGCGTTTAAAGCCTTTACTGTAGTTTTACAACAATTTTGTACTTTTTGGGAATGTCATATTTTTTATGTTACTGTTGAAATTAATATACATAAATTACATATGTTTTTTATTCCATAGGCACACTGAGTGATGTATCTTAAAATTGTTTAAAAGATACTAATTTGTATGATTCTTCAAGTGGTTAACAGTCTATTTAATTTTTTTTTTTTATATGGCAAAACTGCAAAATTTTTAGATTGGGTTGAATATTTTTTTAACACATTCAGTAAAAATAAATAGTATATACTTCACAAAAAACAATTTTAGGGCTACCTTGAAATATGTTTTGATGGTAACCATCAAAAACTTCGTTTTCTATCTTCTGTCGTAGTATACCACTGATATCAATTGAAATTTTTATTGTTCTTATCTAATCAATACAAAGGAAGTGAAGTCTTGACGTGGTGAACATATCAACACGCGTACTTCTATTGTCTTGTGCGATTGAATTGGTGTTGATGAATTTATTTTCGTGTTTCCGTGATTCATTGTATTTTGAATTATCTTTTATCTGCTGAAGTACATTTGATAAATTTTAATGATTATCTCAGTATATTTTTGAACAATGATATTTCCCATTGAATACAAACTGTGCAAATGTGACTAAGAGATTTTATCTATGATTTCTGTAAATTTTTAGATTTTAGTGGTACTGTAGAGGTTACTAGAATCAGTTTATATGGATTATACAGTCTGAACTATTTTTTAGTGTGACCCGAGTAAAGTTTTTTTTAATTTAAACAATAGTTTATTTAATCTCCAATTTTTGAAGATTCAAGAGTTGATCCTTGAAAACATAGGTTCTGTGGATGTATGTTTTGTATATTATTTCCATAAACGAACAGTGTAGGCCTATCGTTAGTAAAATATGCTTCTTCTCTTGTTAATTGTCTTACTCTACCTGGCCGTCGTTTACGCTGCTTACAGTGTCCAACATCGATGGGAGAGAGTTGTGTCTAAGAGTGCGGAGAGAACTCGAGCACTCGACCATGGATACAAAGAGGCTAGAGAGTTCCACGATTCCTGGTGAGTACGAGACTACAGTTTCATAATTTTGTGGTTTTGTTATTGAGAGTTAATAGGCTTTCAAATAGGTGTAATATAGACTACATGCCTTTTGTATCATTAAAAGTCATTTAAGGATCTAATATATGTAATGTTACCATCTAACATTGACGTTTTGATGCATTATTTACTGTGATGACCTAGTTGTTATCTCTAGAAGCTAAAACAAATGTCTTTTGTCATTATGTAGTTAATTTCATCTGAAATATTACTAAACATATACAGGGTGATTGATATAAGTGTGCCAGCCGTTTTATTCGAAAACCATAAGAGATATCAAAAAAAGTTAAATGGTAAGTGCCTTGGACTTTTTATTTAAAAAATTGTAGTAAAGTCGAAAAAATTATTTTAGCCGCCATTTTTCCAATATGGCCGCCAACTTTGATTTTTCTTATGGAACACCCTGTATTTTATGATGTATTCTGGTAGAAAATGTAATTTTAAGACGATTTTATACCTGTGATTTTTTTTCATAAACCTAAAAATGGTTTAAGTTGTGAAATTTTGAATGGTTTTCGAATAAAAAAGCTGGCATGCTTGCTTAGGCCTGTATCGAAACTCTTTCTCATGCAAAAATTTCAAAACTTTAACCATTATTATCTTTGAAACGGTTAGGTTTATGAAAAAAATCACAAGAATAAAATCGTCTTAAAATCACATTTTCTACCAGAATACATCATAAAATACAGGATGTTCCATAAGAAAAACCAAAGTTGGCGGCCATATTGGAAAAATGGCGGCTAAAATAATTTTTTTTGACTTGACTACAATTTTTTAAATAAAAAATCCAAGGTACTTACTATTTAACTTTTTTTTATATCTCTTATAGTTTTCGAATAAAACGGCTGGCACACTTATATCAATCACCCTGTATTTTATGTCCAAAAGTGAGTTTTATTTTAAGGATAAGCCAAGTGTTTTTATAGGGATTTTTTATGAAGAAGTTGAAGTCAGATAGCTTACCTTAGCAAATTTGAGAGACTCATCTACTGATCCAAAATAACATTGATATTTTGACCTAATGTATGACTTCTTTAGAGTGTAAATTGAAGAGCCCAATACCCATTGTGCATTCTGAGAAGATTCTGAAACCCAAAAAGTAGCCTACTGAAATTATTTTGTGTGTAGAATAGCATGAAAATAAGTATAAATGTCTCAATTTGTCAGATGTCTTAATTCCAAAGACAAATATTTTCAGGTCAAACCTGATGGGCTGGCTGAACGACACGGAGAAATCCCTGGACGAGTTGGAAGTTGAGGCATCTAGCATTGGAAACGACCCTGAGCGCATCAAACAACGACTGGCCAAGCACCGAGAGTTCCAGCGAGCGCTGAGTGGCAAACAGGCTACTTACGATTCCACCATGCGTGCCGGCAAGACGCTCAAGGAACGAGCGCCCAAGACTGACGAGCCGGCGCTGCGCCAGATGATGAACGATCTGAAGGACAAGTGGAACACAGTGTGCGCCAAGTCTGTGGATAGGTGAGTGTTTGTCTTGTATAGGTTTTTTCTGGGTGTAATAGTAAAAAAGTACATTTGAAAATAAAAATAAATAGAATTTACTGTGTTTGAAATGCATGTACATTACAATTAAAACTGCACTATGTTTCCGGCGGTAAGGAATTCACCCTCCTGTTTCAAGTGACCCTTTACCTGATTAGTCTATTTAGCCTACCAAACTGTTGTATATCCCTGTTTTTTCCTATACATATACAACATAGATAACGTAATCCAACCCGGAGGTAAATGAAGATAAAGGATCACTTCTAAGGGTTAAAGGATAAAGGATAACAGGGGGAGTTTCCTTTCCTCCCAAAACATACTGTTGTTTAAAACATTTTGTGATACAACATTTACATTTGTTTTAGGCCTACCTTAAATATGATGTTGACTGATGTAGTATGTTTACTTGTGACCCCAATTTTACTCATAACCATTACCCTTACATCCCTAAAAGCAGAATTTTTTTATAAATCCTTGAGTCCATGAAATACCTCTTATATTAAAGTTAAACTCTCTCCAAATCCACCCAACTCTATAACATTGCTTGTACCATCAACTGAACACTCCTATAAACACTTCTTTGTATTTCCAGACAACGCAAGTTAGAAGAAGCTCTTCTATTCTGTGGACAGTTCAAGGACGCTTTGGAAGCCTTGTTGGATTGGCTGCAGAAGAAGGAGAAGGAGCTCGGAGACGACTCGCCAGTCCATGGAGACTTGGACACTGTCGTGGCCCTGGTTGACCAACACAAGGTATGGACGACCTTTCACATCATCGTTTCACTACACTGGCTAAATTAGTACCAACGATTTTCTTTCAACTCCGTGAATTATATTGTGATTAATGCAGATTTGCGCTGCTTTCCCTCATCTTATGATTATAAAAATACAAATTATTTTGAAGTTTTTGGTGGACACATACATAGTAAGTAACAAAATGCTCGATATGAGGTGCAACTAATGAAAAATCCACCCATTCTATTTCTACCTAGGCTGTCTACTGTTAATTTTACGTGGGTCTTTTACCTTAAGCTCTGCCATAGACAGGGAAGTCCTTATCCAGTTGAACTGAGCTGAGATTAAAATCATCAATCTAGGTTGCTATATGCTATTTGTACAGAAAAGCCTAGTCATCACAGCAGCACAGCTATCATTTTAACCAGAATACTTCACTGTTTTGCAGGCTCTGGAGGAGGACCTAGCAAGCAGAGCAGCTCAGATGGAGTCTGTGCGCAGAACTGGCCAGGAACTAATGGAGAAGGCCAGCTCAGCTGACGCAGCCACCATCCGTAGTCAACTGAGCGAACTCAACTCGCTGTGGTCTCGCACCAACAAGCTGGCCGAGCGCAAGAGCACTCGACTGCAAGAGGCACTCAAGGCAGCGGAGAAACTACACAAGCAGGTCAGAACTTTAAACTTGATTAACAGAAAATGTATTTGGAGTTTTAAAAGTTCTTTTTAGAAGTTTTATTTTTGTCGATTAGATTTATATTTTTACAGCCACACTAGGGTATGTTTTAAAAGGTGAAGGATGGTTAAAAGACGAGTCTGAAATGAATAATAATTTATTACTTCCAGAGTAGATTAGGTGATAATTTAGAAAGGTGATTGACAGGGTTGTCTATAGGACCCAAATTTCTCTGATAAACATTTTATCCATCATTATTTGACCTACAGGTGAACATGCTGCTAGAGTGGCTCTCTGATGCCGAGATGAAGCTGAGGTTCGTCAACTCTCTACCTGAAGACGACCAAGAGACTCGGAACTACCTTGCGGAACATGCCAAGTGAGTACATCACTGGTTGAAAATAAACTATCTAATGTTAAGACTCTCAAGTAATAAGTACATAATTCTTCTGATGATCTTAAGTTATCAAAGCAGGTTTTTTTTTATTCTTGGCCTAGAAAAAATTTTAGCAACAATGGTGCATTACGTGGTTAGTTTTTTTTAATGACTCAAGTATTTTTTATATTTTTTGATTTAATCTTAAAGCAAGTACATAAAAGTAACTGTCATAAATTCTAAGATTTTCTAACCAATTTCATCTTTCCATTCATCAAAGAAAGATTAAACTTGCCACATCCATCATCCATTTACCATTTAATTTCATGATTTATTTTCTTAAACGACACACTCAATGATATTACGAGCCAATAAGGAAATGTTAATATTTAATCTACAATTTCCCTGTGGTTTTTGGAACCTGTCAACATTAATAACATTAATTAACTTTAAGGTCAATTTTATTTTATCTTTCGACAAGTATAGGTTGCCATTTGAGTAGTAAGGAAACTGGCACTCGGTGACCTATGCTTGTCATTCAACTGCAAAGCCAAACTTTTTTATTTTTGATTTTTTTTATGTAGGTCGCCATTTTTGAGCATTTGGGAAAATGGCGGGCGGCTACCTATACTAGCCATTCGACCGCAAAGGGTTAAGTAAGACCCATAAACTTGCATTGTACGCAACAAACACGTCCTGTTTGGAAGATTGAATTATAATTTTTTGCACAGGTTTATGAGGGAGATGAATGAGAAAGAGAGGGAGAAGGACGCTACGATCGCCCTTGCTCACCAGATACTGGCCAAGGCGCATCCAGACGCAGTGCCTATCATCAAACACTGGATCACCATCATACAGGCACGCTGGGACGAGGTGTCCACTTGGGCTAAACAGGTACCTCCTCTGCTCTGTACACCTGTGTACTCGGTGATGTTTGTGCTCGCATAGCTGAAAGTAAGCTGGCTCGGGAGATTTCTTATCTTCACCTGAAATTTGGGTTGAAACCTTCATCGTTTGTGCATAAGATACATTTTGGTGACAGATACAAGGAACTCAGCCAAAATAATTTCAATAACTTCAGAACAAGTACATTAGCAAAACACACAATCACTACGGATCATGAGTTCAAAAATGAACATAAACTACATTTACCAAAACTACAAAGACAAAGGCAACATTTGAAGTGGTTTTATTGAAAAGTAAGATTAAAGGTTTTATTGGTACATTGTTTATACAATACATACAGTTTGATGAAATGACACCCATATTTTATCTCTTTGATAGAAAACCTTACTGTTTGTTAACACTTGTACACAATGACCCCAAGCTTTTTTTTCGTTTCAATGTACTTTGTTATGATTTTTTGTGTGTTTACCTTCTGCCTTTGTCATTATCCCTGTTTACTAATTTCCAACTTATTAGCTTACAAGTATGAGCCAGCTTACTTTTTTAGATTAAATGTAAAATTAAATTATTTTACTGTCCAGTGTCCATTATTTGTGCTGTGCAATTCTTTGTGTAATGTTGAATAATTTGGGAAATAGCGTTTTTGTGTCTTGTCAATGCATGTTTTTGGAAAACTTGGCATAAAAGAACTATATGGGGTTTTGAGGTTATAGAGCTGCATAATCAAGATTTCATAAACTATTGTTTAATATTTTAACATTTTACATGTAATTTATATTGGGAATGACAATGAATTACCGATTGGTTTTGAGTTTAATAAGGTAATATTAAAAAGTAGTGTCTATTGTTGATGACAGTAGGATAATTATCTGTTGAGTCCTAAGTTCTGAAAGATGACTTCGTTATTGAACCAGCAAAAATATTGGTTAATGTTTTAGATGTGTTAGATAGGACTAACGCACGTAGTATCTGAAACGTTGACCAGTATTTTCGCCTGTTCAACACCCCAATCATCTTTTGAACTTTAAGATTTGTTGGTCTATCTTCTATTTTAAACATTTTGTAACCTAAACAGTAATATTCATTGTACATATTTTGATATCAAGGTGATGTCCAACTAGACAAAAATGATTGTTTATAATGGGGTTGCAGTGGGTGCCTTACTTGGTTGTAAAATAGTGTTATAGGTTCAACATGCTACAGAAGGCGGTCTGCAAGGTTTGTACGTTGGTTATAAAGCTTCTGCCGTTACTGAGTTTAATCAGCTGTTTAAGTAATCAAGTGACGAATGGCTTGCTTCAGCTGAGCTTTTTACTAGAGGTTACGGATACTTTTAACTAATGATGAAATTTGAAATTGTCAATGGTGATGGTGTTACTATTCGGTCAGCACTATACATGGATTTTTTGTTGTTCTAAATACAATTTTTATAAATTTTATGTTTAGGTCCTTTGGTAAAATTAGGGTATGTATGTTGGTAATGTTATAAGGTTTTTTTCATAAAAATTGGCTTATCAATATACAAATATTGACCAAATAAAATTAGAGTTTAGATATGTGTAAACGAATGTATAAAGTGTATTGATGTGTAAATTTTGTTCTTGAAAGTCTTCTCCCTAGATCTTGAATTTCGAATTTAAGAATGCAGTAGGTGTTTAAGCACACCATTTACTGTTAATGTTGTATTTTAATTTATTCAAACTCATCTGCTTTACAAATGTAGATAAAAAAGGCCAAATTCGGAAGAAAACCAAAGTTAGATTTTTTTGGTAAAGGGATAGGGTTCTGCTAGCTTACCTGAAAAATATTGAAATTTTCAAAAATTTATTCTTTGATAAAGTTTGATATTAGATCAAAATTATTGTAATTTTTGGTGACCTTCCATTCCTTCTTCTTATTGTAATGTAGGCCAAGTACTCATTCCTCCAAATATTAAATACCTCTGATATTTTGCACTTATCCATTCTATCTGCCTCATGTAATATTTTTGTGGCTTTTTTATGTCTTATCATCTCTTGGATTGTAGTTATCTCATGTAAGCTAGCTAACCTGTCCCTTCTCAAAGAATATTCCAATTAAGCGAGTTTGACGAGTTTCTTTACTGAGTAAGAGAAGTGATACATCTTTTGCATATCTGCAGAGGGAACAAAAGCTGCAGCAACATCTGCAGTCGCTGCAAGACTTGGACACACTACTGGAGGAGTTGCTCGCGTGGTTGGCAGGACTGGAGTCTACGCTGATCACGCTGGAGGCTGAGCCGCTGCCAGAGGACATTCCCACCATTCAACAGCTGATTGTCGACCATAACGAGTTTATGGAGAACACCGCCACGCGCACCTCTGAGGTAAGATACGAAACTTGTAGATGTAGTTCATTAATTTAACCAAAGCAAATAGGTATCAAGTTTGACTTAATAAAATTGGATATTTACAAATAGGATTCCTTCGTAGGGGACTGTTTTGTTGCTAACATAATATTAAAGCCTTAAACGTCCGGGTATCAGCAAGCTTTGATTACATCAAAATAAATAATTACATATAACACACAACGAAACATGAACAAAGATAACGCCATCTTACCAAATGGTTTTGGCGGTGGCAGTAGATTATTGCCGATGTGACAAAAATTAGGACTATAGATGTAGTGTTAATGTTTGTTCCCAAAAGTCAATAAAAAACCTATTTAACCTTTTTGAAAAAAATCTAAAAGGGCACAAATTGTTTTTACAGGCTTCTACAATAAACTTTCTTTAATCTTGTAAATACAGCAATTGTTCAACCTTTTTCAACACAAATTCCAACAAGATTTAAAATTTCATTATGGTTTTTCCAAATGTCGTCTAAATTTTTATGCGATGGATACGATATAACTGTGCATTCTTCCACCAGGTGGACATGGTATGCAAGAGCCGTCAGCCGCCTGCACTCACCAAGCAAGAGAGCGCTCGTAAGATGTCCGGCAAGAAGATGAGCACAACTTCGTAAGTCAATTTGAAATAACGGGTTTACGGTGGTGGCATTACACTTAAGTTCAATGTGAGCTTTGTGTCATAATCACTGAGTCACAGCGCTTTTTGCACAGTTAATTTGGTTTGTTTTGTGTCAAAATATTAAGTTTGGGATTTACAATTTTGAGATATGAGACGTTAAATATTATCTTAGTACATTTAGTTAAATTTTGAACTTTTACCAATTAATATTTTTATTCACGTATAATTCTTAGTTAATCCTTTATATCAGACAAACAGTGTGTAAGTAAGGGATTTAAATTGTATAATGTTGTTTAAATTAATTTTGGTGTTGAGTAGATTATTCAACAGCTTTTACAACCTTTAAGAGGTGGTTTGAATACCAAAACATACACTTTTTTTGTACTTTTGTATGTTTTATCCGTTTTAGTGCGGTACTCTTTGAGCTATTTTGACTTACCAGGTTGTTTTTTTAACTGATTCTTAAAATTAAATTTTGACTCTTTGATCAAGTTAGGTTTACTCTCTTCATATTCTGTTAGATAAGTAACTAATTTCACTTTTAATTCACTTAACTTTTAAAATCCGATCACTTATTTTGCACCTCTCATTTTATCACTTCCATTTATAACACATTCATCCCTGTCAAAAAACACCATTGGCCTACCCAAAAATATTTTAAAGATTGTGAGGTACCAAATTTTAGGGGGGGGTAAAAACGTACTGCGAATAAATGAACACCAGAACTTACCCGATCATTCAAAATAAAATCACTTAAATGTGTTTTTTTGTACTCAACAAAAATTATTGATCTATTTGTGCCACATAATTTTTTTTACAATGAATGTATTAATTTAATCAAATATTTTTGATGTTCCACATTTAAACTACTGTTCAAATGATTTTTAGTTGATAAAACAAGACTATCATGGGGAATTATAAGGATTGTTGAACCAAGCACCATAGGGAATTCATTTCAATACAATCAACTCGCGTCAATCTCAATTTCAATTAACTCACGTGTATCTTTTTCCAGCTAAATCTTCCAGCTAAAGTCTGTGTACTGATTTTTTTATTTATTCGTAGTACAATTTTAAATTTTTAACATTTATCTATGTTTTTCCAAAACAGACATTTTCCCTGACTCCTGTCCCCGACTCACCTAACCTAACCTCACCACTGTTGTATGTTTGCACGCTTGACCGCTACTATTCCTAGCACTGTGTTTGTCCTTGCAGGGAAGACGTGCGCGGCAGCTCACAAGATCTGCACGACGTGACACGCAAAGCAAGGTGTGTTGTCGCACTACACGCATGCATCTTGTTAACTTACTATTGCGGTTGTTGTTGTCTGGATGTAACAATTAGGGTTTGGCATTGCATTGTTTTTTATTCTTTTATCTTCAAAAATGTTGGTAGAATTGTTTTTGTATTATTTTTTATTAATATTTCTTATGTTTTCTAGTACCGGTACATAAAAATAGTTAAGTGTTTTACCTTTCCGTATACTTCATCAAAATTTGTTTTTTTAATTATTGATTTCTTTTGTATTTTAGGCCTGAATGAAATAATAGTATTGACGTAATGACGTTTTTACAAATTTAGAAATATTATATTATTTTAGTCACAAGTAGACTCCCTCTCGTTCACAAACCTTGGATCCAAACTAAAGATGTCCAAATTGAAATGTGTGACAAATTTTTCAAAGTTTATCCAGAGTTTGAGTAAACTATATCAAATCAAAGGTTGTCTACTTTACATAATACAATTAATAACTACATAAAATTAAAAAAAAAATTTTTGTTAACTGCTTCAATAAACAATTAGGTTATATTCTATTCTACAAACATTTATTTTATTGCTACAATTATTTTAATCACCTCTCAATTTTATAAACATGATTGTTCTCGTGTTTGTTAGCATGCTTTTTATGTGTTTGTTGTGTGTGTTTGTCTTGACTTGTGTGTGTTTTGTTACCAGTTTGAAGGCATCAAGGGATAACTTGGCGGATCGTCGCGGAAGGTACATTTTCGTACTACTCATGTTTGCTTGGGTGGTATTGTAGATTGTCTAACATTGGCTGTTTGTGCCGTTAACTTGTCATTTTACTAAACTATTTTAATTACTAATACAACTTTTTGCTCAAAATTTAACCAAACATTTCCTCATTGCAATAACTATTGGGTTCATTGTGTTTAAACTGATTTGGTCTTTTGTACAACTTTTGGTCTGTAAGCGTATTTCTGTGCCCATTTTTCTTTACCATTAAAAACCCTGCAGCAGTATTAAATTAACTGTCAAATTAAGCTAAATTTTATGTTTCTGTTACTTTACCTAATTTTGCATTTTAAAATTTAAACATCATGAATTTGTTTTACAAGTAATGTCTCTAAAAACAGCCAAAACGTTGTCTACGTAAAGTTTTGCTTATCCTTACACCTTTTTCTATAACTGTTTGGTTTTGTTATTTAAATAAAGTACTAATTAGATAACTTGCAAATTTTTGTGGTACTTTCCTGTTAAAGGGAACATTCATTATTATCGATGATTTTTTTCTCGATATATCGATATTAACAAATTGAAACATATCAGCTGACAACTACGAAAAATATTGTTCAGTATCAACAGACATAGAAATGAAACTGTAAAAAAAATAACCTAACATAACTAACCAAACTTGCTGTAACATTAACAAAATTCCGTGTTTATAACTTGCCTTTTATATTCAAACCCAAATGGAATTTTTTTAATGGTACAGCAAGTTTGGTTGGTTATGTTAGGTTAGCTTAGAACAGTTTCATTTCTTAATCCATCATAGACTATTTTAGCCTAAACAAGATCAGTTAGTTGTTGTCAATTTGTTATGGATCGGAAAACAAAAACATCGATATATCGAGTAAAAATCATCGATAATAATGAATGTTCCCTTTAACAGGAAAGTACCATTTTTGTATTTAAAAAGCCATAAACAAAGCAGCAAGTCATCTGAAGGTTAAATAATACAATCAAAATTCAACCCATGTAACAATGTATTAACCGATTGTTTGGGAATGAGGTACTTAATTTGGAATTGGAAGCAAGCAGTTTTAATACTACGACGTTGTATTCAAAACTACTTACCACCTGTTAATTTCAAAAATTATAATTTTGAAACTTACCCTGCTTTTTGATCATTACTACTCAATTAAAGTAAAAAATCTAACTTACTAATTCAATTTGCCAAACTCATATTTGTACAACTAATCTAAAAGTTTTAAAATAAAGTGCTTCCATGAAACAAATTAACTTTTGTTAACCAAATCTGGTGCCATAATTGATTATTTTTTAATTGTTTTGTGTAATAGTTTTGTATTGTTTGAACAAAACGATTTGTTTATGAAGAAGCTTTTGACACATTGGAGACAATGTGTGTGTGTGATTTTTGTTTTTTAGACATTTAACATCAATTTTATTGTAATAAAACCTCTAGTTCACTATGATCAAAATACAAATTCAAATTTAGTGAAAAATTCACGCTTATAAACTAAATTTCTTTTTTGGTCCACCCCATACAAAACTTTCAATCTAATATTCTTGTTGAAAATAAATTTTGAAAAAGAATTAACCAGCTATTTAGTTGCTGATAGAGCTTAAAGTTTTAGATTTTCATATTGTAGTTTAGATAATTCATAAATTAGTTTTAGCAAGCAGTATTTACTTACTTGAGAAACCATAACTTAAACACTAAAAACTTAATTGATTTCAATGTTCAAAATAAAAAATAAAATATAGCTTTTTTTATCAAAATTGTGCGTTTTTGTTTTGCAAGTAAATGCTGTGGAATAGAAGTAAAACTAGCCCAACACACCCAGGAAAAACCAATGGTGGAGCAAATTTTCTAAAGTCCTGCATTCAGATTTAAACTATAAATTTTGTTTCTGAGTAAAGAGCTCTTAGCTTCTGAATACTTTACTGGAGAATAAATCTAAACTCAACTAACTTACTCAAGAAAATAGTTCTAGGCAGTTTACAGCACACTAAAGATCCACAACACAATTAGTTTTATATTGTTAGCCTCTTAATCACTGGTATTAAATAATTATATACACATAATGATGAGTGTAGACCAGTCCGCCACATTGTATGTCTTCACACCTATTACTTTTAAATACTTTAGCCAATGTTTGTGTTTACGTGTTTTCGTCCCTATTGGGTTATGCATTCTCTTGTGTGTCTCTTATAAAATATACAGACAAAGACTCCCATTGAGAGTTGAAACTTGTTGTCTGATCATGACAAATAATCTTTGACTAAAAGGATTACAACTAATTTGATATTTCGTCCTTTCAAGGGGACTTCTTCAGAGAGAAGTAGTAGAATAACCCATCTCCTATCTCTTCCTTATGGAGAATTCCCTTCTCGAAAGTTACAAATATCTTATAGTATTGTTAACTTTTTGAGTGCTATCAAAACTTCCTGGAACTCTTTTCTTTGGTTGGATGTATATCTGTTTTACAACTTAACAATTTTCTATCATAATGTTGAAAAGTTTTGCCTTTTCTTTTAAAAAACTTGGGAAAAGGGTAAAATCGTCTTTAAATTGGGATTCCAAACCTTATGAAGGAATTGCTTTACACAGTTGGTAGCCCTGGGTGTGTCGAGGTCAGTGAATGTAAGCGTAGTGGCATGCTTGTGTTTGTTTGTTCAGTCGAGCCAGCGTGACAACCCGTGATAAGCAGCCTGACAATCTGCCTCATTACGGTCCTCGGTTCCCACCTAAGGGAAGGTTGGTACACACTTCCTCACCTCATCTTAAGGTCACGCCTCGGTTAAGCTTCAACTCTTTAATATTGTTTTTAATGGGCTAATTTTGATTCTCAAATAGTAATATTGGACATAATTTCAGAGTATCGTAAGTTCGCAGAAAAATTGTTATTGTCTTTTTGCGTTTGTAGTGAATTTACGCACAATCAAGGCAATTTTGTGAATTTTTGATCCCACAATATTGTTGTTAGTTCCCTTCCAAAAAGTTGCTAGATTAATGCAAATCTCACAAGGAATATAAATTTCCAAAATCTTTGCTATTGAACATCTCTGCATTGGAAGATTCAGTTCAATTTTAATAGATAATTTTTTATGAAAACATAAGTTAAATTGTAAAGATTGCTCTGTTATTAATTTAAGAAACCATTGCTCATTTTAAACCGATCTATTTTTATGTACGATACAGGTTTTTTATCACAGAAAATACTCATAAAATCATTGCTCAAATTTTATGATTTTCGTTTTTTGTTAAGCTTTGTCAGAGTTGAAGTTTGACCAAGGCATTCGGTTTTTTATTTGCTTGGTTTTTACTTTGCTTCCTATTTTAGTTTTAAATGTTTTTGGGATGGTAATATGGTGCACCCTCCATAATTTCTATACTTTCTCAGTTTAGAAAATACTTAGATAGTGATTGCACTGAGGTTGTCTTCTTTATCTCTATTGGTTTTTAGTGTTTTTAATTTGTTTTGGTCATTTATGTATGCCATGTTTTTTAATGTTTTTGTACTGACATTGTATTTGTGTATTTCCAGTGAGTACGGTTTGTTTCATAAATTTGGTTTTAAAACTTAAAACTGTTATTGTACGTTTTTAATAGAATTTAGAAGCTACAATTTTAGTTAAAGATGAAGAAATTTCCGTATTTTTAACTATTTGTTTTTGTTACAACAATCATTTTACTAATTTCTGGTTAACATTATTGAGAAATGAGTAAAAATATAATTTATGCCAATTTTATTTTAAAGTCTCCTTAATGTTTTTTTAATTAAGGCCAACATTTTACATCCTATTGTCATTAGACTTAATGAAACAGCAATTCTTTTCAGTTAGTATTTTTATGTCAATTAACTCACACAGTGATTTTAAATTGAATACAATAATTTTCAGCCTTGATTTATGTCTTAACTGTGCCATTGTACAACTAATGGTTTGCTGAAAATATAAGGTAAAGAACAGCATAAGAATATTCAAGAAGAACTGGTGAAATAACAACTTCACCAATAAAAATTCAGGAATATTGGTGAAGTTCGTATTTCAAATTAATAGCATAAGAATAGTTACATGTCCATATATTGCCCAGATATGTTCTAATAAACAAGTTACTTCCTACTCCAAGACCTCTATAATAAACAACAATATACAACACCAGTACATAACAGCTGTTTACATATTCCTCGACTTGTCACACAGCAAAGGTGCCGAACCAGTGTTCCGCAACCCACACTGTCGTCTGCTATGGGACAGGTGGCGTCACGTGTGGCTGATGGCGTGGGAACGTCAGCGTCGTCTGCAAGAGCGACTCACCTACCTGGAGGAACTGGAGAAGGTCAAGAACTTCTCATGGGATCAGTGGCGCAAGAGGGTGAGTCGTGTTGGAGTGTGAAATTAGAGAAAAGCTTGTGTGTAGTGTATGACTATAGACAAAAAGAATGAAATATAAACTGCCAGCTGTGCTGCAATTACCATAGGTTCTGGCGCACACCGCTGGGAGCGCCATGTAGTTATGATGTACGCGCTACGTAACTACACGGCACTCCCAGCGGTGTGCGCCAGAACCTTTGGTAACCATGGCAACCGCAGCGCACGGCTGACAGTCTATATTTAATTATTTTTGTCTATGGATGACTTAATAATAATATTTGTAAATATTTTTGCTGTATGATGGAGTCAGACTTTAAATTATAGTTGAAGCTTGAGTGAAGGCTTAAATTTTCACAGTAATCAATCTTCTTGATCTAAAAACTAAGAAACAAGAAATGTTCTTGGCTTGTTTCGTCTCTTTGTGTGTTGATATAAATATCAAATTTAGTTTAACTCCTCATTATCCATTGGTGTTATGATTACGATATTTATGTTCTGATATCTGGATTTCTTTCCTCCACAGTTCCTCAAGTTCATGAACCACAAGAAGTCACGTCTGACAGATCTGTTCCGCAAGATGGACAAGAACAACGACGGACTCATCCCGAGGGACGACTTCATCGACGGAATCATCAAAACCAGTAAGTTATTGATTATCTAATTTGAAGTTTTTGAAAAATTTATATTCCACGTAATTCTGCAACAATTTCTAAATTGGAAACTTTTTTGGAATAAACGGAACATTAAAAACAACAGTCAAAACTATTCCGATGTGGTTCATCCTTACTAAAACAAAACACGTTTTTAATTTTCTTAAAATAATTCTTCATTAAAAATCATAACAAATTATAGTATTGACAAATGATAACCCTAACAACTTAAAAGAAGAGGATAATAAATAACTACAACTTAAAAAATAGCACAGAATAGTTCTGCGAAAAATAATTGTAATCGCATTAGCGTTTTCTCTGTTTCTCATTGACTTAAGTCCGCTTTGTTTATCATATACAAATCTTTTGGCCTTTTCTAAAAACTTCCCTCATTTTCCCTGACCGTAATAAATTTTGCCGACCTTTACTCACTTCCCAGATCCATTAGTTCCCATTGTTGAAAAAACTCAAAGATCTCCATAAAAAACACTATTGCAAAGCCTTCAACATCTATTTATCTAAATTTTGGTAATTTCCAGAATTCGACACAAGCAAAATGGAGATGAACGCAGTGGCCGACATGTTTGACCACAACAACGAAGGCTTCATCGACTGGAAGGAGTTCATTGCGGCGTTACGGCCCGACTGGCAAGAGAAGCCCCCGACCACCGAAGCTGAGAAGATACACGACGAAGTGAAGAGGCTTGTTATGCTGTGTACTTGCAGACAGAAGTTCAGAGTGTTCCAAGTAGGAGAGGGCAAGTACAGGGTGAGTCAATACTTCAATTCATGCTGTAGGATTAGTTTGGTTGTAACCTGTTTTGAGGCTAACAATAATAATCAGGTCTAAATAATTCGTCGATGCAAAAAATTATTTGTGTTTTCTATTGTTTTGTGTAATCTAAAATGGTTTTGATGTAGATAGATCTGCCAAAACCATTGAAATTAAAAACTATAAACTCCCACATCATTTGAAAACTAAAATTAAACAATAAATTTAAAAATCATAAAATTAGATATTCTGTAACCTAATTGAACTATTTATCGCCAATTTTACAGACAAGCATTTGTATGATTTTCTATTGTTGTTGTTATTGTTGATTTTTATCTAACTTATAATATAGGCTACAAAGTAGAAAATATACATCATGTGGCTGGATTAAATTCAGTAAAAAATTGACTATTACTTCAGTTAATACTAAATTTCTTAATACTTATTTACTTACCAACACGTTTGCTATTGAACCTTGGAATAACAAGCTCATCTGCTCAGCATATTTAATTTGTGATCCAAGATACACATGTAAAAGTTAACTAATAATTTAAAAAATAAAAATAAATCAACGTTAGTTAAATTTATTGTTAACATCCAACATTTGTAGAATCCACATGGCAAAGAAATAATTTTATTTGTATACTAAAATATTAACATATTAGTTTTCCCTTGGTTTCACACAATTTTGTGTCTTTGACAGTTCGGTGACAGTCAAAAGCTGCGTCTGGTTCGTATCCTGCGCTCGACTGTGATGGTCCGTGTCGGCGGAGGTTGGGTTGCGCTCGATGAGTTCCTCGTCAAGAACGACCCGTGCAGAGGTAAGCTCCAGCACTTTGTGGGAACTCTACAGACGGTGGTATCTGAATGTAACTGGCTGGATTCATACTTTACGTTTCATTCATTTTCTGTTGTATATTCAGCGCTCGAATATATTAAGGAGAGAGGAAACGATGTGTGTAAAAAGTGTCCAATGTAGGCTCATTTTATTAATTTTTTTAGTTCCATTCGTATTGTGTTTTTATATCAGTATAAATTTCAAAACAAAACTAGAAAGTTCAAACATAGAAAAACAAAAAAGTATTTTTTTAGCTGATGTAAGGATATCTTTACAATCTCATTAAGAATTGTTACGATTTTTTAAACTATACCTGTTATATTTTATGATTTGGTCCCAATTTTTTTAAACCCCTGTTTTTAATTCATACAAGGTAACTAACATTTCCTATTTGTTTATTCCGTTTTGTTGTTGTTTTTTATTAGAAAAAATAAATTATTCTTTCAACGCTTCTTGCGCTGTATCGTTCCTCTTGAGAACTACAATTGTTGTCTCTTTCATAAAATCCTTTTTTTCAAGAGATAAAATCCTGTTCTTGTTATAGTTGATGCAAATACAATTTGTAAATGTTTGCATTTAATTTATTCTAAAAACTCACAACTGTACAAATAACAATGAACACATAAAAAAACTAAAATTTATGAAAACACACATTAATTAACAATAAATCAGCTGATATGATAATCGTCCCTTCCTTTTATAACGTCATAAATTGTTTGTTTATTTGTCTGTAATGGAAATCAATTGTATTTTTTGACTCGTCATTAAAGGAAGCATAATATATGACTCTAGCCAGTGTTGGGGTATTCACAGACACTTTAGCAGGGCAAGCTTAACTGGGCCGATGTAGTCGACACCTCACGAATAGATCACTCAAATGACGCATGACTACGGACAATGCAATTAAACATTGTCTGGGGAAATCTGCAAAAGGGTACTCTAAAGAAACGTATACTCAATTTATTTCACCATAGTTAAATAAATTGATTAAACCAAGGTTGAGTCTAATGATTCTTTGTTGATACCTCAGAGTATGTTGGTCTAACAATCATGTTTTTTTATAAATGATTTGAGAAGTACTGCAAAGAAAGTTTAGTATTAATTTTACTTGGTTAAAACCTTACTTTACATATATTTAGCTAAACTCTTATTCTTAATGTGTTACAACAGCAGAAATATTGTTTTTTATATGTTAACAAACTAATATTATTTTACCCTTCTCATTAAGCTTTTAAAACTGGGATAGTAACAACTTGCAAAATCTCACCCTTACTTACAGTTGGGTGCATGGCCCTAGAATAATGAATAAGAGTAAACTGTTAATTTAACTATTACCTTCACGTAGTTGATTAACTTATGGTAATCACAACTATTGTTAGTAAGTAACTTTGCACCACTAAGTACTAGGTTGAGCCAGCTCTTAAAAGATAACGGTTGTATTCAAAGTGTTCAAGTTCTTCATCTATCGTAAAAATGTGTTAAATAACTTCCGGAGCAATATTTTGAGTAACATGCTGTTATACTGATATAAAAAATGTGTATTTTAACACTTTTCAATACATCTACAATCATACTGTACACATTCAAAAGAGAAAAAATATTTTTTTATGTTACTTTTTAGGTTCTTGACAAGTGACATCGGTTGTCATAAAGCTTAAATGGAAACGGAGAGAATCAGTAGTATCTAAGCAAGGTCTTCGTTTAGGCTTTATGATTGGGGTTACCCACTGCTATCAATCACTATAATATTTTCTATACATTTACCGTTATGTCAGTGTTTACACAGTACCAGTGGATTTATACAGAAAAGTGTAGAAAGATGTATTTTACTAAATCCTGATAAAAACATGTTGACGCTTTGATTACAAGTTTGACCACAGTATCCTAATCAGAACTTAGGGCCTCAAATGAATTTTTAGATTCACAAAATTTAAGCACTAAGATGACAACATTTTTCCTGTTGATTTTGCCTCTAAGTTTTTTAGAGTAGCTGGCTCGACCTAACTTACACCTAGGTAATATTTAATAATATTAATATTCCAGCGGACTAGCTTGCTCGGGGGCTTCAGATTCAGACTCTACCGCCATTCTCACCACTCGTTGTGTAATACACTAACTGTACCAGGAGTCTCGACTGTGCCTCTGCCTCATGGAAATTTCACTTTTGATAAGTTTATTTCGTACCGAGAATTGTTACGGAGTAAAAACTCTTGAACCTCCATGTTTGCCGTAGTAAACTGAAAATGAGGTGGGAATGGAATGTTAAGATTTTCACAATTAGGATAACATTTTTTGAAGGGAATAAAAAATAACCTAATTTGATTTAGGTTGTGAGGTTAACCTGAAGGGTTTCATCGTTTCATGTGTTGAACGCTTAAATTGTCTTTCAATCTTTGTGAGCTTCACACTTAGTGTGTGATATTTTACTGACACAAAAAAAATGTCAAATCCAAAATGAAATTATATATGCAGTAGTTTTGAGTTTTCTAAATGTAGAAGATGAACTTAAAGTATCATGATACGGCCTACTTGTTTAGTAGCATCTTCATGTTTTAACAAAAATAAATTTTAGTTCAAAATCGTTTAATCTCATAATGTTCAACATAAATTTTCCAAACTTTAAATTAATGAAAGTATTTTTATTCAGAAGCATCATAAACTTAGATCCAAGGCCTCACAAGTAGATGTAAAATTAATTCCAACGTTGAATTTCCTCAAAATATAATAGTTAGCATAATAGTCTACATTCTAACCTTACTTTCAGAGTGAACTTATGGTTTCAACATATACATCTAAAAAATTAAAAATTTCCAACCACATTCAGCTAGAATTGGCTATGTAGTAGCTTATTGTAATGACAACTGCAAGGATAAATCATACAACTTCATTCGCAGAGGCACAGTCTAGAATCATTGTGGGTGTCAGCGGATTAATATTGTTTGTCCTTTCTCCCCCCTCCTCTCCCTACCATTACCCCCACTTTCATTCATTATCGGTTTGCATGGCCGTTGTTGGAATGTGCCCCAGTTGAGATGCTGCCGATCCCGAACCCCTTCGTACCAGAAGAGCATGAGCCGTGGTGCCCTCTCGGTATACTACAAATCATGTGTAAATATTTGTCCATTTGATTGTGAACCTCACCGCTAGCTTTCACTGCCACCTATTTGAAGAATTTTGATTTTTGTTTTCATGTGCAACTTTTTTTCAATTTGAGAGACGTTATGAGATTTACTAATGGTAATACATTTTTTTTTTTAAATTTCTGTTTTAAGGCTGTTTTTGCTACAGAACATTTGTTTGAAAAAGCTAATATAAATTTCTTTGTATTTTGCCATTATTAAAAGACTTGTACCGTTATCAGTCTCATACTTAATAGTCTTTTTATGAACAATACAATAAATTTTTTCAGCGAAAATACCAGTAATTTAATTAATTAGGATATTGAATCCTACGTCTCAGCACTCGCCCACTATCGCAAATTATCTGATTTGCAGCAAATACAACAATCACAACTAACAACTGTCTTGAAAACACAGGCTTTTTCATACCAAACAATACTCCTTTCAGAGTGCCAATACAGCGTGCAGTACAGGCTTTTTGTAAGGAAATAATACTCTTTTCTGAGTAGAACAACAACACAAACAATCAACAAAACAACACGGGCTCACCAACACAATACTCTCTTGAAATACTCTAGAAATACCACAGCACTACTAGTTCCATAGCTCCATAGCTACAACGCCAACAATAAATCCAACAACAAAGATTTTTAAAAACAAACCTCACCTCTGAATAAAAAATGTGTGAAATGTGAAAATAACTATTTTTGGAGAAAAAGACAAACCTAGTACTGCTACTTCAGTTTTTGCGCAAGCAGGAAGTTTTCATACGTGTGTTTCGAACCATTCTTATTTTATGTTTTTTCTTAATGTTGTAAATATTAATCAACAATATTGTAAAACTATTACAATGTTTTCTATTGTACATATTTACCACAACAACTGGTTTTTTTCACTTTTTCGGTTTGGTGGTACTGAATGCCTGTCTCAGAATGAACCTTTCACTTCCTGGGTTGTTCCTTCCTCACCATCTAAGTTTCCCGCATGTCCCTATGAAGATCTGCACTTCTTTAATGTGTTATTCTTTTTTTTATTTCCCATTGTGGTTTTTGAGTCATTCTTTTTTTTTATTTAATTTTTCATTCTGTTTTGTTACTAACATACGTTTGAATGTAACGTTTCATCTATGTTCTCCTACCATTGTTTTGAGAGAAATCTAAATGTGTTTACGCTTGTAAATACTCATGCATCAAAGTAAGACCAACCATTTTCAACCAAATGGAAATCAATTCTAGTCATTTTCATAAATAACCTAAAACACAACGTAAGTTTAACGCTACCACTCCATCATCTATCCTTCCACTTACGACCTTGACTCTAAGAAGTGCAGAAGTCCGCATGACGTTTCCTAGATGCATCAGGCGCTGTAATGGGTTTGTACAAACTTCTGGGTTATCTCGCATGTTTCGTAGGTAGACGTAACAGTTTTGGTTTTGGCTTTTAACATTTTCAGTTTACATGATTTGGGCTGTTTTAGGTTAAGTTGTGCAGTGTACACTGTAGATGTTATTTTAAGTTTTGTTTATTTTCCACCGAGTGGTGAATGCGTAGTTTAGTGCCATTGAACACTGAACGCCAACGCCTTTGGTGTTAGTTGTTGTGCGTTACATTGTGTTCGGCATGCTGTTTTTATTTGCTTTGTTTTATTTTTCTAATCAACGGTACTCCGACAGTTTTGTTTAGATTTTTTGATAAATTTCTTCTAGTAAATTTTAAAGAGAGTTACATAATATACATTGTGCTTAGATAGACAGTTAGTTTCTCCTAAATTCATTAAGATTTTAAATTTATTTATATAGATATTTTTGACTAATGACACTTTTTCTCTCAGATAAGGTCAAATATTTCAATTTCATACTGACAGTTATTTTGTTGTTCTATTAAATTTGAAGAATTAAAATGCCTCGAGAAGTATTGGTACTAATTCCACCTTTTGCAAAACAAACTTATTGAAAGAAAATATTTCAACTGCATTTAAATGTGTGTATAACACTGTTACACCATTTATTTAAATTTTTATCGGCATTTTGGACACTCAGTTTCCCAATTCTTCATTTAAATCCAAACTTTGAAAATTGTTTCTGAGATAACTTGAGTTGGCATTTTTACACTCCATCATATCTTATTTAATTACAACTCGAGGTTATTGCTTGGAAAATTTAATTTGGCATTTTAGAGACGCAAAATTTGGCCCAATTCTGATTTAAATTGAACATTTTTTAAATTGTTTCTGAGATTATTTTGCTAGAAATATTGGTCACCTAATTTTAACCCATTGTTATTCAAATTCAAATTTTTTAAATTATTCCTGGACATTTTAAATTGGAAATTCGCTCACTCAATTCTTTTTAATCTGATACAGAATTCTCTAATAAAATTACTTTACACCAAACAGTAGCCGAATGTCAATAGTACACGGCCAGTTGGTCAGTTAATGTGGTAATGTCGGAGTGCCGGTGTGTATCGCACGTCCACTGATCCCCCCCCTCTCCCAGCCAAGGGCCGCACCAACATCGAGCTGCGGGAACAGTTCATCTTGGCGGATGGAGTGTCGCAGAGCATGAGCGCCTTCAAGCCCAAGGCGAGTCCATCCAGTCGTAGTGTCAGCATCAGCAGTGGATCGGCTGGTCCAATCACCAAGGTACGCACTTCCTCTAACATTCAACGCTTAACTGTTAAAATAGGTGTCGTAAATTTAAATGTGAGCTCAACAATTTAAGTTTTGGCAGAAAAACTATCAGTGCAAATAACTTGATTCAGATAGCTTGAATGAAAATTTTTTGGTTCATTTTATACATCCTTTTTCTACTAGTTTATATTTGACCCAAGAACATAAAAAATCTAGAATGTATTTAGTGTGAAACCTACGATCTTTACTATAGCTGGTGAAGTTAGCGTTTGAAACACCTGTTATAATTTGGTAGAACTGCCTTTATAGTTGTGGAAAATAAAAGAAAATCACACACACATTAATTCCAAATTTACATTACCACTAGAGTACTCATACTAAATAATGGACAAATTACAGTAAATTATGGTTTTTTTTATGTGACCAACATTAAGGGAAAATGGCCATTCACTCTCGTACAGATAGTGTTTATCCAAACCTTTTCTTAATAATTTCAAACCTACAACACATTAATTCGCTTAGGGTATTCAAGCCTTTTTTTACTGTATTAATTTGCAAACTTCTTTTCTGAAGTTCTTGTCTAAAGGATGGTAAGCAGGCTAAAAAGTGTTTGATTCGTTCATTTCTCATACTAAGCAAGTATTCTTCTTTTAAAGTTGCTCTTAATCTCGATTTAACAATTATTATACCTAGTCACACAACTTTACATAATACCTCTGCAACAACCCTTTACAACATTCTGGAAACTTTATAAATAAATTAGTATACTCAGTAAATCTGATATCAACACAAGAATAAAATATTTTGTCATCCATAGATATCAAATAAATCGTATATTAGCTATGTCAATAATGTAACATAAGTAACAAGAGCTTTTAAGGATTTTTAAGATGTTTCAAGAGGTTTTAAGGATTTTTATCAGGCTAAGCAGCTTAACTGAATGGGAAAGACTCCATCCTGAACCAAGAAACACAAAATTACACGATACATTAAAGTATATTACTGTACCAAGGTTTAAGGAAGAAAGACCATCTTAAGCTGGAGGCAGTTAGACATTTTTTAATTATTGTGTAAAATGTTTGTGTTTTTTTTATAACAATGGACTCTTCCCTATCTAGATAAGCCTACTCCCAACAAAATTATAGGGATTACAGTATTAAGGTATATAGGTCACCCAAAATTGAAACATAACCGCGACAAAACAAAATGTTTGTGCCGTAATTGTTAGAAGTGTGATGACTAACAAGTGTGCTAGTCAGCTAGTGTTAGTGTTAGTGTAGAGTAGTGTGTGTAGTGTAGTTTAGTGCTCAGACCCCTGAGGACCCCTGCTGCGGCGACCGAGGTAAGTGTGTGTGGTGGTGTGACCTTCTTGACACCAGTGTTGAATGCTCACTCCGCTTCATTGGACACTTTGGCATCCCACTTAATTTTATCCTGTACTTTTCAGTTGTCCTCTTCTTTCCATCTGTGTCTTTACCTGTTTCTCTAGGCGAAAGGTTGTTAACCGAATTGTGTTTCAGTGGTGAAACGTTTGTTTCTCAGCACTAAGTGTTCGTGTTAGCACCGCGTGGTTAAATGTTTGTCGTAATACTGTTCTCTAAGTTTTATACCCAAAAATATTTTTGTGAAACTAATGTTGGTAAAAGAAATATCCGTACTCACTGACTTTTACACAACTCTTATCTTAAATTTCAATCTCAAACTTTCTGACACAATCTGAAAACCAAACATAGGTCGGATAGGTAGAGTCTGTGCCGAGCAAGCAGTCCGAACGTGTGACTGTTTCGCTCACTGTTCAATGTCTCTAGCCGAGGAGGTTCTGAACATTCTGATGCCGATATTCGAGACGTTGAGGCAACAAGAGTCATTGCCTTGTTCCTACCCGTTGGCTATGGGTGGCCGGCAACCCATGGGTATGGGTATGCCCATCACGGCAGCTTACACTTGCTCTGGGGGTCACTGGGTAAGTTCCGACTGTTCAACTTCTTCTCTGGTCCAGGTAACCTAGTTTGGTTAGTGAGGTTAGGACTTAGTTAGAAAATAAGTTAGTTTAGGTTAGTTGCAAAATAGTTTTATTGAGAGATAATCTAACTTAGGTATGAATAGTTGCCGTATTTCTACATTTTGGTTCAGGTAACTTAAATCCGTTAGGTTAGGTCAAAAATAGATTATTGTTAAGGTTGAGGAGTATTTAAATAGCGGGAGATCCTTTATACTTGGAAAAATAGTTTCAACATCTACTTGAATAGGTAACCTAGGTCAATTCAAAGGAGTTAAGAAAAATGTTAGTTAAGATTTAATGTTGAACAAATTCAAATAGTACAATTCAAGTAGTACAATAGTTTTGATGTGAAGAATAGCTTTATCTTAACATCTCTGGTTCAGATAACCAAGTTCATGTTTAGGGTAGAGTTACATATGGTAGCGTTTTTCATAATAGTTTAGAAAATAGCTTTAGTTAGACATATTTAATAGCTCAAACTTATAGGTTACTGACGAGAATATAAAATAACATTAGTCATTACTTGTCGAGTTTTATGTTTTCACGCTTTCTGCGGTTCGCTATGAAATTGTGATGTTACTTAATGAGATAAAGTTTGACGTGCCAAAGCACACTACTATTACAGTATAAGAATATAAACGTTTCTAAAGTTTACTATAAATTACCCGCTCAAATTTACCTGGTTAAAAAGTTGTCTAGTAATAAAGTAAACTGTATTTCTATTTTTCACTTTTCAACTGATTCTACTTCTATTCATGAAGCAACCTGAGCATGAAATAAGTTAAAGAAAAACATCAAGGACTTTGTATCAATATTCAATTGAGGAAACAAACAATTTTAATAACAAATATAACTTCTCTATAACCAGAGCTCCTATTCCTACTGAAACAAATAGATTAGACATGTCAACTGATACACTTTATGTAATTTACAAATTATTGAAATTCACAAACTGGATATTTAAAATATTCATACAACTTCAAAACATTTGTTTTATATTGTGTATATTTATCTTTGGAATTAATGCTGCATTGATGATTTTCATATGTTATCATAAACACTCATCTATGTTATTGTCTCATTTGTGTGTTATTGTGTTATTGTGGCTGCTAGCAAAATAAAAAAAGATGGGGCCTAAAATGGAAATAGAATTTCAAATTCAAGGAAGTGCATTTAACGTCTTAGCCTAGAATATGACAAAAAATCTATACGAAACAAGTTTCTTAAATAATTCCTCAAAAAGTTACACACTGGAATTTCTTTTACAGTTTTAATTTTTTTTTAAGTAGGTTAGAATTTATCAGCTATTCGATGGAATTCAGTCTTTGCTAAAGATTTCCACATGTAACCGTCATGGTGTGTGACAGGTAAGGGAGCGCAGTGCTCGCAGTGTGCCGATGGCCAGGTCCGGTCGCATGTCAGGAACTCCTGACTCACTCAGTGACAACGAGAGCTCGCCACTGTACTCCCGCACTCCCAGGAAGGTGTCTACACCCAGCGGACGACGGTCCAGTCTCACGCCAGGTATGTACATCACAAGAAACATAAATGTGTAAATCAGCAACTTTTAGAAAATAAAATAAACCACGTAGCAGCAAACGAGCAAACCTGCAGACCAAGCAGATTTTCATTTATCTGATTGGATTTCCACCAAAACATTGCCTTAAAATTGTCGCATTTGTTATGAAAGAAAGTCAAGTTTTTAAGGGAAAGAAGTCAGAGTGGTGAAGTATTTGGTTCTGTACAGGTGGCAGTCTGCCTGGTAGTCGCAACAACAGCCGACCTCCCAGCCGCACTGGCAGCAAACCTCCCAGTCGTCACGGCTCCAACCTCTCTCTTGCCAGTTCCGGTAAGTTTAGTTTCCATGTTAAATTCTAAAAGAGTAATTATTTTTCTCAAAGTTTCAAACAATGACTTTCATGTACCTTTATTACTGTGCTAGGTTTGATTTAGCTTTTTTTCTGCAGGGAATACCAATTATTGATATGTCGGAGCCAAATATTCAGTTTTCCAAATCCAAAGTATCCAAAGCAACTTGCTATTCATTAGGCATTCATACTCATTGAAAGAAATAATTGATGAGTCGATTAGTTTCACAAGAAATTCAGTCTTGTTTGATATTAAATTTTTAAGTGGTTATAATTTTCAGATTATCTGCTATCCTGATCCCTACACTTTTTTCAACAAAGGTTTCAGTTCTAAATCAAATTCTGGAATTCAAGCTCTTGTTTTAAAAAAGTTTTCCCTTATACATTAACATTTTCAAACATAAAAAAAGTTTTACGTTTGTTTAACTTAAAACAACTTATCAATGAAATGCATACACATTTATTTAATTGACATTGTTCCAGATGATGGAACACCTAGTCGTATCCCGAGGAGGTCGTTGACAGGGACACGCTCGGCCAGTGGGTCGGCCACGCCGCGCAAGCTCACAGTACCGACCCTCAACGGCAGTGCGAGTCGTACGAGATCACCGTCCGGCCTCACCACTTCCTCCGCATCAACGGCGTCTGCTAGGTGAGTCTGTGTAACTCTAGTAGTCAGTCGGGCATTACAGTCTTGATGATAACCATTTTATATTAGAGTAGGTAGTTGTTTAAAACTCCTACAATAGTGTGTGAATTAAAGTGTCCAACAAACTCCTCACAGAACAAGATTCATACTTGACAGAGCCTTTAAGCATTGACTATTGGATACTGAAGTAGACATCCCATATATTTGGATCAGCTGTCGCCAATTTGTATTAAAAAAGAATATTAGTTGTGTGAGCCAGTTACAGAATGCGCTAGTGTCTAAAATACTATTTCCTACTGGCGGCTCACAACAACTACGACAATTTCGAAAAAAAAACTGGTGACAACTTGAACATGGGGATGGAATGTCTTGTTGTATTAATAGTCAAAGCTTTGAATTTTCCTCACATTGTTATCGTGTTTTCGTGTACTCACCGAGACTTGTTGCTTAGGGGTTGGGAGTGGCTAAAATAGTGGTGGATAAAGTTAAGAATACAGTTTCAGATTTGAACTTTTCCCCTTGGCAACGATGGAAGCTTCTTGGACACCTTATTTTACAGATAATACTTGTATGGATTCTGTTGGTCAGCAACATTGCATAGTTCTCATACTATAATTTTCATCTGGGTTACTTTAGAGTATGGTGCATGTGTTTAAATAATCATATAGAACATGGAGAAAATTTACAGTGGGGATTTTCATGTTTGTAAGGGAAGAATAACAATAAATTTCTTTAAAAATTGTTAAAATCATTGTGGATGACTTGATAAGAATTATTCAGGTAGTGGAAGATTATTTTTAAGTGTAATTTAGCTTATACTAAACAATAACTAAAACATCATTGGTTTCTAACCCAATAACTTATTTTTTACTTTTGACAATTGCAACTCATCTTTTTATATTTGGATTGACCACAAAATTAACATTTTCAACCCACTTTCATTCAAGCGGTTAATAATAGCGTATTGGAAATTTTATTGATGTAACATTGATGCTAAAATTATTTTACAGCATGTGTGAGGTAGGGTTAAAATTATTCAAGTTTTATATAAAAAAATAAAGTATTCAACTCGTGTTGGTATTCAGTTTTTTGAAGCCAGACTATTTATCTGCTCAGCCAAAAATATAATGCAATTGTCTCAATTGCACCTATATTTCAATATTTTTTTATTTAAATTAAGAACGGACCTTTACATACATTATTATGTGATAGTTACATTCTATTCTAACATAGATTTATTTTTCACTGATAAGTAAAAAAGTTTTTTGACGTTTAGGGATCTTGAATCTGCCCCTTTTCAGCTTAGAAGAAATGTAGAAATGGTAGAAAATAACACTAGCCCTTTAGAGATCGACCCTATAGTATATGACGTGCTGCGTAGGACCGGGGTACTTTTAACAGTTTCTGCGATGTTATAGAAAAATTCTATAACTTTTGAATATCAGCCCTCTTTAACATTTCTTGCATGCTATTCTTGATTTTTAAAACTTTTTAGATTTTTTTTTATAATCGTTTATTTAAAACTGCCAATATATTGTAAGTTGGTATTTTTAGCAAAAAATACTAACTACCAAAAATTCGGAACTTGGTCTCCTAAGGGTTAGTACTTAACCCGGGCAGTGCTGGGAAACACCGTAACTGAAAACAACAAACACTGTCCGGGTTTGTGCTTCAGTGGTGATACTATAGTTAAGTCTGATTCCAGATGTTAAAATATTTGGTTACCTCTAAAACAAAAAAAATAGTCAGTAGGCCTACCTAATCCTAAATCAGTAATGAAAAATATAAATAATACCTTAACCAACATCGCCAAATGTAAACGTTATAACTTTAATTTTAAAAATCTATACTTTATTCCATGTTCACTGTACAGTACGAAGCCATCCTAAAAACATCAGGCTCCATAAAAATTCTTACAATATCTTTGAATTTTTCTTAAATTTGTTGACTATTTTACCTATTTTGGCTATACATAAGCCAAAACAAATCATAGTGTAAAAATACCAAAGTTTGAAAAGCAGGTACATAAATTAGTTAAATGTACTTGAGCACCTTTACAAGGGTTGAGACAGTTGGCGCAACCTGTATGATGATAAACATGTCTCCAGTAATATTAATAGTACAATTATCTCCCATAAAACTGTGCGGTGAACTTGGAATCAGGTTTATTAGTGTAGTAGTGATGGGGCACTAACAACTAATGTCTAACTCACTAATGTGGTTGTCAGGTCGTCTATACCAAGGGCATCTAGCATCCCTACCATAGCATCTAACTCCACCTCCACCACCCCTGCCAGGTAAACAATCATTGACTGCCAACTCTCACTGGCATGTACATCTCAATTGTCTTGCGCTTAACTACACAATCCACATTAAACATTACAGCAGAACTTGCCAGCTCAATCATGAAGAAAGAGACTTTTGATGTTTCAAAACTGGATCCAACACTCCTTGGATCATTAGGGTTTTTAATTGTTCCGGCGGGAAGAGACAGTATTATCTGGTAACTGAAGCTTTTTTCCCTTCAAAATTTTTTTCCCTTCACTTATATCCTCGTCTTAAACTACATACCCTGGTTTGTCAAAGTCTTTTAAAACTACGTTACAATTTCCGTTTTCCAACTGTCGTAATTTACTTCTAAATATCCTATTGTTCACTGGCCTAAGTCTTCTTTTCTGGCTGTTCAAGTCTCGACACATGTAACTAGCATTTCTTTAAACTATCACAAATGTATTTCTTCAAAGTCGTCAATTAATTATTGTATATGCTTTGCTTTTTTAATCCCTGTTTTTATTGATGACTACCCATCAGACCTTTGTGTGCCAAATAAGGTGGTTTCAAGAATTTATTATTAGAATCATCTCTTTGCTGTTTTTAAACAACCGTAGAATTTACAAACGTAAAAAAAATGTCAACTAATGTTTACCAACACAATCAATCAACAAAAAACAATAAATCAATACCAATCACTCTTGAACAATCAATTTTGCATTCAGTCCATACCATATTGATTCATTCCAAATTCATTCATTCCATTTCATTCCAAAATGCATTCATTCCATACCGTAATGATTGGGGAGCGAGCTGGTCTAGTGGTTAGAGCGCAGGATTTTGGTATCTGAGGTCCCGGGATCAAATCCCGCCAAATCACCAATGGATTTTTATCTAAGTGATAATGCCGTAAACCCTAGATCTAGCCTGAAGTAATGTGAAAAACAATCTCATGCCTAGCGTCCGAAAAGGAAAAAAAACCCGTAGTGATTACAAAAATAGCAAATGCATTAATTTCTGTCCCAGATGGATATTAGGAGTTGTACCAATTTTACACTATACACAGTTAGTGGATGGTTTGAATAATTATGAATTTTAACGGTTGTACATGCCAGTGCAAGTTTTGGAATTAAAATAGTTAAGACCTTAATTAGTATGTAGTGTTAGTGCTGGATTTAACATGGTTTACTGTTCAATTTCATGGTTTCCTGATAAGCATTAACCTTGTGTGTTCATTGAAATTTCATTTATTCATCGGCTAATCATAAACCATTGCTGAATACTTAAAGAAATCATTAATTTAATACTTGAATCTAGATTAACCCTTTACAGTCGAATGGCGAGTGTAGGTCACCGGGCGCCATTTTCCCGACTGCTCGAACAACAAACTAAACTCGCCGAAATGGAAAAAAAATTCGACCTCCAAGGATTAATGTTACCATATTGACAGTGGAATCCAATCAAACATTGCATTTTAAGAAAAGACTTCTATTTGATGGGTTTTTTCTTGGAAAGAGGTAGTGTTCAGCTATCTTACATGAGAAAAGTAGAGTCTAGGTGCATTTGTATACAAAAAGGTTAAGGAACACAACACTGATATGTCATCCTATTGTAGGACTTTTTAGAGAGTGGATTGATGAGAATTGAAATTTTAGTTGTTTACACTTTGAAGAATTTTAAAGTAAAAATGTCAGCTTACATATGTAACCTTTTTTGTATATGAAATCTAATTTTCTAACCATTTCTAAAAAAAATATTTCTTCCTATTGTGTAGCCAAAACATGATTAATACAATCCATACTCTTGTATGGATTTACATATATGTGTTACAAAGGTAAGTTTATTTGACTTCTTGGTCTTTATAAGTTAGGAGAAGGTGTTAAACTTATGATGAGGTGATAGAAATGGTAATTATGGTAGTAATTAAATTGTTTTGTGGTTGGTAACAGCCGGTCTCGTATCCCAGTCTATGTCGGGTTGGCAATGATGGATGCCGTGCCAGTTTCTTCTTCTTCTTCCTCTGGGTATTGTAGCATGAGTGTCGAGTGCGTGTGGCATGCTTTTGCAGGTCGTCAATGTTGTAACCAAAGGATGTACATGTCTTGCATTTGCATAGCCAAGGCCAGAATGTTCTTTTCATTTTGTAATATTTAAGTTTGTTTTCAGTGTTGTTGGGTTCCACATTTATTGTTGTTTGGTCCAGTGGTTTTGTCCATTTAGCACAAACACTTTTGAAAAGGTCAAAAACCCCTCAAGTTTTAGTGGATATGTCTTGCATTGTCACTCTAATACTGAAATCTGTTATGCTAGCTGCAAAATAATTAATTAGTAGCCAAATAAACAAGTAATAAGTCAAAGACATTTGAAAGTTGACTGAATTTTTTTTGTAAATTGTTATTATTTTTTATGTGTTAATTATGAATAAGTAAATAGATAACTTATAAATGAATAAAAATTCTTTTTTCTGGTACATTTATGTTGTGAATCAAAATTCTAGTTTTCATTTAGCTTAAATTCGTTTTTATATAAATAAGCCTCCCTTAATGTTCTGTATTTTATAGATTTTTCGCACAGTTTCGAATGTTAATTTCATGTGATTGCCGGTACAAAATTCCACTGTTGTGTCAATAAGTTTTTTACTCTTACAATTTATACAAAATTTTTGTAAATGTTAATACAGTACCCTTTTATCATTTGTTAGGCAATGCACCTTATAAAATAAGGTTTATGACACACTTTTGGACTAACCTATATGGGGGATTTTCTCACCGAGGTCATATATAGATTTTTGCAAATAAAGATTTGGCTATAGGCTAGCTATTTTATATTACGTTTTTGCCAAGTTTCGTAGAATTTAGATTTGTATACTGTGTTTACACATATCTTGCGTTATAAGAGATTTGAAATTTATAATTCTTAGTAATTCCTTAGTAAGATGTTAAAAAAATTAAAATTTTGCTTTCATTTTGATATCTTTAAATTTAAAATTTGATAAATAAGCTGTTGGTGTAAATAAATCATGTGTAAAACTCACATTATTCTTAGTTACCCAAGTTTTTATGCAGTTTGTCATTTGTAATTAATTTAGGTTTTTTTGTGTTCTGGTTTATTTTTTTATTTAGATTTTATTTTTTATGTGTTTTAAAATAGCATATTCGGTTTTTACAACCTGATTTACTCTCCTAAACCATTTCATCACTGATAAATGTAAAAATAAAAAATAGTGGGTATATTATAAACATTTTACATTAAATCTAATTTCATTCTAAATTTCCAAACCTGTATGAAAAAGAGTGCAGGGGCCTTAAAATGTGTTTATTAAAAAAAATAGCATTAGCCTACATTTTGTATTAGTGTTTTTTAAGTGCTAAAATGTTTTAATCTCTAATCTAGAACAGCATTTGAAACCTTAAACTGCTCCTGCGTTGCAAAATTTTTTTTATTAAATGTTTATTTTGTAAAAATAAAATATTATTCCAAGCATGCAGGCATCCAAGGCCTAATCGCATCTTGTAAATAGTAGAATTACCTGGAATTAAAAAAAAAAAACTGCATTTTGAAATCTCCAAATAGCCATGCATAGGTTGTAAGGTCTTTACAATTTGTAATTTTTTAAAGAAAGCATTGTGACAATTTTTTAATAAAAGCTTATTTGATATTTAGCTTACCTCATATGCTTTAATTTTTACTATACATAGGATGTTTTAACAGTTAAAACTAATTTCAGAACATAGGCTCAATTACATTAATTTTTCAACCGATTTATGTCCCAAATTGAATTTAGCCAACATAATTTTGCTTCATAAATGGCCAATACTAACAAATCAGCTGATTTTGTTAATTATCACCAAAGGTAAAAGCAAGGCAACACTAAATAAACAGGCTGTAATGCTCCTCTGGAAGGACGTCATCGTAGGCGACGGCAATGACATAATGTTTGTCGTTTGTGATCAGCTGCTTGTTTAAATATTTTCTTGGAAAACAAAAATATAATTAAAAAAATAACATTACGTCATTGCCGTCGCCTATGTTGAGGTCATCCTTGAGGAGCATTACGGCCTTTTTGTTTAGTGTAGCCTTGGTAAAAGCAGTAATATTATCACCATTAAGCATTTAATGTAACTTGTTTTTTTTAACGGATAATGGTATAAAACAGTATAAAAACAGCAAATCTTATTTTGTTGTGGTTCACTTCATGGAGAACTTGTTTTCTATAAATCCAATCTTGTGACATTTCCTACTTACTTTAGAGATGAAATTTCTCTCTCAAAGGTTTTTTTTAGTAAGAAACTATTTCAATTTGTTGTCTCCCTTACATGCAGCTGGACTTCAGGAATACCTACTCCTTCATCTAACATTCCTCGACCTATAAGGTACTCCTCACTACAGCAGTAATTTGTGCTCTATTTTTGAGTGAAGTGTGATGGTTTATTATGAACTATTGTAGTAAACATTTAATTTAATTATGGAAGTGTTAAAAATACAGTAGACTCCCTCTTATCCGGACACCTTTTAACCGGAAAATTATTATCAGCACATTGGTTTAACCGGACTAGATCAGCAGGAACTGAAACGACTGTACTCGTGGGAAAGATTTGAGACCAGTGATCACGTGTCTAAATACAATACTCTCCTAAATTTAAGTCGAATATCACAGTAAATGGTCCGTTTTAACAGGTTTTTAGTGATGTCGGTTTAACCGGAAAACCCGTTATCCGGACTGGCCTCGGTCCCGAGGAGTCCAGATAAGAGGGAGTCTTACTGTATATGGTTGTGGTTAAATTTCCAAAATGTATTTCTATGTGTTGATACTGTTCGTAAAGGTATTGCAGTCGTAGTTATTAAACTTAACATCAAATATTTAGAAGAATATACTATTAAACAAGAATATTTATCATCTGGATACTATCAAATGAAAAGAATTTTACTTATTTTACCACATTAGCTAGCTTTGTTACATTAATCTGTATGTTGTTTAATTCATACAAAGGGCATTTATAAATTGGTAGTATGTTGCTTTTTAGTGTAATATATATCTCTGATTGTAGGACAAGAACTCCGTCAGGATCATCGACCCCGGTGCCGGGAGGTCTGTCGTCGACCAAGGTTACTCGTAAGCCATCCGGCGCATCCGACACTTCGACTGGCGCAGCTCGACGGGCGTCCTCCAAGTCTTCCACGCCTACAGACCCTCGCGCACCATTCCGTCTCTGAACTCTCGCTCACTACTTTGAATCTCCAACTACTTAATAGATTTATGATACAAAAAATCAGCGTGGAATAGTCTTAGAGGCTGTTCCGCTCGGAACTAAAAAGACATAGTTTAACTCTATTAATATTATATTACCATTAGTAACAAGTAACTCGACCTACCGTGTACAGTCGTAACGAGTAGGATAACGACTAAACATTTTACGTTGCGAACGTATATGCTAATTCGAATATACTAAAAGTATTTTTTGCATTGCGAACTAATATTGTAAATACGAGATTGGATTGAGGAGAAACAAGTGCCATTGCTCATTCGTGAAAGATTTTTATTGAGAATCAAAGCAAATATGTATTTAAATCAAATGTTATATAGTGTTAGCTGTTAATTTATTAATACACTTTTTGTATTGCGTAGTTATTTTCTAAGAGTTGGGTTAGTTACTTTTTTAAATTTTGGCTATCCCAAGAAAAAGTGATAATTTTATTTGTGTATATTGAGGTTTCTACAAAAGGCTTAGATGTAAATATCATTAAAGATAGAAAGTCCTAATATATAAACTCGTAGAGTATATTTTGTACATTCGAAGCACCGTGTGCAATGTGAACGAGTGCAATTTTCAACAGTAAAACGCACTATTGTAATTATTTTTTATTTTTTGTTTATAATAGTTTTGTTTGTACAAAAAACACAGTCTGTCCAGATGTTTGTGTTCTCGTATCAGTTTTTTGTTAATTCTAGTTGAGACATTATGTTATTATTTAATACCAGTTTAATAACGCTTAGTAAATAACAATTTCACCAACTGTTAATGAGGGTTTTATTTCCATTCCTTTTACCTGTGTGATTATGAGACTGAAAACAACAGGAAACATAAGGGTAATTTAAATTTTCCAGTGGCCAAGATAATTCACAATTAAAAATTAATTGTACTTTTATTAAGTAAAAAACCGCAATCTTTTGAACAGTACGAAAACCATACTAACAAAGACTTACAATGCTAAGTTTCAGTGAGATTTTTAATCTTGTTGGAAATTTAATTGATAATTTGCTATCAAGGTAGAGATGAACATATTCACAACTAAATGTCAGAAGAGTCTTGTCGAAAATATGCAGAGTTGTAAATTTGGTTCAATAGCAAATGAAAGTAGCAAACCAAGCTTGGGTCAGACCTGCAACAGTTGTACAAATGACAATATTTAAAAAAATATGTGTAAGTTACATGGCCTCTGATTTTAAACAGTAAGATACAGTCAAACAACCCTAAGAGTGCCTTGTGGCCGGTGTGGGGCATTAGAAGAAAGGGTTGATTATGGCGGAAAATAATGCCTTGCCATAACAAGGGTTTTGCCTCAGAATTACCAGCTGCCTAAGACTTACCTTCCTAAAAACCAATGACAGTAACTTTCTGTACACAGCCCTGCTAAGGGCCGGACTACACGAGCGTATGAAACGCCACCGATAGTACGCGCAAAAATGTCTAGGACTACACGAAGCCGACAATCAGCAGCGTATTGAACGCGAGAGCATTGACTACACGAGCGTATAGAACGCCGCCGACTATGCTCGCCCAATGTGACTGACATTTGGACCGTTCCAATGGAAACGATACTGTACAGGTCGGATGTGTAGCTGGTATGCTGTTGTTGAAGGCTGTTAAGAAGAAACGTCGTGCAAAGAGGCGTTGGTAGTCAAACCCAACATTATCAAATTGTTTAGTAACAGAATGTACTCAGACAATTTTTTTTCAGCAAAACAAATACAAATATTAAGGCACAAAAAACAATCAGACGACTCCAATTACAACAAGTAGTGCAGAATTGGACTTGCCAAAGTGATGGGAGGGATGTAGGGCGCAGGAGAAATGCTAGTTGCCGCTACGTCGCTACGTGTAGTCCGGCGAGCCGACGATCTGCCCGCGTATTTTACGCATCCAGAGGCGTTAGATCTGTCGAACGCCTGAATTACGCGTCCTCACCAGGCAGACAAAACGCCCGTGTAGTCCACATCATTTAAAGCTATTGGCTCTGCAAAAAAAGCAGACGGTCGGCGGCGTTTCATATGCTCGTGTAGTCCGGCCCTAGGTCGATCAGGGCCAGGTGAGAGGTAGAGTTTAAGGAAGACTCAACGTTTACTTTTAGGATAGTACAGAGTTTTCATCCTATCTAGGAAGTGCCTTGTGAGGTTTTTTTGACTGTACTCTCCAAGCAACATCAAAATGTAATTCAAATTATTTAAATTCAACCGATTACAATTTTTAACTCTTCATAGTCGTCTTTGATTTTAAAACAAGCACCATGAGTAATGAAGTTTTTAATTTTAATACAACTATTTGAATGTTATGGTTGTTGGCTTGGAATACATCTCTTTTATGATGTGCACAATTTTTAAATTTATAAATGGTAGAATCAGAGTTGGCCTTAGGTGGTGCAGGGCCCAGTGCAAACATTCAAAGCAAGGCCCCTCACTGCCAAAAAATGAGTATCACAAACAAAAATATCGGTATTATTAGAACTTACTTTCCCCCTTTTTCATCTTTCATATTTGATGTAAAATTCGCAGACTTTTATAAACTTTCTAGTATTTCTACCAATCGCAGGGCCCTATGCGGCCACAACGTTGGCACCTGCCTAAGGCCGGTTATGGTCTAGTTTGTAAATGTTTCCTCATTCGTATAACTAGCCAGTACTTTTCCATGAAAGAAAATTTAGTTGGTGTTCAAATGAAGATCGAATTTTAGCCGCACACAAAATAATGTAATGATGGAGCTATGTAAAAGATCTAAAAATTACAGAATTTTTACTTTTATAGGATACTTTAAAAATATAGTAGGATTAGGACCTTAATAACAAGACTCATGGCAATCATTGAAATAGTTATTTGTGTAACTAGTGGTGAAAGTGGCACTTTGCTGCACACGAGAGCAATGTTTACGCATGAGCCGCAGGCGAGTGCGGAGTGATCTCGAGTGCAGCAAAGGCCTTTTTCACTCGTGTTACACATTATATTTTTCCTACAGTCACTATAAAGCATATAAATAATTAGTCTTTCAAACACTATACAACACGTTTTTAAGTTCAGCTGGCAACACAAATGGTGCCCTAGAGAAAGTAGTACCCGCGGTCCGTATCACTCCGCTATTTTTCCTCGGCAAGAAATGTGCTCCGCGTTTTGAGAATATAGTTCCGTATGTTTTTGTAATTTGAAGTGGTTTCCGCGCCTAAAAAAATGCTTTAAAGGTATTTTATTGTTTATTAAGATCGTAGGAATGTTTTAAAAACGTTTAAAAGAAAAGTCCAGAAAGTTCAGAAATACCGAAACTATAAACACGAAATGACAGGTTAAATCGTAGTTATAATAGTCAATCAGCTGCTCATAGTATTATTATCTTTAAGTGTTGCCAACCTATTTCCAAGCGTACACGGATTACGTGCATAATAGAACCACGCTGTTTTGTATTGTTTCGTTGGAATCCTGATGTGCGGCAAAGTATAAACCGTACGGCAAAGTATAAATATGCAGCAATTAGCAGCTTTCTGTACTATAAACAGTACAAGGAAGCCAACTTTGCCGGGTGACTGTAGGAAAAATACTTGTTTGTCAAGGTGTTCTTATCGAGGTTTGCAATAACTTGTGATTAGAGGGAAAATTAAATCTAGAGTATTGAAAATGACACTTGTTATCGAGGTTCCAATGTATTTATAACTATATATCCAACACTCTACTTACTGTCGCCAAAAACAAACTGGAAAATTATGAATAAGCCAACATAGTACACAAAGTACTGGTTGAACAAGTTCATTGCAAAATTGTTAAATTTTTGAGTCACAGGTTTCAAGGCGTCATCTCAAAAATCAGGTCTGACGAGCATTGAAGCAATAATTATTTGTAACAACCAGTTCAGAGAGATCCTCAGATTGACTTGTTCATGTAATTGGATTATGAGAGCTATCTCAAATGTTGGTTTGTAGGATACTTGCATTTTTCCTCAATCTGAAACCTCGAAAACACAATTTAAGAGCCTACACAAACTGATAATAATTACCAATTCTAAAAATTCATACAAAACTTAGTGGCATAATGTTAAGGGTTAAGATAAAACAGAATAAATCAGATTGGAGATAAGAACAGACAACCTTATCAATCTATTACTCATTCACTATAATAAATAAGCGTTTCATTTTACCCTTTGATACTCATGACAATGCCATAATTTACATCATACATTTTGCCATTACAAAATAATTGTTTACATCATAAATTATGAGACAGTCATCATTGATTTTTACTGAGACTTATGTCATGGTGTTAGATAGAGCATGTAGTCAAAGGTTGTATTTTGATACCCTGTGCTGAGATAAAAGGGCTGGGTAGCTGAGTGGTTATAGTGATCGCCTAACAATCAAAAGGTTGCCGGATCGATCCTGAGAAAAGTCAATAGCTTTTATATGGTTTTAAACTGGACCCAGTGTTTCTGATCATTGTGCGATATAAAATTATCCTGACTAATGACACAGCTGGTCTTGGTCAGTAGCAAAGCTACACAATCCACACACTCCTTTCTACCAAGGCCCCTCTACAAAAACAGGCCATTGCTGCAGCGCGGGCTGCGCAACAATACATCACAGTGGTGGATAGTTGTACTAAATTTGTCAGACGCAAATAGCCAGCTTATTTACCAAAAAACATATGGAATATGGCAGGGGATACAGTTTTTGGCCATCATAGTTGACTCAAATAGTAAAGTTTCTATTACGTTATCAATTATTTGAGATGGGGACATTATGCTACCCTGGTAGGCTTAAAATATAATTGGTCAAATTTTGTGTCAGGAGAGCAGGATGAAGTTAGTAGTCAGTCAGCATGGGAGGGTGACTCGTAAGGTACCAACAAGTTCTGCCACCCTGGTACTCTTAGGCAAAAATGATTAATTTTGTATAGGAAGCCAGAATGGAGTAGTAGTTTTCAGGGTGGTAAGTCCATACGGTAGACTATGAATAATCTATAATAATAAGAGGGATCTTATCTTAACCGGACATCGGTTTAACCAGACTATACTCTGCGGAAATGACATCTCTTTAACCGGACAATTCTTATCTGCACATTGGTTTAACTGGACTAGATCGGCAGGACGTGGGCTGTACTGAAACGACTGTTCTCGTGGGAAAGGTTTGAGACCAGAATGCTCTCCTGAATTCAAGTCAAATATTTGGGTTAAATAACAAGTTTTTGGGGACAGACTGGCCTCGGTCCCAAGGAGTCCGGATAAGAGGGAGTCTACTGTATTAAATTCTGCCACCCTGGTACCGTACCATTAGGCAGTAATTGATCTATTTTGTATTAGGAGGCTAGAATGGAGTAGGGGTCATCACAGTTGACTGAACTAGTAAAATTGTCTACAATTGTCTGCCACCTTACACAATGATTGGTAAATTTTTGAATCTGAAGGCTCATAGTAGGAGAGTCATGATG